CCCTGTATTTAATAATGCGTGGTGCAATATTTTTATAATATAACAATTATATACTATAGTGTTATAATATATGATATATATTTCATATATATAGCGATCATTATTATTACATCGACGTTATAAAATACTATCACATTACACAGTTATGCGTGTATATAATTGAATAATATTTATAAATATATAATACAATTCTAAGTCACATTACGTGACGCGACTTTTTGCTGGCAACACACTTGTGTCTCCCCCGATTTGATGAGTACGCGTGAGTAGATTGTTTTTGAGGCACGGCGCGTTCGCGTGTGCGTTATATAATGTAGGTACTAATGGTATTATACACAGTATAGGTACCATCAACGACTTACCTACATAAGTACTGAAATACACTATATGTTTGTATGTGATGTGTATAATACTGTGTATATATTATTATAATATACGACGTGCCAGCTGGTTTCTTTTTCGCCGTTTGGCACTATCCGTCGTCTCATCATCAGCAGGAGTCTAGCGTTATATTTTTAAACGCTGTCGACCATATTATAATATGGTACACTGGTATCATAGTATTTATACGTACTCCATTAGCACAATATTATAATAATACATTAATATCGCGCGGGACAAGATAAATTCACTATATCCGTATATTCGTATACGAGTATATGCGGATCTATAGTGGATTTAATATTATATAATGTTAGATACCTAGCCTCTTTAAGCGTTGTATAACTTGATTATTTAGCATCTATATTTTGTAGAAGATATTATTAAGTTAATATTTTGAAATATAAAATTATACAATTATGGGTCGAAGTCTCTTTTTTATAAAAGTTCATCGACTGATATTCAACCCTTAAATCCGCTATTGATACGGATATACGAGTAAATCTAAAATACTATGATATTCTTATAGAAGAGGAGAGAGCCATAATATAAATAATTTTTGAGTTAAAAAAGTATTTTGTATGTTATAAATTTGAGTACAATATGTGATTACCCATGAAAGTGTGCGGATTGAAAAACATTGAGTTATAATATGTATCCTTGCTTATAAAAGTCCTACATGACATCAAGAATATTCTCAATTGTGTTATGTTATAAATTATAATATAAATAATACATAAATTATGATTATTTCATTATAATCCATAACTGATATTTAATGGTATTTATCAAAATTAGAGTTTTCCTAGTGCGTTCCAAAAAAAAAAAGTCGTATTTTTGATATAGCCCTAGTGTGTCCCAGGTCATTTAGAGTTACCCGGGATGCACCACGAAGAGGTAAACTGGCTTATACCGCAAAAATATTTTTTGATTCTTATTTATGATAATATATTTATTTTAACCTACACCCTTAAATTTAAGAGAGCGTAATAATTATTTTAAATGTTTTTTTTTTTTAGAAAAATTTTATTAATTTATTTTTAAGTGTTTAAATGCATTTTTTGGAAAAGTTTAGTCCTGATATTTTATTATTTTGAAATTTATTTTTATTGTCTTCGATGTATGAAATTTTCTCGCATGTAGACTGAGCACTGTAAACCGAAGGCGCACTCGAGATACCCCGTCAAAACCGGTAAAACACAAATGTGTTACGTTCGTTTTCGGTTATACCTTTTTTAGCTACCTACACGATTGCCTACGATTTTAACTGATTTTTAACTACACAATTTTATATGAAATATTAAACGTCATTAATAATTTATTAACAAATCTAATTATTCAATAATTATTTTACTATTATTTAGTTATTCTCATTAGATAAATTTTATAATTTTATATTGATTGTTATAGAAGTGTCCATATTTTACTAGATATTTATTAGGTATATAGTAAAATTAATAAATTTTACAACGTGCATATAACTTCATATGTAATCGTGTTTATTTTTTTTTACTTAAAAGTATTTGTTAACCTATTAACAAATATATTCAATTGTGTTCTATTCGTCAAAACATTACTCGATGATGAAAATATGTAAAGATATAAGGTAACATACCTACTGCAATTTCCGAAAACACTAGATTCGGTTGCCGAACAATCTTTGGTAGTTTACTAAGTATATCCTAAATTGATCATTATTTAATGTATCGAGTGTATTCAAGGATATCACCCGTGAGCGTCCTCCCTCCCCCCAAAAATATCATATTTTTGAAATATAACTGAACGATGAGTCATAAATTATTTAGGTTGTCACTATAAGAAAGTGAATTGGTTTTTAACCCAAAAATATTTGGTTGTATTCTATTATTTTGTCTTAAACTCATTATTACACATTTTAAATTTAAGCTAGTGCACTAATTTTTGTAAATTTTTTTTACTTAAGATATTCTATGAAAGTTTTGCTTGTCTATTATGATATTACTTCACATTTATTGATTGTAAATGAGTGGTAATCGTGCTTGGTTATTAACGAAGTAAAAATAAAATTCAGTTTCCCTATCGTTTCCACAATCGTTACTTTGAAAATAACGTATATAATTAACACATTTGTATTTTCATATAGTATGATAGTCCATCGTTAGCTCTATCTTTAAAAATTAGGCTACGAATCAAGGACATATTCGGGTTAAAAAAATGGTAAAAATTAAATGCACTTGAGAGTTGAAATACCCACAACTTAAACTGATTGTGCGTGTTCGGTGTTTCAATGACCAATGAATGATTGACATCTCTCAAAATTTAGTAATATTGAGTATAAACTTTATACAAATAATAATAAATCATATTTTTATTACGATTCCACATTGCATAAATAATCAAAATGATATACCAAGTAATCGGGATATATATTATAAATTGTAAATACTATTTTGATAGTTTTATATAATATATATCAACTTCTCTTTCACTCTCTATTAATGAATCGGTTCACATCATTAATTCAATAGTTCTGAACTAATACATACCTAAATAAACTTAATGGTGTATAGGTAGTACATTTTAAAATGCTCATATAAGATTCAATTCGAACGTACTCAAGATAATAATACCTGCATTTATCTAGTAGAGTTATTCAATAGTATACATGAATATGGTTTTATACTTTTATTTTACATATGAATACAAATGATTGATGAATTTTAGTTATTTTCAATAACTATCTCACAATAGTAGTAAATGAGTATGAAAACTTAATATTGAATCTATAGTTTATTTATTATGTTAAATACACAATTTAATTCAATTTCATAGATATAAGTTAAATATTTATTATAAAAAAATAAATTAATGTATTTGTTACTGAAAAATATGGCAATAATTAGATCACTTTAACTTACGCATACACAGTATGTCAGTATGGGTTAGATAGTATGGGTGTGTAAACGAAAAAAAATTACAGAAACTCTCAAAATTCTATGAAATAGCACTAATATTTTATTGGTTTATGTTGAATAAACATCAACATAATGGCAATACATTCAGAAAATTAATTAAAAAACTTTCATAATCATCTAAATTATAAGTATAACAAAAAAAGATCTCTATTTCAAAATTAACAAAAAAATATTCAAACTTATAAGCAAATACCAAGCTTACCAAAAAACATGATTTATAATGTAAAACAATAATTATTTATTGTTAAAATATTATTTATTTTTGACCAAATTTTAATTTAAAATGTCAATAAAAAAAATTATGCTTGCATATTTTTTTGATTTTTTGGTTTCAGTATTAATGGTTTATGACAAATATTATATTCAATTTTTATGCCTATTAAAATTGCACATTTAATCCATTTTCAACTACAAAAATTTGCAAATATCTGTGATTTTGACGAATTTTATCAATATTTAAACTTCAAATGCTTATAAAAAATGTTATGTCTATGAATGTTAAATATTTTTATATATTTATGAGAAGAACTTATGTAAGACTTCGTTATTAATTTTTACACTTTTTGATCGAGCGAATATTTTTATTTTTTTTAATATTAACAATTATATAAAAAAAATCAAGAAAAATAAGATTTTTAAATACTTATGTTTAAATTCTATAAATAATTCATAAGAACCAAAATATTTAAATTTAAATTTTTTAAGAAAATTTTTGTTTTATCGAAAAATGACAATATGTGTATTACTCAATTAGGTATCTTCCTGTTTCCACAATAAAAAATTGACTATTAAGTATTCACGAATTTATCTAACAAACATACTATAATATACTTTACATATTACATATCATATTATATTATAGGGATGGCCAATGAGAAGAGACTTTCGAGCCGCTCAATATATTAATAAATATGGAAAAGCCAAAATGAAAGGGCATATGAATATATATATAGTTATTGTAAATAAAATATGATACTAAATATAATAAAATTTGTAGAATGCGAAACCATATAAAATATTGATTAATAATTAAAAATAAGAAAATATATACATTTAAATATTATATCAAAAACACTTTATTTGTTTTTTAAATTTTTTCTATATATTATAGATAAATAAAATATTATACTTCTTCAAATGCGTAAATTCATAAATTTATATTGAAAAAAAAAAATGTTCTTCTATAACAATTTTTGTACCTCGTGATAAAATGCGAGCCGCACAAGTCAATGACAGCAGTCTTAGTTTGGCCACCCCTGTTATAAATATAAAGCTATCTAAATATTATATAAAAATAATGAAGATTACATTAGATTGTTGTATTACCTCCGTCATTCTTATAACATAAAACTTAATAGTTTATATACATAGGCATAACATAAAAGTTACATTTTTATTTATATTTCCTGTAAACGATATTTGTAATATAATTCATTTTAAAAAAGTTTGAGAACTTGAATAAAATAGTTCGTATTATTACTCATGTACCTAATCTTTTAGAATAATTATATAGACATATAAGTGATATTCGTATATAAGTAATAGTTACCATGTAATAATAATATTATGATTTATATTATATTGTTTTCTTGTTTATAAAATTTAAATGAACTATTTAGATGTAAACTACAAATAAATGTTTTGTTGTTTTTTTTTTTTTTTTAGAGGAGCATTTTCTGTTGTAAGAAAATGTATTCAAAAGCACACAGGATTGGAATTCGCCGCCAAAATTATAAACACGAAAAAATTATCAGCCCGAGGTAAATTAATTTTGTATTTCTTTTGAGAACCTAAAAAAAATTATTATCTTTAAATTGAGTTAACAAAATGAAAAACATCAAGTATACTTTAAAAACGATTTTAAAATGAGATCTGAGATTAATTTTTTATAATGGTTTACTATCTAAAGAGGTCACGTAGTAGGCATATTATTTATTATTTATACTATGAACAGCGAAACCCTAAAGCTTTTAGAAAAAAAGTCAAGAACTAAAATTTCTAGAAGTGGTAGGAGGTAGGATTAAAAATACCAGTGTAGGTCAAGAGATAGCTTCTTGACCTTCTTTCATCGACCTACTAGGGTTTAAAATGAAAAAAAGCGAAGTTATTGTATATATTTTGGTGGTCAGTTAAAGCAATAAAAATATAACGGAATGGCCTCTACACTTATAAATTGTGAAGGAAAATCTAATTTTTCTCAAGTTTTTTTTTAGGAAATCTACCATGTCCATTTGGTTTTATGTAAATAAACATGGGTATTTTATAATTAAAAACAAACAACAACAATTATTCTAATTCTAATACAGAATAATTCAGATATGCAACATTATAAACATAATTAATAGATGCAAATTAAAAAGTAAGTAGTACTATCTAAAATTAATATTATATATCTATTAAAAATTGTATTCACATGTAACATAGAAAAACAATAAGTTAGCATTATTCACGTCAAATTATTATTAATATTAATATCTAATTTATTAGATAATGATTCAGTTCAATATACGTGACATTTTAAAATTGTATTTTTATGTTTCAATAAATTGACAAAATATAATCACTATGATATAATAATAAGCTTAGTGTTCTCCTCTGGTATTTGAAATATTTTTGGGTGGTACGGTAATGGAGTTTTCATTGTTCCTAAAATTCAATAACGTTCAAATACCATGGGAAATTAAATTACATATAACACAAATGTGTTTCCAATTGATTTTTATTTTATGTACGCTTTATTTAAATATTAACCTGAAAAATATTTATAAGTCTCTTTTAAAAATGTATTATTAATTTTTACATTAGTAATATTTATTTTATTAAAATATTAAATAGTAGTTATACTGAATTACAAATATCCATAGATTTTTAAATTATAAATGTACAATTAATTTAAGTGATAAAATGTTAAATTATGTACATACATATATATATATATATATATATATATATATATATAAAATAACAATAATATGTATAATTTATATATAATACATAGTTATTTTAAAAATACATAAAATGAATAACAATAATAAACAAAGAATTTTAATTATACAATTTGAATAGTTTACTCGAAACAATTATTATTTTTTTTTGTGAGGAGAGGGCTTAATTAATATTATCTTTTTTAATTTGCTGTACAGTTATAATATTCTAACGATAAATTATTTTGTTTTTTACAAAGTTAATAATGTAAGCATAAGTTAAATTAATAAATAAAAAATCATTGAATTTAAAACTACGAGTGTAAATTTATGGTATTACCTACAATTTATAAAATATCTTTGGGAATTATATTTTCTATAAACTACACGATTATTTGAGAACAATTAGAAGTTAAATATAATTAATGTTTATTTATAAATTTATAAATTTATTAATACAATCAGAAAATTTCCTATTTAAACTTTTAAATATTTCCTAACTAGGTAATAGGATTGTAGACTTCTAGAATTTGCGTGTTTTAGTTGTTTTTTTTATTTTTTTTGATGATAAATCAATAAATATCATGAAAAAAAAAATTTTGTTTGGAAGTTTAAAAATCTAATTCTAAAATGTTTAGTCAATTTCTTAACTATTCTGGATAATTTATTATACAATTTAGTGTACTCAACTTTATAGCTCAGTAAAAAATTTTAAATTAACTTAAATAATAAAAAATAATATTACCAATAATACGATACGGTAATAAAACTGCTGTTGTATGTTGTATGTTATTTAATCCCATGTAATATGTGGTTTCTACAACATATAATATTCAATTATTATTTGATTATTTAGTTCTATAAATTTAATTAGTAATACTATATTATTTTTATTTATATAATTATAGCTATTAATAAATGTAATTTTACACGTTTAACGCTAAAAAATACATACGAATTTTACGAAATTACGTACTAATTCACGCAGTAAAGAATTATTACACTATTTATAAATTCTTTTTATCTTAGATGTGTTCCATAAAGGCACTCATTAAATTTATTGGTATAATACATATTTAGATATTTTTCGATATTGTAAATTCGTAATGGACATATACTACATTTTTAGTTATAATAATAAAAATAGGGACTAATACTGTAATATTTAATACTGCCATATTATTATATAAAAGGTATATTAGTCTACATTTCAACCTCCGCTCCATGCCGAAATTATTCAAAATTAAATACTAATTAAACTTAATTTACCTTTTCTGATTAATATATATTATACAGGCCTAAATGTTATTTGTCTTATAAGTCATAACAGAATGCTTTAGAGAACGTATGACAAATTAATGTAACAAATATATCGGTATTAATTTACTATTGTTATAATTTTTTTTTTATGTGTCTTGATTTTGTATATGTAAATAATTGTTAATACATTAATTTCATTACCCTGTACAATTAAGTTTAATATTTTAATTTTGAAACTATTATCGTGATATAAAATAACAATAAAGTTATGATATACCTACGCTAAGTATATGCTGAGACAATCGATATGATATATTCTAAAATTGATTTGTTATTTAAAATCAATTATTTTAAAAACTGTATTCATTGAAAGAACTGCTGAAGCGGAAGTAAGAATCGTATTGACGAACTGAACTCTTCCTTTATGGAGACTGGAGAACGTATTTACAATCTGACACCGGCAGGTGTGTGTGTCGTCAGGCCGGTGAGGTACAACGGATAAGTTTAGCGTACGAGGCTAGATAATTTTATATAGGTTTTTATGTATTATTTATTGAATTTACTACAATAAACGATAGCAGCAGAGGAGTAGTATTGTTTACATAGATCTCTCCTTCACTCTCGGTTATCCAAGAAAAAAAATTTAAAAAATACTGTATGCATATAACTACTTTAGATAGGCTCAATAAAAAAGAATTAGAGAACTAGCGTGTCGTATGATTACAACATTGTAGCCAATATGTTATAACTATGTTATGAAAACATTTCTGTGAATTCTATTGGAAACTACTCAACTGCAATATGCTTAATCAGTATTCATATTGTTCTGCTTCAAAATTCTGTATTTTAATATTTATATAATTGTACATTTAACATAATAGCATAATACTAAATACATATCCTATTTCACGTAGGTAATAATATCATATATAAAAATCATTAAATCAAAACAATTTGTGGCGTTTTTTTACAATAGAATTTAAGTACCGATATAAATCAAAAACTCGTTTAAAAAAGTGTACAAAATATGTAAGTGTTATATATTATTAAAAAATAAAAAATAAATCCATATTATAAAAAAATAATAATATAATAATATAATATAATATTCAATTAATCGACTGCAATTTATTGACTTCAACTTTTGTTTGCAAAATAAGAGCAAAAAACTAAAAAAAAAATAACAAAACTTAAATTAGACCACTTCGTTGAAAGTTTAAACAGTGGGGGGAGGGGATTCGTCATTGAACTGGCACGTGGCCATGGGGAAAAACATAAAAAAGAAGATTCAAAGAATGGTAACTGACGGGAGCGTCTGTAGTGCGCGAAGAGGCAGCTCGCACCATCGCGGCGCGCGGTATTGATTAAACGCACGCTTTTACGGCTCGCTCCACGACGACCAGTGTGCCGCTTATATTTACTTTTCGACGGCGATCGGGCACGACCGCGGAAATCGGCGCGACACGAATCTGACCGCAAGCCATGTATACAGAGTGCATTTGTGTGTGTGTGTGTGTGTGTGTGTGGGAGGGAGAAGAGAGAGAGAGAAAGAGATAGAGGAACGCATATACAAAGCAATTCTTTTTACACAAACACTTGTCATCTCGAAAAGTATACATGTTTTTGAAACATTGATAGAAGGAAAAATAAATAATCGTCCAAGTATGCAGATTAAGAGCATGAGAGGGACATAATATTACAGAGGGTTTTGTTGGACATGATAAATACAAATGACCACCTTGAGCTGCGCCACTACGCCGATTTGAGTGACCGGACAACGCGTATATCGTTTTTAGCCGATGTCACGTTTCATCGGCAGCACTCGTAAACCTAAAACAAAACACGTATTGTATATTATACGTATTATACATCGTGCTGCACGTACACGGCGTTGCGAAATGGCAAACAGAGAGGTTAAGTTATGTATAGGGTAATGGATCACCGAGGGGGAATTTTTCTCGTTTTTTTTTTTTTATTGTGAGTATAGAATCAGACGGGGTAACGAGCTGGACCTGCGCCCTATATGTATACACAACATTAATCATGTATAAATCCGTCAGAATAAATGTATACATTGCAGTGTTGTACAATTTCGCACGATCGTCGAACGTGATCCCCGCGTTCGCACGTGAGGTTTGATACGATCTCTTGCTTGAGTGAATATATTTTAATTATTTAGGTATATTAATCATATTTTTAATCATTTTATTTTTACTATTTTTCAATAATATGAATCAAAAAGAAGATTAAATTGTAAACAAATATCCAATGTACGTTTAAAACGGTTTTTGCTTTTTAATAACCAAATTTAAATGGTATCGACTAATTTTTGCCCTACTATATAAATTTACCAATGGACTAACCGAGTGAGGAGCAGCTTTAGGCTTGCGTATTACTTTTATCCCGTATCAATATCTGATAACCTGTAACATTTTTACGAAATAATTATGTGTATGATGAGATTATTATTTAAAGTTAACAGTTATGAAATGAATAATATGATTGAATTTGGTAAAAACCTTTGAAGAACAAATTATTGATGATCATGAATCATTTTAATATTGATAGTAAGTTATAAGTACATAACGAGTTACTTTTTTTCAAAATAACTTCTAACTTAACAAGATACAATTTGTTTTACAAAAAGCAATTAATAATCAAAACTACTTTTTTAATTAATTTTTTATCATTCTTATTTATTATAAAACACTTGAGCTTTACTAAAATAGCTCACTTAACTCCAAACTCAGTCTATTTTTAATATTGAAACTTACTTTTAAAATCTTATGATATAAAATAATGATAACTTAATATTACAGGGTTACCTCTTTAGGTAGTTACTAATAACCTTTATTATTATGAACATAATATTATAAATTGAATTCATAAATAAAATTAAACAGATATAATATTATATATTTCTAAATAAAATATTTTAAATTTTTGTTTAAAAAACACAAACGTAGAATAAAAACTATTATAAAATTAACTTGTAAAATAAACTTTTATTTTACTATTATAGGTAAGTACTAGGTACATAAAAAAATTACACTCATGTATAATATGTATAATCAGTGGCGCCGAACCTATACATAAATTAAAGTAATTGCTTCATATAATAAGAGGGTAGGTGATTTTATTTGTATTTATGTTTTTGTTTTTACATTACATAATATTTATACTAAATAATAAAATAAATAACTCAAGTTATTAAGAATTAGTGGTAGACAACATCCTCAGTGATGGTGGGTAGGCGTATAAATATTTTGATTTTGCTTCACTTAAATGTATATGACTTGGCGCCATTGTGTATAATATGTATTTAATATTTAATACTGTATATACAAATATTACAAATTATAGGGCATATGTGTAGATAAATACGCTTATATTTGTATATTTTTTTACGTAGGTAGAAAGTTCCTATTCCAATTTTGATAAGTGAATGTAAAGTCTTTAAAATAATTACTATCGATTCGTTTAACATTGCACCTGTATTAGTATAGTCGGAGAAAAAAAACCAATTAAACAAATTCTCTTGATAATAGTTATATACTATGTATTAGAATATCAATTGAATAAAAAACTTTTTAAATGGAGAATTAAAATTAAATTAACTACACTAGGAGGAGTTAAACTTACTAGATGTTTAATTATTAACAAAGATCAAACGATTAAATTATATTAATACTTTTTTGAAATGTACACAGTTATAACTTTTATTAAGTATACAATTTACTAAAATACTAAAGTACTTAAAAATTAAATTTAGAGAACAGAAATTAAAAATGTTTATCTATTTAATTTATTTTAAATCAAATTAATACATTTTTTTCTAGTCGCTGTTTGTAGAAAAGTATTAATTAAAATGCCTTACAATTAAATACAAAATATAAATAAATTTAACAATTTCATGCGATATATTTACACTATACATTTATCTTTAATGTGTAGGTATAATGCTTAATAGTTGCTATTTAAAAAGTTAAAATTTATTTTTTTGATAACTTTTAATTTAACTAGTTAAAAAATATTAGAATGTTAGAAATTAACTTAAGTTAATTACTAAGTTATTTCTTTTTATAATCATTGTAATTTAATTTAATTTAATTTAACTATATCGTTAAAATTAACATTATTTTTAAAAAGTTATTTACAATTTTTTGTATTATTAACAGTATACCCTTTGTGTTGATTTGTGTTGATTTGTTGTAATTTTTTTTTTCTCGATACTTATTAAAATCGAATAATATTGTAATTATGAATACTATTGTATGAGTGCAACGACAATATTATTATCGTTGTGATCGTCTAAACTATCTAGGTGATTTGGTTTGAATTAGAAATAGTAAAAAAAATAGTAATAAACTAAACTAAAACTAGTTATTTTCCTTTTTTTTTTTTTATAAACAAAAAACCGCTTCAACAACAAAGATTATTAGTGTGTAAATTACATTTTACATTTTTACATTTATCTGATAATTTTTCGGGCAGATTTTTTTTTACCCTGAGGTCTTTGTATCTTAAACACTCAGTTAATATGTGTTTTACTGTTATTCGTGTTCCGCATGTGGTACAAATTGGTGGTTCTTCTTTGGCCATTAAGAAGTCGTATGTAAATTTTGTGTGTTTTTTCCTTATTTTATGAGTATAGTTAAGGATGTTTTTTTTTAAAAAAAAGCTACTTTATTTTTAACTTGGATAAGTTATTATTTTCTTAAAAAATTTTAATTTGACTAAGTTGTTTAAATTAATTAATATTCTAAAATAAACTATAACTTAGATTAATTACATTTTTTTTAGGGTTACCTACTTAATTAAAAATAACTAAAAAAAATGGTTAACTTATCCAGCTTTGATTATATGTAAAATAACCAAATAGCTATATTATTTAATTATTTTAAATCTTTCAGATTTTCAAAAATTAGAAAGGGAAGCAAGAATATGCAGGAAATTACAGCATCCAAATATAGGCGAGTTGTTTTTATGACGTAATAATATTTTCTCACAAATATTAAAGTTAAATAATTTATTTAAATGAATTGTTATTTTAATGTTTATTATAGTGAGATTACACGATAGCATCCAAGAAGAACTGTTCCACTACCTCGTGTTCGATCTGTAAGTAATTGATTGTATTGTATACTAAAATTGTCGTTATAATACGTGTAGGTAGATCTATGGTACTTTTTTGTTTTACAATGTGAAAGAATCATGCGCATATATAACACGAAGCCTTGACTATATAAATATAGTAGTACGTGGACTAGACTCAGAAATAGATTACGCTAACAGACACGAGACCAATATTGTAAGGATTGGCAAAGGCGAACATCAAACGTAAAAATAATTATTATCATACAATAACAATATATATTATATAGTGTATAATAACGGAATAATTAGATAGATAAAAACTTATATAATATGTATAAGTATATATTTTATATTACTGAATTATATTGAATTTAAATTACAAACGTTTATCGTCATTATTTCATTATTTTTAATTGAATAATATTTCGTTAAAATATCTCAGAAGTGTTATTTTCAATTTCCTATAAAGGATGCCAAAATTTAATCAAGCCAATTTTTAATTATCAACTGAACTATTAAAAATCGATATTCAATTACAGGCGAACAGTACATAATATTTGTTATTTTAATGTGTACGAGTATATATCACGCGTCTGGGTTTTCAATCGCCCACTCTTCTAAGGATAACGTCATGAGTTTATCAATCAATGATGCACGTTAATATGCGTTTTAATTTAATAAAGTTACGTCAAAGATATCCAGAGATATATCCAGGTTTTTTTGGTGTTGGCGGGGTTTGGGAGCATTGACATAACAGTTATCACTTTAGAGTTAAAAAGAATATATTTTTTCTTAAATATTATAATATTAACTATTATTTTTATGTTTGATAATATTTTTATAGCCATGACATTTATGCGAATAATGTTTTTTTCACGAATAAATCCAATTATTAAAGAAATTGATTGAGTAATTAAAAATCTTTGTTACAGACTTCTCCTGTTTCATATTATAATTTATATTTATCAATTTTAGTAGCTTTATAAGTATCTTATTATAGTTTTAATAACTAAAATTGTGTCATATTTACAGAATAAATTAACGTAATTGATAAAATAATTACTTACTCTAAATATTATACAATAATTATGTAATAAAAAATATTCGGTTTCAATTCACAGATAATTTGATAAAAATATTTTTTCTGATATATTAAAAATATGTTGTCTTTAAAATAATATAAAAATTAAAAAATAAACTATAAATATCAACACGACAATAAAGGTAAAAATTACAATAATTTTATGATTATTTACTTTAAATGAATTTAAATAACATATAATTATTATTTTTGGGAGAACAGTGTATTGTCATAAAATAATCACTTAATATAATATTTTTATCACATGGGAATATTAACCAGGTTAAGTTCAACAGTTATATCAATATCAGTCTAATTCCATAAATTTCCCTTATTCATAAAAAAACTTATGTAAAAGTTACAAAAAAAAAAAACTAGATGTTTAAAGTAAATACTGGTTAAATATGATTTTCACTTCTCAGTTCTATAAAATACTAATATAATAATTTTTGGACAATACTATTACAAATAAAATTATATCAAACACAACATTAAAAGATAGAAGTCTTCAAATTCTATAGTGTACCTATACTTTAAATAATAATAATAAATTCAAAAAAAATAATGAACACGTTTTCATGTTTATTTGATACGTAATAAAACATTACTCATACTATGTATATTAATCAATAGTAATAAAATTATAATAACATGCTGTTTTTTTTAACATTTTAAAGTAATTAAACACTAAATTAAAACTAAAATGTTGAAATTTTACTATTGTTATAGCTGATAATTCTGAAAATGAATAGTTTCAAACAATACAACTTTTGTATGCATCATTAATAATAATGAATTGAAATAAACGAGGGTGCAGTTCAAATAAGGGTGTGTCTCGCATTTTCATCTTTTGAAAACAACCATTGTCCTTCTCTATTTACGATTTTTCAAAGTGATTAAAAGAATAGTGACCATGTTTCAAATAAAAACGAAGGTTGTTTTTTTAACGACTCAACTACTCACAATCAGTAGAACAAGAAAAATAAAGAAAATGCTACTAGTATAATCATTATTCATTATATTATTCCTATTAAAATAATCATAAATAAATGAGTTCTTAATTATTATTATTAAAATAATATTTTTTAATTTTATGGTCATAAAAAAATTTATCTCGTATAAAATTAATCTAATATTTTATTTTATTTTATACAGTGTGACAGGTGGCGAGTTATTTGAAGACATCGTAGCAAGAGAGTTCTATAGTGAAGCTGATGCATCGCATTGCATTCAGCAGATACTGGAAAGTGTAAATCACTGCCACACAAACGGGGTAGTACACAGGGATCTAAAAGTGAGATTTCTTTTTCTACTTCATTATTTATAACTTTATGTTTTTTTCATTGTAAGTACATTGTTATAATCTCGCTGTGGGTATAGTGGTGGACAGAAATGAAAGACCACACGGGAAAAAGTTTTTCACCCCATTCTACTATAATCTTTTGCTGTAAATCAAAGACGACAAAAGAAATTTATACGTTTGTTGACGATTTGCAATCTCTTTATTTTCTAAAGTTTCTAAAGGTTAACAATAAATTTGGTACTTTTTTCCACTAGAAAAATCCTGTGTACATTAACTTGTCATCTGGACAATGATGTAAATCTAGGTTAGTACCTTATAATAAAAATACCACATTTAAAGTAGGTAAGTAAATAGTCACTGAAAAATGGGAATATAGTTCTTTATACGTACCATAACATGAAGTTATATGATCGGAGCAAATTAAAAGGGTCTTAATTGGATTCTAAAAGATAAATAAAATAGATATGTCTATTGTATATGTGTAATGACCATTGATTATACGAGAACAACCGTGAACGCGTTGGTATATAAAAATAAAACTAATCGTATACGACGTACAGTATCAGTGATAAACGAAGTTATTTTAAGGGAAATGTATTTAGTAATGATGTTAGTGTTGCGATATATTAGGTACTTAATTACGGTATTTAGATTAATAAGAAAGATGGGCAAGATATTTTCCAAAGGAATTAAATAATAAAGATGAGTGGCAAATGAAATGTGTGGGTATTCGGAATTAAATGTATATACTTTTGTTTTAAAAATGAAATTGCAGAATGTTGTTACATTTTATTAGCATTGTTGACGAGTAGTGCTATGAAATCAGCCTTTGATTATTTTCTTAGATGACCACACAGTTGTTGGCACATTTTGTTTATGAGACGATTCTTGACGATCTATTGATTGTTTGTATAGTTAAAAGGGTTTGATAAACTTCAATCCAAAATTTGTTTAGGTCAAATACATACATAAAGTTAACACAAAATAATAAAGTTAAAATATACAAATTATATTTTCTATATAAAGAAAAAAAATAGCTATCAAAAACTCTAACGTTATTTTTTACCTTTATGAGCTGTGACTTAGTTTTTTACGTTGTAATTATAAAGTTTTTCATTTTCCTGAATACGTTTAATAAGTGTTAAATACTCTCATTAATTAGTACTTCAGAATTAATTTTAGAGAAAAAATTTAATTTAATTAAAATCTGGAATAGGTATAATAAAATAAATTGTTATTATTATATTTCTGAATGTGTGTATTTTGTATGTACATAAAAACTTACGTTTATATATTATTTATCAAACGAATATTTTACATGTGTAAGTATAGAAACTCATCCTCATAATGTGCAAATACGTATCTTTAAAATATCTACTATTCACCTAAACTAATTTAAATAGATTAAAAGGCTAAATAATAATTTCAAAGCAAAATATTTGATTTTAAATGTTTTATTTGTTTAATTGAAAATATTGTTTGAACAAAATATGTATTTTAATTACACAAATAACAATTTGATATTATTTTACTTTTATAGTACTGTTTTGCAATTTCATTATTTATTTTAAATTTTAAAATATTTGTAATCATACATTAATCAAAATAGTGTTAAATGAGGGATTAAAAATATAACAAACTTTGGTTAGTAGTACATTGTATTTTTTGTTTAATGTATTTACATTAAAATATTAATTAATGCCAAAAATGTAGTATCTATTCCTTGTATATTTAATATTTATGTGGTTCTTAAAAAAAAAAAAAAAAAAACATTATAATCATAACTATATAATATTTTTACTTATAGGCCGCTGTATAATATAGTAAAGTTGTTCGATAACTTTGAGTTTTATTCTTTTTTCTTCTATTAAAATTTTCTTTTTTCTATAATTATTTTTACTTATCTTGTTAACACATTGATTTATGGTTTCTTTTAGTTAGTTCTATCCTTTTCTAAAATGTTTTAAGTGTTTTTATGAGAATGAACTAATGAAGTCAAAAATATAAAATATAAAATTAAATTAATTATTTATATTTTGCTAAATTATATATTACTTACGTATCGCGTTTTAAAATGTCATTTTAAAATTGAATACTCGATTCAATTAAAATTACACTAAATGGAAGTTAGAAATTTAAAAACTCAAGATGATCGATTAAATTATTATGTATAATTTACTTTCTAATTCATCATAATAATAAAAAAAACATCGATACTTAAATAGAAATATAATACATATATTTTTTTTAATATTATTATTAAAAAAGAAATGAAATGTTTTGTCTTTATAATATACATTTGCATAATAAGTTATTGTGGTAATAATATTTATAAAAATAACACGAGTTTTGTGGTAGGGAATGTACCCATAAACCATACCCTTAAGAATTATAAATTTTTATGTTAAGCATTGTATTTTTTTTTTTTATACTTACCATAATACCATGTCTGTTCTTTGAGTTTACAAGATGACTATTTAAATATAGAGTTAAAGTTACCTATTTGGATTAAGAGATAAACATTAAAGTAGAATTTCATGTGAAATCATTTAAACTGGTATTTAAGTATTTTTAATTCAAGAACGGTATTAAAAATACGTATATTGAATTATTAAATTATAATAATTTTTATAGATTTTTTAAAGATAAATTATCTTAATACATTTAAAGATAGTATTTAAGTTAATTTTATCACTGTGATTTGCTTTATTACTGATTCAATTATTCCAAACATGGTATGGGTAGATTTAATATTGTCTATTTTTATAAAATGTGTCACTTTATGAGCTTAAATTTAAATATGCTATATTTATAATATTGAAATGCATTAAAATATTTTATCTTTGTTTTAACTTTGTGATTATTGAAGAGACATTTCCTTACAATCCCCATTAATTAGATCATGAAGGTTTTTTTTTATAAAAATACTATCACGATATGATTATTTCCATGTTTTACATCTATATCTTTAAATACCACGAAATCATTTCCATTAGAATGACTTGAAATTACTTTTTGTAAATCAGTCATCCCCTTTCTGATTGTATTCTCTTATTTTTAAAATATGATTTTTTTTTTTATTTTATTTTACTTCTTGTCCATCAAACGTAAGGCTATCATTTATATTTCATTTTTAAATCTATACTTCGGAGAAAATAACTTAGCAGATTTTTAATAATGTTATTTTATCATTACAACAATAAACATACTAGATATTTAAACCTATTATTTCTAGAAACAAATAACAGAAAATATAATGGATTTTCTTAATACATTTAAACACGCAGCACTATTTTATAATACTAAATGTTTAGTAGCGTGTTACAACTTTCTATTGTATTCAAACAGTATTAAAAACAAAAGTATTCAACTTGAAATTTTTATCATTTTATAACATTGATTTTATAAAATAAAGCATAAATTCATTAAATTTTCAATGTTTTTATTTTTACCATGATCAATATAACTTTTTTTTTTTTTTTATAAGTATCTGTCTTCTATATCTTAGTATAATATATTTTAAAATATAAGATAAAATATCAAACAATTGAATCTTAATTAAATATAAGTTTAAATGTTTAAGTAATGCACTTTTACAAAAACAAAGAAATACGAATTATCGTAGATTTAGATTTTTTTTGTACTATTGTACATTTTTAATTCAAATTCAATTATATTACATACAAATAATACAATTTCTATCATATTTAAGTGATGATTTGAGTTTTGAGCTTATATCAATAAGTACTGAGGTACTTATTCTTAGAACTATTTCAAAACGTCATACAAATAATAATTACAACAAAGTAACAAAAATTGTTTGAAAATAATTATTTTACATGTGAATATCCAATTTAAATAAAAATTTTAAATTTAAATGCTTATAAAAAAATTATTGTGACTATAAGTTTTTGATATTTATAAATAAAAAAAAAAAATAATAATAATAAAACAGCACTGTAAAATCAATACTTTAATCAGATTCTAAAATTAATATTTAACAGTATAGGTTAATCAAACATATTATATATATTTACATAATAACTAGGAATTTTTTTTCAGCTTTCTAGTAATAAATAATAATATTTAAAATTATACACTTAATAATAGTGTACATATTACGGAGGCACCTACATTCTAACTTTTGTTTATTATACATTTTATCATTTTCCCATCATTGTTGCTGGCACACCTCCTGAGTCCTAGTTGATAATAAACAAAAACCAACAACGTGTCGTTATACACTATAAATATTTAACCTATATAAGATACCACAATAAAATTTACTTAACTATATCCCAATCCCACCTTTTTGACAATAGTCATTAATGCTATTAAAACTATATTTGTATATCTTCTAGCCGGAAAATTTGTTATTGGCTAGCAAAGTTAAAGGCGCTGCAGTCAAGTTGGCCGATTTTGGGTTAGCTATCGAGGTTCAGGGCGAACAACAAGCGTGGTTTGGCAAGTGGAATCATTTTTCTTATTTTGATTTTAGCATTTTATTGTAAGCGTCGATTTCAGGTTTTGCCGGAACTCCAGGTTATCTGTCGCCTGAAGTACTTAAGAAAGAACCATATGGAAAACCAGTCGACATTTGGGCATGCGGTTAGCTAATGTAGCTATTTAGACGTATAAGAATAATTTTTAATATTTATATTTTAATTAGGTGTAATACTTTACATATTGTTGGTTGGATATCCACCGTTTTGGGATGAAGATCAACATAGATTGTATGCCCAAATCAAAGCTGGCGCGTATGATGTAAGTTGTAACCACAACAATACGTAAAAAATATTTGAAAAATTATAATTGCAACTATTGATTTTTAAGTTCTTATATAGTTTTAAAAGTTTATTATCTAATATATTTTTATCATGTAAAAAAAAAAAGATGTAAATTAAACATTATACATTACTTTGTGAATTAGACATATTGATAAATTATAAAAGTAAAAGTACTTAATACATTTTGTCGAAAATAATAGATGTAAAATTTTTTATTAATTATTATAATTTATAAATCATGATTCATGGTTAATGGTTTTATATTTAATTATAAGTTACAAAATCTAACTTTTATATAACTTATAAATTTAAATAATACTCTCAAGTAGTTAAAAATATAAAAATTAGAATATCATGAAAAAATTATAAGTACCTGTAATCTAAGTATGTAACAGTACAGTTTTTGAGGCAAATCTACAAATGCAATAAATAGTCAGTTTCTCAAAATTACAATTTTCAAAACAGCTTCATCTTTTTAATGAAAAAATTTTATTATTATGGGCTGATTAAAACATTATCTTGTATTTTCATAAAAATGTATTATAGTATTAATTTAGCAAGCTATTTTTTTAAATTTTAAAACAGTAAAAATAATTTTAATCATTTAAATTAAATAAATGAGGTTTTCTCGTTTGAAAGTGTAATTTATTTTTCTATATTTCTTAGTATCCATCGCCTGAGTGGGATACAGTTACACCAGACGCAAAAAATTTAATTAATCAAATGCTAACTGTGAACCCTGCTAAACGGGTCACAGCATCTGATGCACTCAAACACCCATGGATTTGCGTAAGTTTATTTACATTTTAGGTTTTTATTTTCATAGATTTTTGTAAATAAATGATCATGTACTCTAAGGAGGTAATCAAACCAAGAATAAACCTATTGAGGTACAGAAGGAAACCAAATCGTGAGTAATTTTATCCCAACCTGAAACTTCACTAATTCCGTTGACCATCGATTTTTTACATTTATTTTTCCAGTGATGTAAGATATAAGAATCCTGTACATATTTTTATTAACAAACTATGATTCGAAATTTTAAATACTTTATATTCCACGTTTCATTTAATATTTATAAAAAAATGTATTTTTAAACTAACAATTATAATGTAATATACTTAAGTGTACTATTATACCCGTATATCAATGCATCTTAAACTATGTATCCTTTGAAAAACTAAAGTTATAAATTCAACCAAACTAGGATCATTTGCTTGAATATTCATTTCTCTAATAGACCTGTTATTCCTAAAGTTATTCGTGTTATTGTTTTATGCCATGTTAATAATCGTATCGAACTTCCAATAATCAACTTATAAAAAAAGCACATTTTCTAATGGTACCATGCGGTCGTCATTTGTAATACTCGCATATTGCGTGGACAATAAATTTATTGAAAACACACCACTGTTATCCTTATGTCTCACGTGTTCAATAAACTTATATTTATACTTATAAAATATAAATACGTTCCATTTTGGATTTTTATGAACATTTTGCATGCAAACGTAATATCTTGAGTATTCATAATGTAATTCTGATGGCCCGTTGTGTTTCAGTATCGTGAGAAAGTTGCTTCGGCTGTGCACAGACAGGAAACGGTCGACTGCTTGAAGAAGTTCAACGCCAGACGAAAATTAAAAGTAAATTAAAATTTTTTCCGATCATTTTCAGAGCGAACTAAATCAAACTATCCTTATATGTTTATAGGGTGCCATTTTGACGACAATGTTGGCTACAAGGAACTTCTCCAGTAAGTATGATGTACACGGTAAGTGCCTCAGGAACCTCAGACAAATTACGTGTGAATGAATATAGGTGACGACGTGAATTTTTTTTGTAATTTTTAGAATTGTTTTTAATTAGATACACTGAATATATACATGTACATAACAAGTTTGTTTGAAACACAATTTAGGTGTTTATACGAATGGGTATAGCACTTGTATATAAGCTAATTTATTGGTCCTTATACCCCTACGAAGTTAAGTTTTTTAGGGTTTTGTTTGATGTTTATGTGAAAGTAGCCAAAACGGGATCTTTACAGTTAACAATCCTATCTACCTACCTATATCTACACTATTTATTTATTTATCTTTTTTATCCTACTGATTTAATAGGTTCATTATACCTATTTCATATACATTGTATTTACTGCAATACTATTGTTATACGAATGCATCAATATTATTATTATATTATATTCTACATATACCTTTATTTCATCCTTTACCTTAGTATTAAATGCTATAATATATTCATATAGGTAGTGCTACATTGAACATATTTTGTGGATATCATAAAAACAAACCATCATGTATTTGTATGAATTTGTCTGAAACATTAAAGCTACACATTTGTATCCCTTACCTTACACCCTATTGTAGCTGCATGTCGTAGGTGTTATGATTAAAAATATACATTATAAATACAACACTCCTGGTATAAAAATCATTAAAATAAGTTTCGTATTTATACAACGCTAATGAGTATAGATTAAATGTTTAAATATAAAATTAATAAAATATTTAATAAAACATAATCTAGAATTTATTTTATAATCATAATATCCACTATATATTTTAACCAAAATCATTATAGTTCTTCTCATTATAAAGTATATTCTAAATCACAATGATTTTTTTTATTATGTCATCACTCATCAAATATAACACAGGATTAAATAGTTTTTACTATTCACCTTTAATTTTATACAAATAGAATAACTACCAACTATTACTTGTATGTTATATGCATTATCTACATTATAGGTACTTAAATTTGTTATGCGTATCTGTTTTTTTCCATACTGTAATTAATTTCCTTTGAACAAAAATAATTTTTTTAGTTTTAATTTATATATTATACATCTATACTATGTATACAATATGCTTTTTAAAGTTCTCACACATTTTTATTTCATTATTTTAATATTGACGAAAACTTATTCAAGTAATTATTTAAACAAATTGAGAGTGAAGTTTTAATTATTAATTTGACTATACACTTGTTACAATAAAAATGTTTTACAAATATTTAATAATTTCATACAAGCAAACCGGGAGGTCAAAACCCCAAAGAGACCTTTTCCAGTATACCCCTTTACAATATTATAACACCAGTATGAATACGTTATTATTTAGTAGTATTTAATGTCTTTTGTCATGGCATAAACAAACATATTTTTTATCTACACAAGATGTCTATACTTATTTGGTTAGTTTCATTAAAGGAAAAAGCTTCTCATAGTTAATTTCATTAGATAACTATATTTTAAATTTTCAATACTTGTTTGTATTTAATATATTATGTCTAGATAAATACAAAGTATTTATGTACACATAGTATATATTATAACATTGTCATAAAATAACAATTATTATTACTAAAATTATTTATTTCCTACCACAAGTTTTACGTGGTTTTATTATTGGTATACAAATACATAACATTTTGCTAACTTATTCAAATAAGAAACCGATTAATAATGTTAGATTTAAAATATTTATTTACGGAGAATTATTAATTTTTAATCTTATATAATATGTAATAGTATGACGTATTCATTCTCTCCAAACGCATAACTTTCTCTTTTTGATAACATTTACATATACCTTGAAACAGAAATGATACTTGTCATGCAATAGTTTTCTAACATTATATGTTATAATATTTATGATAGTTTCATAAACTCATTTCATAAACAATATGTAGGTAACATCTCAAATACAGAGCCACTGATAAGTGGCAATGGCACAATAATTATTGTGGAAAAGCTAGAAGAAAGAAAAAAGCACTATCACACACTTCAAACTAAACATTTTATTTAGAATATAAATAATTAATAAATAACAAATATTAAAATAATTTTCAAACAATTAACAGTATCCAAATACACTTGTTTTCTAAATCAACAGAAATCAGTTTTTGGAACGGTTGTAGTAAGTTGATAAAATAAAGGGTGACCACACTATTAATTTTTAGTTATTACAATGTATGTGTATCTGTTAAAATTTTTTATTTAATTGTTTCAATAAAATTTAAATTAAAAAACTGAGGTTCTATACGAGGCGCTTACTATTGATGTCGATACAAATAATAAACATGCCTACAATCTTATTGCCTACGATTTGATGAATATAAAAAATTTATCTGTTGAGCATTAAATAATTGATGTTAAGCACATTTTTATGTTCATCAGTCTAATCACAATACATATAAATTATTTTTACCTTTCATCATTTGTTTTGTTTTTTGTGATTTTATTTGTTTTTGTTCACTCTTCCCTGTACTCTTCGCGAATATTCTCTAAATGCACTACACTTCTATACCTTCTTCAAAATCTACCATAAAATTTTCCGGAACAGGAAGTGGTAAGACTGTATCTATGTATCTATAAAAAATATTTATATTTTTGTTCCGATTTATATTGACATTTTTGTGGACGTCATTGTTTTGGCATTTTAAGTCATTTTTGGGCATTTGCTTTAATTTTATTTATTACTCTAGATAAACTATAGACGTTGTTTATTTTTATATTTCTTAAATTTAATTCTAATACACTTTGCAGGGTTGTTATTGAAAATGAGAAACGTTTTAGCTCTTCCACTAACTATTTTTATTATGCTTTTCCATAACGCATGTTTAATACAATGATATAAATATGAAGCTTATTTTTAATAAAAGCACGAACTGTACTTTATACTAATTCAATTATAGTATAATGACAATATATAATTATGGAATGTTTATTCGTGAATAAGAATATGCACGTTGAATTATTGTTTCTAATGAATTACAATAGTATTATTTTGCTGGAATATTAATAACTTTGATAACTGATTAGAATTATAGTAATTAAAACTTAACTATAGATATAATTTTTTTCAACTTAACAAAGTATATAATAATTCAAATCAATAACTTTGATTCTTTTATGAGGTTTAATAAAGTCAACTATGATATTTAACAAAATTTTAAAATTAAAATTATTACTTTATTATTAATTTATAGTATATTTGCACTTTTTGTTTATAATTATTTCAGCAAGTTCTGTAAAATTTATAATTATGCTCATGAACAATTGTTTGCAATTTTAAATTTACTTATTTAAATGTTTGTTTTTCATTTAAATAAAACTAACATATTTAACATCTATTAGAATAAATTATATTTTTAAGATTTTTAATTCTTTTTAATTGGATTAATTAGTGTTTCTTTAATTAAAATATTAAGTTGAAAACTAGAATAATTAATAAAAATTTAATTTAAACAATATTATGATACATTAAAATTTAATAAATAATGTATAAAATGATTCACCAAGAATTCTTCTCTCGTTTTTACTTCAATAATACAGTTATTTAAAACCTGATTTTTTGAGTTTTTGAGTATACCTAAAAATCATTTTCAAACTCTAAAGATTCTTTGAACTACTCAAGAAGTTTTCTATGAAGATTTTCAAATGAGAAAATTCCTTTTCTACTGTAAATAATTTAGTGGATAATTTTATTGTATCAGATCAAAATTTTATCTAAATAATTTATTGTAAAAAAGAGGGAGTTTTCATTGTAAAACAGAAGTTTGCATCACTAAAATACTTCTTAAGTGGAAAAAAAAATTCAAAAATTTGAAAATATGGTCGTTGAGTATCTTTAAAAATTCTAAAAATCAGAATTTGAATACATTTGTAATTTTAAACGAAAAATAGGGTTAACATGTTTGATGAACCGTTCTATATATTATATAAACTATATATGAATCGATGATTACAAAAACGACACGAGTCACATTTTTTGTGAAACGTCATGAATCAGAAAACTTTGAAAGTTAATAATAAAAATACATCATATTATTTATATACACAAATTATGAATAATCAGTGCATAATATATTTCTACGAGTATTCATTTTTAAATAAGAATTTTTTTTAGAACTATTTAAATTATACATATTTTATCAATTATCCAAAAGTTTTAAAAAATTAACTCATGTCGTTTCTACAGTCATCAATTCATATAATTATACTACAGCCTATTTAAATATTTTAAGTTATCTTTTAATCATTTACTATAATTTTATATTTTATTACAAATCGTATAATTTAATTTTACTTTAAGTATGTTAATAAAAATTCTGTTATAAAATGGTTTTCAACTTGATTATACACTATAATATAAATATATTATTGTATTAGAAATTTTTTATTCTATTAGATGTTTAAATTATTACCTAAATAGCTTTTTAATTAATATTTTATAAATAAATTACGTTAGAATACCATGATACTCATCATATATAATATATATATATATATATTGTTTGTCAGGTCGCAGTATTGTAACTAACAAAAAAGGAGATGGTTCTCAAGTAAAAGAATCAACTGAGAGCAATACAACATTGGAAGACGATGATGTCAGAGGTAAGTGAAAATAAATAAAATAAAAGCTATGATAAAATCTTGATAAGATTTTAAACATTATGGTGATTTTAAAACTTTACTTTAACCATAATATGATAGTATCCGCCTATACATTAAAATTACAAGTGTTTTAAATTTATAATAATTCAATATTAAATAATTTGCTTGTATTCACATTTAATAAATAAACATAATCGTTATGTTGAAAATATTAATGAAAATCTAAATAATCTAATTTAAACAAATACATATTAATATATACTTACATTTTCATAAATAATAATTTATATTCTAATGCTCTCTATTTAAACAGTACAAAAATTGTATTTAATAGCTAGTTTCTTATTTTCTATAAAACTGAACTCTACTTAGTAATATAATTATAAATAAAATTATAGGTACATATTTATACAAAAAATTATGAATTACTATATAATATACTTTTATAATTATATTGTGTAAGTATAAATGTATATTATTATAACTTTTACATATAATATCTAAAAAAAAATAATATTATTTTACGAGCAATGAACGCACAAGAAACATGAATACCTACCTCAACAATACCTTGTAATCAATAAAAAATAATAATTTTCAATTAACCTGAAATACAATATAATATCTGTAAATAAATATATAATATATATATATACTCGTATTATTATAATCTAAACTGCTTGCTTGTGTAAATAAGAGCAATATGACGCTTACATTTAGGAACACCCATTAAAATATTAGCAAAGTCGTCGCGTGGAAACACATATTATATTATTATTATTATTATTATTATTATTATTATTATTATCATCATCATCATCAATATCGAATGGATCTTTAACGTATAACAACGGACCACCGACGTTCAGTACTTTAATATATAGCCATAATAATATTTTCTTATAATACAAACACCATATAATATCATTAATATCATCATATAAAATAATATACTTATAATAATATAATATGACATTTAGAAACCCGGTGTAGGAGGTTTTTTGTTGGTTTTTCTTTACAATTATTTTTATTTTTTTATTCTCGTTTGTGTATATTATGCATGCGTAAGGAATACTACCCTCGTGACGTGTTTGAAACCCTGTTCTGTAAACACATTTCACTATTCTAATATAAAAAAAAAATTACAAACAAACAAACGTACAAACAAATAACAAAAAAAAATCGTATACGACCGTGTTTCCAATTTGTCACGACTCCAATGTGAAAAGTGTGTTTTTCTCTTAGAGGACAAAAAAGGGACTGTGGACCGGAGCTCTACAGTAATTGCCAAAGATGCGGAAGGTAAATATCAACAATGATAAAACCAACTTTTATATGATATTATATTCACAAAAATAATATGAACGCGGAAACGTGAAACTTTTGTTCTTATTTTCGAGTTAAGAATAGTCGAAGTTTTTCGTGCCAAGAGTATGATAAATTACATTGTATAGTAATCAACTATACTTATACTGTATATCGAGTATTGTTATTTAATTTGGAGTTAATATACTAATATACAGCTAGTTGATATTTTCCGCTTTCACGTCGATTTATATGGATATAGTATATCCCATAAATCTAGTAACTGCTAAGGATTTCGGCAACTAATCAATTTATTTAAATACTGTTTTTTAAAAATAATAACTTATATAGAAAAATTCAAATTTAATGATAATTTCCATTTTTTTAACCAAAATTAAAAAACTTATGTTACTTAGCATTGACTTTTTAAAATTTTAAAATTTGACATTTTGTTAACTATTTAAAAGAAAAAAAAATTGTGAAACTAAATAAAATTGAGCAAATTATATTTTTTTAATATATTTAATTATAGGTTTATTCAAATTTAGAAAAAATAAATATTTCTTTATTATGATAACAATTTACTATAACCAGTTTTTCAAAGAATAAATTTTAAATTAAGATCAAATCTATTTACAAATAATAAATAGATATTTTTAATATTTTTATGGAATTGTAAGAATTAACAAATACAACATGATTTTGCGTTTTGCATATCTGTAGGTAAGTTTAAAAAAATCAAAAAAAAAGTTGTAACTTTCAGTTTTTATAAAGTTTTAATAATTTTTCTATTAATTTATTAAAAAAAAAAGAAGATTAATAAAATATTTATTTTAAAAATTTTAAAATTAAATCCTAGAAAAATATTTTTTTTAATTTTATGAAAAATAAATATTTAAATTATTATTAAATTAGAATTTATCTCAAAGACCAAGACTCTTGAAAATTCGTGTTATAAAAATTGATTTGTGCTTGGAAGATCCTCATGGCGTTAAAAGACTTTTGGGATAAACTGTATAAATATATATATTATAAACACATGTCATGATATTATATGTATATATATATTATATATATACAAATATATATATATATTATTATATAAATCTAGCTCTAATATGAACATAACGTAACATGTATTAACTATTATTTTCTAATACCGTAATAATAATATCAATAAATAATTTTTAACTATTTATTTTATTGTATATGCATTGTTTTATCGTTCATCAATATAAATATATAACAAAATAATATAATTTGTTTATGTCTTGTTCGTCATAATATTGTTATTTTATATTTTTATCTGATATTTGTAATCTATGTTATGTGTATACATTTAACATATACAATAAGATTCAAAAAAGGGAAGTCATCTAATAACATAGAACCTAACATAATTTTTTACCTTTACTTAAGCTACAAGTCTTTTGAAGTGAGCGGAAGTGATATTATAGTCGTGGAGGTTTTCTTAAATGAGTTAGAGAAAAGTTATTTTGACATGATTTGTTGCTTTCTTTCGAATCCTTCATTTTAAATTGAAATTTTTTACAACATTTATTAATTGTCTATCATTACGGATTTTGAAATCAGATATATGCGTGATACTTGCAAATGATGAATATCTACGAGCAAAATACTTGAGTAGTATGAATTTGCGAAACTTAAGATTTTTTCATAACCACAAATTTGAACCATATAAATCCTATTGACTTTAAAAACGGATTTTATTAAATATTTACATTATGATTTGTATATTAATATCTCTTTTATGCCCACACTTCTAGAACCATTAATTGCTTCTACCACAGCGTTTAAATCCCATCCAACTCACAAAATACGTACTATATATTATAGCGTGTAATTGTTTAGGGAACGTTGGTACGCCACCACCGTCACCGGCGTTGTCATCCTCTTCCGTCGGTAGCGTACTGGGCTGCTTCAAGAGTTCCTCGTCCACATCTTTCGGATCCAAGACAAATAAACTGTCAATAATTGTCACCGCCAACCCCCAAAATGTCTTGGCACAAGGTTAGAAAAATTCTGATGTCTCGTTTAAATTTACACATGGTTTCTTTTTCGGTTGCATTTTATAACACACTAATAAATAACAAACCGTGTGTCACTTAAATGCATTTGATACAATATACAAATATATATTTATACACTACTGGCTTAATAATTAACTTTTTTATATATTATAATAATAACTCATCATATAACAGTCAACTCGTCGAGTTCAGATGTAAATTTTCGTGGTTCAAAAGTAACACGCGCCCATAATGTTTCATTTTATTAACATTAATCGAATAACTTGATTTCTTATATTCACTTAACATGAGCGCATAAAGACCATTTTTAGATTCACCAAAGACCTTTTCAAATTATTTACATGATATTGTATTTCGATATTGAATCAATTTTATCGATATTGATGAGACTAATATATCGAAATTACATCGGTATTCGATATCATTTTATTGCAGTTTCTATTTTCTATTTATTTAAGTTCTAACAGTTCCCACCCAGGATTCTCTAAAAAAAACACTAGTTGGAAATGGTTCAAATCAGATGAAGAGAAAGTGGTATTATTTTGCTCCTATATTTCAGAATTTTTAAAGCCCTACCAACACAACAGTATTTTTGCCAAACAATTGAAAACTCACCATTTTATCTTGCTCTTAAACCTTTTTCTTTAGGTGTGGTCAAATATTTTATTGATTCCTTACTACTTATAAAATCACCCGACATAGATCTTATCATTGCTGAAATAACGCAAAAACTTCCAAAAACTGCATTGATTCACTTAGATCACATATTAAACTCATTTTGAGACTTTCATACTTCTCTATTCAATGGAAAATATCACTTATAATTTTAATTCCTAAACTTGGTAAACCCGATACTCCGCTCTCTTACAGTCTTACCTATCAATAAGCTTGCTACCATTTTTCGCTAAACTATGTAAAAAATCTATCTTAAAACGCATATCCAAAAATAATTAACAATAAATAAATCATTCTACATGCCGAATTTGGTTTCCAAAATAAACATTTCACTATCCATCAAATTCACTGCTTAACTAATTCGATCGCCTACTCCTTGGAAAATAAATCATATTACTTTGCTATTCTATTTGATATCGCCCAATCTTTCGACTGTTTGGAACCCTAATCTTCTTTATAAAATAATAATCATTCTACCTCCTCCGTATTATTTATTTATTAAATCACATTTTGAATTTGAATTTGTACAATATTAATCTTATTTTTTTCGTCAATCGTCTATGTCAAGTTTTTTTTAGTAATAAATTATAAACAATTTATTCGTTATTTATTTTATTCACTATTTAAATTATTTAGTAATTATAAGTAATTTTAAAGTAACATTACCTGATAGTCGTAGTCGTACATGGAAATAGTTAATCTTTGAAGTAGATAACAATGGACGGTATAATCATAATTCATAATGTTTAGTAAATAACGAGTTCATTGTCACGTAACCTAACCTTCTATAATTTTAATTAAATATTTAATTTTTTTTATTTATAATAATCAATAAGAAAAACTTTTTTTTTTAATGTCTACAATTCAAAAAAAAAAAAAAAAAAATCCGTCAATAAATTAGTTCATTGAAAACATATCGTTGTGTACCATTAATTCCTACCGGTAAAATTAAGATCTTACCCAGTATTTATTACATAATATTGATAGTCTAACCGTTTTTTGGTTATACTGCTTCAGTTAGGTTCAGTATACTTAAAATTTCCTTGCATGACGCTACGTGTAAAAGTAAAAAATTCCATATAATTTTTCAAAATAACTGCGAAAAACAAAAAAAAATTAAAGAAAATCGAAATCCTATTTATGCAAAACTAAAAAGAAAACCGCATATATTTTTAATTTTCACCAAATATTTATATTAGCACTTATTTTTTATGGTAATAATTTTCAAAATATTTAAACTCTTTTTAAGTTATTTATAGTTATTTGGTGTCTTAAATTTTTTGTCAATCAAAAAAAATTATTTATGAAAATCTTTGAAAATGTAATACAAGATTTCTCAAAAATGTTATTATAATGTAGTTTAATAGCAATTTAAAAAAAATATAAATTAAAATAAATATACATGTAATACGTATATCATGTTGACAAATCATTTTTGTTTAGAATCGTTTTTCATATGTAATGATTTATCATTGAATTCAAATTTAACACGTCGTACAGTACAATGATTTACTCTTCAATGATGAGGTACACATTACACTTTCTGTAGAGCAGAATAGTTACCTACTTTCCCATTTTTCGTTTTATCTTTTATATACAGAATTTTTGATTGAATGTTTTAAAGAATTTATTTGGTTCACATGTATTGATTTGTGAAATAGTTATTTTTAATTAATACTCACATTCACGTGATACATATAAACTTACTTATTTAGAACATAGGTACGTCACATATACTGACAATGATGTAGGTATAAGTGTTAAATGTTATATTTTGGATTAATAAAAACATATTTTTCAATAGTATTATGTGCTTTACTACAATATTATGTATATAATATTATGTAAAAATATTGTACAATATTACAGATTGTACATTGTACATTTTTTTAATTTTCTGATTAATAATTTATACCTACACCTATTTCACTAGTCAAGAACTCTATGAAAAAATTTTATCTTACATAATACACTAGAAAATGTATTTATTTTATTATATTTGAATCGGCTTTTTACAATATAACATAACATGTATAATAATTTAGATATATTATAATAAAAAAATAATATTTATTTATCTTAAAATTAAACTTAGTCAACTTGAGTGATAATAAAAACAAAATATGTTATAAATCGTTGTAGAGATGAGAGATATAAAAATGTTAACCTCCATAGTATTAAAATAAGTTTGTATTGTGCATCATTTTTTTAAAGTTGAGCATTCTTGAAGAAGTAGATTTATAGATAACAGAGTAAAAGAAATCATAAAGTCTAGTATTGTATCATACAAAGTAATTCAGGAAGCCTAGGAATATTGACTTGTTCCTGAATCATATCATGAATAAAATTTAAACCGAATTTATTGCACCTAGCTGAAAGAAAATTGAGTTTAATAATTTAAATAATAGTCTCTTAAGTATGATCTAAATTATGGATATTGAGACAAAAATCAGCATACCTACTTCATAAAACAGTTTTGCACACTTTCAATCCGACGAATATCGATTGAGTTAAAATATAAACAAGAATCTCTAACTCCTGCACTTGGTTAACGCGTTGTACAAATAGTAAGTTTATAGTCAAAGGGTATAGTTGATCTAGTACGACGAAAATTCATTACTTTACATTTGGTGATACTTAGAGATAAATTAAAGATATTAATTAAAGAAATTTATCAAAGGTATTTTGGAGAGTGACACAATCATTAAGTGATAATATCTTATTAAAAATATTTAATAATAAGGGACTAATTGCCTACTTTGTGAAACTCCGGATGATGCTTGAAATAAATTGGATGACTTTCTGAAGAGACTTACAAATTGTCGACGCTCGCTAAGATAGGATCTAAGCCATGATAATTATCAACATCAAATCTATCAAAAATATAAAGAAAAAACCTATGATCTATAGAGACGAATGCTTTAGAAAACTCGGTGTATATCACATCGACTTGATTACCTAACTCTAACAAAGGAAAGAGACAAAGTCAACAAGAAATAATCCATATTGGGCAATTTATGTAGTTGATAAAAAGGTATGTTCGATTCATTTAAGTACAGCAGACTTGAACAATTTACCAAAGAAAGATAGGCTAGAAATGGGCTTATAGTTAGCAACAGCGGACGGATTCCTAGACTTTAAGATAAGGTATAACGCAATTAGTTTTTCAAGCAAATGAGAGATACCTTCAACAAGTGACTTGTTAAAAATTAAAAAGACTAGTGAACCGAAAGTGGTACGACAGCGGTACAGTTAAAGAGAAAAAATATCATTTGGATTAAAACCACAAGAATTTGTAAGGGACTTATCGTACTGAATTAAACTTATAATTAGTTATCCTCATCTACATATTAATTTGTACCTACCATACATTGCACGCGTATATAAATTTGCGACGAGTCTATGAAAGTTCCACAAAAGTATACTAATCATATAGGTATAGGAATTTTGAACTTTGACCCATATGTAAAGGTCGTAACTTTTATATAGTCATTTTTATGTCGTTAAGCTTATTGTTGTTTTTTGAGCTTAGTCTATATATTTATATATATATTGTTTTCTATGGTCATACTTTAAAATAAAAAACTGCAAACGATAATATGACAATAAATATGTATAATGTATATTTACAAAGGCACAATAATATAATGGAAAGACACGCGCGAACACAAACAACCAATCATATGGAATGGAATGTCAGTGTGTAGGTGTGTATAGTGGGTGGGTTGACATTGTTAGTTATATACAACCCTTTACACTGATAACACATTTATGTGTACGAATGTGTTTCACGCAAATTTTCTGAGAGCGACCTTTCCATGCACTAGAGTACAAAGTTAATAAAATATGATTTATTGTATTGTATAAGTATATCGTGAATAGAAAAGACGTGTCATTTTTTTATAAGTCGTACAACAATAGTGATATTTTGGCGCTAAAAACACATGTAAACTAACGAAACAAAAAACGTTTGCACAGTTGTTTTAATTTTAAACACATACCACGTCACACTCACTATTGAGCTATTATAATGCTGTACTCATACTGTTTACTATTTTACCATTACTTTACACACATGATATAAATTATATATCCTGTGTATCCCAGTTTTATCATATAATACATTTTTTCAATCAACGTTCTTTTTTCTTTTTTTTTGCTCATTGCCGTCGTTTGTGGTACTCCCATGGTGTCGTCGTCACATTATAATATATTTAAGATCATCTAAACGCCTAAAAATCAAGATATTACATTTACATAATCGTCGTTGTCGTTGACATATAAGTGTTTTATACATTTTTAAATGTATATTATTTAAATAAACACTTTCATTTTTTGTGAACAATCATATCATAGTGTAGGTCACTACCACTGCTTTAGAGTTTTCTATTCCGTTCTCAAGTAAAGTACCCATAAAACGTATCACATACCTACTTAAATATACGCTCCAGTCACCGTCATCTGCTGCTTCTTCTGCTGCGGTTAATGATACGTCATTCGTGACCACGTTCCTGGTGAGTTTCGTACCTAATACACACGTAAATTTGTTTACTATAATATCACAATTTTAAATCATTTTATGCGAAATTCCACAAATGTACTCCTTAAATAACCTTGGGTTTATTTTATATAATAAAACAATATACATTTTCTATATATACATTCAGCTTATCATAATAACATAGTAATATAGAAATAGTCGTATCACCGCATCGCGTAGCCCCACTCCCACATCCCATCCCTCCATCACCCCCTTCATAGTATGGTGTTGTGCTTTTGCAGTAACTGTCCCGACGAACCCGACGTAGAACGTCTAGAACCCGGTAACTCAATGGAATCGTTCGTTTCGGAAAACGTTTGTAAGTATATGCAGAAAATATCCGTTTAAACATATATATAATATAATAAATTATAAAGTACCATAATTTAAAATAGAATAAAATATCACCTAAATTTTATTTTAATGAGTATATTTTCCCATATTATAAGCAAGTTGATTATTATTTTGCTGCATATAATACGACAAACATTTTCTCAGTCTATTAAATACATTTTTTTAAAGTTTAAAACAACTAAGTAATTAGCTTATAATACTAAATTATTCCCATTAACAAATCATTGATATTCATTTTAACTTATAGTGATTGTGTGTACTTGTCATTTAGCTTATGATAAAAGTGATTTCTTATTTTAATCATCATCTCACATATATATTCAATCACTTAATATATTATTATGTTATGTTGATAATGAAATATTTTTTACAACTCTTAAAAACCCATTTTCATTGCTTATTATCGACTTCTTTTATTATTTTTATATCTATAATCTAGAGTTTAAAGTATTCATGAACTCTATAAACTTAAAATTTAAAAACTATTTTCAAATAGTAAAAGATGACTGAGAAAATGATTGCTACTTATATTGGTACCTACGCATATGTATGTAATATAATTTCACCCGCGTGTACGCTTAACGTGCGACCTATATCCATTTGCACACAACATCTTATAACAGAATATGTTTATCTACCCTACCATCGCATTCTATAAATAAGTTGTTTTTATTTTTAATTATTATCAATTAGTAATTAATTTACTAATTATCATTAGCATTCGATTTGCTTTAGTAGGTAAGCTAGTAGCGTATATATTATATTATAATTAGGACTGGAAATTTGATACTCTAAAAAAATGAAAAATAACACAATAATAGACCAATTATTTAAAATTATATACTTCTAAAATTCACTAAAAGACTACAAACACGACAAAAATATTAGGTATAGGTAAACAAAAATTTTTAAGTTTAATATGTAATATTCATAAAATAATATTAAATTAATTATTTATTATGATAATTTAGTGAAATAATAATTTCATAATGATAAATTCTATTTATTTGTGAACAGTGATCGTGAAAGTATTAAGTACTTTTATGCTTCTAAGTTGTTCCGTATCAATTTATATTAGTTATGTGGGATTTAAAATCCCAAAATATTAATTTTAATTGTACTCAACATGTTTAATATATTGATAATAGAATATTTATAAAAAAGTACTTTCGTTAGAATCTTGAGATAACATTTTTGGATTTTGGATTTGTACATATAAAATTCCCTTAAAAAAATTAATATGTATATCAAAATAAAAATTGGTATTTAAAAAAAAAAAAACATGAAATAAATTTGTATTAAAACGAGCACCATACCGGTAAAAAATTAATTAAAAAGTACATTTAAATCACAGTCCTAATTATAATAACCAATAATCTCCATCGGTGTATTATACTGGTACGTAGGTTTCATTCTAATTATCATTCAAACCCGGCTGGAATAGACGATCCAATAAAACAATGCATATACACGTAAAATAACCAAAATTATCGATATAGAAACATAGACCAAAGTATAATTAATGTATACATAGATATAACAATGATATTATACAATGTATATAATATACGTATAATTATATATATATATAGGATGAAACACGCATTGATATAATATAGTGCGTGTTTTCCTATTTTTTTCTTTTTTCTTTTTCTCTGTTTCTCATAGCTATATCGGTTTTCGTTTTTTGCATTTCTTTTTTTCTTTTTATGTTTTATTTTCACACATTTTCACTAAGACGTGAGGATTGTCTGTCCCAACAAGACATTCTCGCAGCACTCGACTAACTCTTGCGGTTCAGGTGAGTTCAAACAACTACAAATACAAATCTAGATAGTATTTTATATTCAATTTTCAATTTCACATTTTCCCACACGGTAATATTAAAATGTACATATTATTATACTTATTATACCTACGTTTTGTTGAAAACCCATTTTGATTATTATAGTACTCATATTTATTTAAATATATATATATATATATATATATATTACAATACCTGTATATATTATGATTATTTCACTTACTTTATTTTTATTAATCCACTCGTACTGCGTTTAAAGCTTTTGTATAATATATCTATAATCTATATACATTATACTGATATTAAACATAATATTTTACACACATCGGTGTTGAAATATCTTTAAAAAAATGTAAAAAAAATAAATAATAAGATAATACCGCTGTCGGATTTACCGAAACTAGACATTAACCAATGTTATACGTAATCATAATAGCTTATAACCTTAACGGTATTATTTCAGCACGCAAACAAGAAATCGTTAAAATCACAGAACAACTTATTGAATCAATCAACAATGCTGATTTTGAAGGATATACGTACGTATGATTATTATATAAGATAATATATTAATATAAAATGATTAATATATCATGTTTATTGTATAATTCGTGTACGCATATATATGATTTCTTTAATCTAAGATTATTATTTTGTTAGTCAAAGTTATGATATTTTTTTACTCAAATAATTATTAGAAGGTGTCAAAGCTTAAATTCTAAGCAAAATTAAAAGTTTATTGGTTTTACAGTCATGTATATTTCTTATTGCTTGAGATTCTAAAAATACTCGTAGTTCTATTCGTCGGTCGGTTCTTTAATCTGTAGATTTTGTTGATTGTTTAAGTATCTTATGTAAAAAATTTCGATTCTATTAATTTCAAGATATTAATAAGACTAAATAAAATTATTCTTTTTAGTCAGAAATCTGATCTCGCCAATTTAAAATATATAGCAGATTTCCAGGCACAGTTATAAACATTAACGCAGTACCTACAAATAAAATATTGTGTTAACTATTAGCTGTTTTTTGTGTTATTCTATTCTATCCACTTGGCTGTAAAAATTAGTTTTGAAATAATATTATTGTGGCAATAGTAAAATTAAATAAAAACGTGTTAATATTATTAATTGTATAGTTTATTCATTATTTTTATTACTAAATAATTGTTATATACATCAATAGTATATTATGTTTATTGTTTGTATAATATTTTAGGAAAATTTGCGATCCGCACATGACAGCATTTGAACCGGAAGCACTTGGAAATCTACTGGAGGGCATGGAATTCCATAAATTTTACTTCGACCATGGTATAATTACGCTTTTTTATTTTATTTTTGTAATAAAATTTGAATTTTTCACAAGCACACAGTTCACTAGGTTGTGTATAGAATCCGTTTTGACAGTTTTAGGTAAGAATCGAGGCATAAATACTACAGTGTTGAATCCTACCGTGCATTTACTTGGTGACGATGCAGCTTGCATTGCATACATTATACTCGTACAATACATCGACAAGTAAGTTATTTATTCAATATGTACATTGTACATTCATTTTCATTCCAATTTCCAACACTGAAAATTTCCTAATATAATTTTCTAATGATATAATATAAGTGTTCAATTTTTTATACTTGTTTTATCAGTAGGGGATATCACTATTTTTTAGATTAAAAAATATTTAGTTTGGTAAATATTATGATACGTCCATTTTTAACAAAATCGATATATTAGCTATTTTATTATAATTTATAAGGTAATCCTAGAGACTTTGAATTAATCCCATAAATGATAAAATCATAGAAAAATGTATGTATATTTCAATGTTTAACTTATAAACTATAAATACATTGTAATAAATAATACACTACGACCCTGGGCTATTCATGAAATTTATTTATTCACGAACAGGTATTACACGGCGTATTGTATAGGCAATATAGGTACATAACTGTATTCAAAAACCATTGATTCAGTCTTGATAATAAAACTATATAAATTAAATATAAAATAAATTTAATTAATACATCATTTACATCATACAGTATTACAAGCATTTAATTTTCTGCCTTCTTTATTTAATTGAAATTTAGGTATATAATATATTGTATAAAATTTGAAAAAAAATATTTGTTGTTAAAACTTTAAAACTGTGTATATGAAGAGGGGGACACAACAAAAAGTACTGGAAAATCAAAATTCTAAATACGTCTTTGTACACACACACATGCACACATTCAGATTGAAAGCATAACGCAAAACTGTATTCCTGTTTTACCATTATAGACAAGGAGTTCCTAGATCGCACCAGTATGAAGAAACTAGAGTATGGCACAGACGTGACAACAAATGGCAAAACGTGCATTCGCATCGGTCAGCATCGGTAGCATCCACCAGCAGCGCGTTTTCGCCATCCGCCATCAATAAATAATCGTTCATCAGCGATAATACATCGACGGTCATACAGAACAAATGAAGAAGCCCACTATAATAACAATGTTTTTGTTCCTTTTTATCTTTATTTCTTTTCTTCTATCTTGTTTTTTTTTTCATTTTGACTGATTTTAAAGTTGATAATATCGTTACATTATATTTATTATCTATCCTTTAATATATATTACAAAACACATTAATATATAAAATACTACAGTATGATTGAAATTTTGTCAATAAATAATTAAATAACAGAGTTATATTTAAAGACATAAAATAGTTTAAAATTTATAGTAAAAACTATAAATAGAATATTATAATGTAATAAAGCTACATGTGAAATACAAAATTAAAACGCACTTATAATTATGAAAATTCAAATAATTTGCACATTATGTAAGATGTCAAAATTAAAAAAAAAAATTTCAGTAATTTTGGCTTGGGCATGCCATATTTTTAAATTTATATCCATTTTAGTAGTTTTACCCATCTATGTATAATATATATACAATAATAAATATTACTTGTAGTCAATTAAAACATACCAATTATTTATTACATTTAATTGACTTTTTTCAATCATTCATAAAAATAATATAATATTAATACTTCGTACAAAACGCTAAAAAACAATATTAATAAGTCTCTCTTAGGCCTATGAAAATATACATAAATCAGTTTTTTCTTATATCTTGTCATAATATTATTATGTATCCATATACATTTTTTTTTTTTATTTAAATAAACTAACCGATATTTAAAAAGACTTGCGCATAATTGAAGTATTTTAGGTTAATATATTTTATTTTATTTTTTTTTTTTTTTTTTTAATTCGCTATCAACAAAAATATATATTAATACAGTTGTATGTATATAAATATATATTTATATATATATAAACTTTCCTAATACATGATTAAAATATTAATTGTTTTATTTAAATATATTGTATAATTCGTAAAATGTTTTTTTCGTATTAATTTTTCATACACAAAATATAATATTATTCAAACTACAACACATATCTATCATATTATCAAATTCATTGTTTGAAATACAACCAATTGGTTAATACATAATATATAGAATCTACTTATACATTTTTGTTCTTTATACTCGTTTTTATCTATTTAAAATTAAATCGCGATAATATCATGTTTTTTTCGGAATGATATAAAATGCTTTTCATTGTTAAAAAAAAAAAAAAAAAAAAAAAATCAATTTAGAAAAAAATTTTAATACCTACTTATTATTCGTACAATATTTTATAGGCGTGTTGTACCCTATGTATATTAAATTGTAAAATAATTTCTTTTCTTTTAATTTTTAAAGTATCTTATATTATATATTGTTCTTTCACCTCACACTTGTATTATACTTAACCTATATAATTATTAAATTATTACTATATTATTATTATTATTATTATTATTATTATTATTATTATTATTATTCTAGTCAAACGAAATTTTGTTTTATTTTTATCATTAGGGGTTTATATATGTATATTAAATATATATAATACATAAAATATAATAAATTGAGTTCAAACGATACTCGTTCTCTCTTGAACAACGACTATGATCGGTCAGTTATAATAAAAAAAAAAATTAAAATGGCATACGTAAATACTATAAAATGTATGCATTTTACTAAAAATTAATCATTTTTCAATTTAAATAAATCATTTCTTGGTATTTAAATAGCATTTTTGAAAAAAAAAATAACAGGTCTACATAATATAATATTATATAACATATATATTATTATAAAAAGACTGGTGCTTATTGTGTTTACTAATATATAATAATAAATATTATATGCTTTTTTAATAATAAAATTTTCCTAGTAAAATACTATACATTTTTTAGCAGGTAAATTATATTATATATTCAATAAAACATATTTACAAAACTGTTTATAACGTTTTTTAAAACACAACGATCACGTTCGCCGTTTACTACTGTATCATTATTATTAAACATTTATTATATTAATTTTAGCTCTGCAATTTTGTTATTAATATTATTATTATTATTATTATTTATTTTGAATTTTTATTGTAATTATCATGATTATTATTATTATTATTATTATTATAGCATTAATAAAAAAAATTAATTATTTCAACTATAAATGTATAAACTAGATAATATTATGTACTTTGTACAATACTACAACGTTATATGTTCGTATGCGTATAACTGCAAACGTGTTTATTAAATAGGTAATTAAATCGTCTTAACAACTTCACATAAACCAGGTTTAACACAATAATGTATATGTTCACTACTTTCGTATCGTAAGTTAAAAATTTGTTTCCTTTCTAGTAACTTTTGATTACATCGAAATTCTAGTAAGACACCATACCGTGTCTCTTTCGTTGTTCAAAATGTTTTATAGTATATTATACCTATTGCACTGTATGATTAACGGTTATAAACATTCGACTTTCGCACTATTAAACTTGATTTAGTGCCGTGTTTCGTGGACAAATCATAGATAACAAATTATATTATTATATTTACAACCCACGACACAAATAAAATAATAACTCTTTGACAATACGAATTTGATAAATACTGCGACATAATGGACACTAACTGTTCTCCAAGGTCGATACATTTGTATTTACTCGACACGTGGAAATGGACATATAATATACTACAACATATTGTTGATCAAAAAAATCATCGGTCAGACAGTATCTGTACATGAAATGAAAACCTATCGGAGATATTTATACAAAATATAATATAAGCGTACACGGTGTACGGTCACCTATACAGAACTTAATAATTTTGTCAATACGGTATTAGCACCCCTAACTGTAACGAATATCAACGGGCATTTTGCGTTAGCAGTCATCAAAACAGTAAAAACAATTGGCACACTAAGGGAAAATTCTAGAACAATTTTAGATAAAAGAGATCAAATCGTGTCTTTTGAAATTTTCAGCAGTTGATATGTCAATAAAAGCTTGTATTACATTTTTTTTTTTTTTTTTTTTTAACCGCACAGCTGCAAAGTAACTGGTTTATTTTGAGAACCCGTGGCTAACATCAAAGGTATGATGTCCGGATTAGATGGGTTAAGAGCCAGTTTTTGAGTCACCAACTATTTTAATACTTAATATTATTAGACCATGTGTTGTAACATTACCGTTATTTTTGTTTCTCTATCACATTTCTAGTTATCACCGTTTTTTATATAGATTTCAAAAACCTCTAAATATTTAGTTGCCTGGCATAAATACCATGAATTATATGTGACTATATTCTATGCATGTTAAAAAGGAACCTCATATGCAACCAGTTATGGTTAAGCAACAACGGTTGACAAATATTTGGCACAACAAATGTCAAATAATACATTATAAAAATGTAAAATAAATAATAATATCATTTATAAGTATTTTATTTTTATTTTTTACTAAAGTTTAAGTATTTTAAACACACAAAAAGAAATTTATTTCATTGTGTAGGAAAACTAAATTAATTTAAATGTTTTCAGATTAATAAAGGAATGTACAAATTCCTTTAATTAATTTCATTATAATAATTCCGGATACACTACTAATAACAATTTTGATACAGATAAAAAACTTAAGGGGAATTTGTTGTCAATAGTGGGAATCAATATAAAAAAAAAATAATGTACAGTCAATTTGTAAATACATTACTAAAGAAAATATTAATACCGCTTTTTGTATGGAAAACTTCTTTTACCACCTCGGAAATTCTTTTGTTTTCCAACATCACCATTAGTACGTTTCTTAATAGCTGTTAATACAGTTTTGTCAATTGAACCAAAGCGAAGCTCACGTGCCTTAAGTTTGTCTTCTTTTTCGCTCTATATTAATAAAAAGTTACAAATAATTTTTAAAAAGACACACTTTAAAATGACTAAAATTCAATAAAATTTATTACAAATTTCTTTTATATATATGTATATAATCACAGATCATAATCTTTTATATATAATCACAGATTAAGTCATTCAGACTTACAAATATTATAACATTTAAAACCCAAGTTTAATTGATAGATTAAATTCTATACAACACATAATTTATAATATAACATCAAAAATTACCTCTATACACTATAGTCTTCCAAATGTCATAGGACAAAAATAGTGGAGATTATATTAGTTGCTACAGATCCCGACACATTTTTATCACATGAAATTTGAAAGACCTATAAATATTTAACTTAAATGAAAACTAAGAAATAAATTACAATATACTCACATCATGTAAAGTTTTTGAAACAGTTTCACCAAATCTCTCAGCTCTCATTTTTAATTTGTCATTATCAGCATTGGCTACTGGTTTCTAATTTAAAATGATAGTTTATTAAGTATACTACACTATAAGATGACAATCATTTTATGAATATAAGTAAAAATAGGATTAACTAAAAAAAAAAAAAACATTGACTAATATTTTTTTCACATATATTATACTCATAAATAAATGTCGATCTTTGGTACACAGGCAATCTACTTCAAATTACTGAAGTACATATGGGTAGATATTAACAGATCCAAGGATATGTAAGAGAAATAAGATGGAACATTGGAAATTCAATGAAAAAAAAGAAACAATTACTGAAAATAAATCTTCCAAAACATAACTAATTACAATTACAATAGTGTTGATATCAATAGTAAACATGGCTCATGGGGTTAATAGACAAAAATAGATAAAATACTTTTAGACTCTGATTAGATCCAATGAATGTATTGTTTTGACTGTTTTTTTATTTTTTTTCTTACATGTATACAATTTCTAATTGAAAAATACATTGATTTGTAAGTTTAATATCTTTTCTGATAAAAAAGTATATCTAATTAATACTTTTGAAAGGTAAAAATTAAAATTTTTAGCACATTTCAAAATAATAGGAAAAAAATAGGATACTGCCTTATGAATGGCAGCATGGGCGTCTCCAGGGGGTGAAGGCAAAACAGGGCACTTCCCCTCTAGAATTTTAAATTTGTTACTCAAATGTAATAATGACGAAACATAATAATATTCTATAAACAAAATGTATAATAAATTATTATTAATAATAATACCTAAGTGAAATAATGACAAAACATAATAATGTACTATAAATAAAATGCATAAAAAAATTTTTATTCATTTTTTAAATTTATTTTGTTCTCTTCCCCCCCCCCCCCTAGAAAAATGTCCGAGGGGGCACCCATGAGTGGCGGTAGCCAGTAGCTGTTGTTTTTTACCGAAGCCTCACATTACATTAACAAAACATAGTGAAAGATTGGACAACGCGACAATCAGCCACCATGATTTTGGGTTTCAGTATAATTTTTCATTAAAAGTATAGCTGGTTTTTTAAAAAACTTAATTTATAATTCACGCAATTCAGATGGTCACTATAAAATAAAATCATCTGTAAATTTTCTATTATTTTATCATTTACTAAGTATTAATTAGGTTCAATTAATTCAGTAAATAATTAGTTAGCATGTTTAAATAAAAACATCAACATTTACGTGGTTTAAATTAGAAACTTCTACTTTAAAATAATATGCACTATCCTGCCCCACCTCTATACACTTTTTTTTACTTAGCTGTGCCATAATATGGAGTTAGATAACTACCAGTAATATTATAATAATTATTATACAATAAATGTGATTTGGTTCTGTTAACAATTTGTTCAACTTATCATTTTACTAATAAAAAATTAATTACTTAAAGAAATATAAATATATATATTCAAATATTTTAGAAATATAGACTGACAGGCCGATTAGAATCATTTTTCGTATATACTGATTTATCATTGAATTCAAATTTAATACATTCATTACAATGACCTACTAGCAATTCTTAATAATACTAAGTAGAATGATTTCTTTGATTATTATTTTCAGGTTGCATTGTGAATTGAGCCTTTTAATTATTATGGGTTATATTTAATGGACACAAAAATGAAAGAAAATCATTTATATATCATACAATTGAAAAATACATTAATCTTTTTATATTTTTGTTTAAGTTTAATAAATTTAGAAACAATGATGATCTTTTACATACTTGATCAGTTACAGCACCAAATTTAATAAGTCGGGCTAATTTTTTATCTTCCGACACTTCACCTCCAAATTTCTTTGCTCTCATTTGTATTCTCTATAAATAAATTTGAATACTAAAATTCATTAATCAAAAATAAAATTATTCCAATATTTACCTCAATTTGACTCATAGCTTCAACTTCATCTAATTTTATGACACGGTCCTTAATATCTGATTCTTCATTGTCTTCAATTTTTTTCTCTTCTTCTTGTGGTTTAATACCATCACCATTCAATACAGTTACAGAAGTACGTTTTAACGTCACCTTTTTAGGCTGTATTACCTAGAGATAATACGAAACAAAAATCAATTAATTTTTATTATTTAAAAAAGATATACTATTTTTATTTCTCTGTCGCTTCTATTTTTTTTTTTTTTTAATTTCAATGGTCATGTAAGAAATTTCTTCCATTATTTTCATATGTTAAATAACTTAAACACATTAGTTATGCAATTAGAATCAATTATGGTTATTTTTAAATTTTTATACTTGAATATTTATTTCGTCATATACATATTATATTTAACCGATTATAGTTGAATTATAAAGCTAGTTTTTATTATTATTACTACTAATGTTACATGTAGAGTATTTATCTCACTAAATAAAAACAGATCATAGATACTAACATTCAAAAGTCTATTAAAATGTATATGAACATACAATTATTTGTACATTTTATATAACATATAAGGTAAATGGATGCTTAAGAGAACATCGTGTGAGCATATATTGACTTAGTCCAACTAACTTAAAAATTATAAAATTTTAGTTCAACAAAACCAATTTTATGTAGTCAACTTTAATATAAATGATGAATTAACGTATAATCAAGCTTAAACATAAGAACTTTGTATGTATTTATACGTAGATTATTAAAATAATTCAATTTTAGTGAGTTAAAAATATTTTTAAATAACACTATTTTATAAATGTAAAATATTCATTCTAGTATTAAGGTTAACAAAACTATACTTGAACTGGTGAGCATATATTTGCTACGTTATACACTTGTAAAACAGAAATAAAGCATCTCTTAATAAATACTTTATGAAGTTTTAATTTTTAAATAATTAAAAAAACATTTTTATTTCAATATTTTACACTTTAAATAACTAAAATATTGCAAAACACCAATGAAAAACCATAGGTAATGTTCCTAACTAAAAGTTTAATCGTGTATCAATTTACTCCAATATTAAAATTAACACAAAATTGGTATATTATACGTTTGTAAGACAGAGATAATATATGTAAGTATAGTGTCTTCTTAAGGCAATAAACCAATTTAAGTCAAACTTAACCACGTATGTATAGTATAAGAAAAATTTAATTAACTAATGCACAAATGGAGGTTTTAAGTGAGTTTAGAATGTAATTACAGTGAAATTGTGTAATCAATACAGCTTTAAATATTCAACTGCCAGCCAACTGCCAAGGTATGATAATAATCTGAAGACTATTGTAGTATTGTCAGTTCATGCTGCGACACTGTACAGACGTACAGTCCACACGAATATTTCTATCGCACTCCGCTTATCAGCTTCTGACAACAAAGTCGTCTGTGCTCGCTGCGACATCTACTTTGTCGTGGTGCGAACCACTGATAATGTATATTTTTACTATACTCCCCGAGGCCTACTACCTGTACACCTTATCTACATCATTATGAATCCTAATCGCCAGACGACCGGCTCTCATAGTTACACTAATAAAATCAAAACTACAAATCAAAAAAAAAACAACTCCCCCGTTAATTATACCAAAAACATTAATTAATCAAACGGGCTCTAACCCACCGTCGGACTTCTCCGATAACGATAACGACTGGCAAACAGTCACTCATGACTCGGGTAAACGTCAAAGATCACCTAATACTCTCACATCACCACTTCCAAAATAAGACACTAGTATTTTTATCTCTTCAAATCGTTTCTCTCCATTAGCCCCTTCCAATGAAGAATCTCAAATAGTCACCGATAATGTTGAGCAGTCACAGGAAGGCACCCTGCCCAAAACCGTCAACTCGCCACCAATATTCATAGAATCCAATTTAAATTTCAACAATTTTACCGCCAAAATTAAGGAACTTACGCAACCTGATGGTTTCGAATGTAAAACCTCCACCAAAGGGATTAAACTTCAAACTTTTAATTGAGACTCTTACAGATCTGTTGTTAAATTTCTCAAGGAAAGCCAAGTTGCCTTTCAGAATAAAGAATCTAAACCATACAGAATTGTAATAAAAAATCTCCACCCTTCCACAGACATATCATTCATAAAAGACGAATTAACCTCACTGGGCTTCCAACCCAGAAATATTATGAATGTACTTAACAGACAATCAAAGGCACCTCTCCCTATGTTCTTCATTGACTTAGAACCGGATATTAACAACCCTGATATCTTCAAGCTTTCACTCTTATGCTACTCTAAAATAAAAGTCGAAGCCCTTCGTTCCAAAAAAGACACTCCCCAGTGTCTTCGATGCCAATCATATGGTCATACACGCACCTACTGCAACCACCACCCCAGATGTGTTTGCTGCGGTGATCCCCATGACTCATCTCAATGCCAAAAAGATCGAACCCAACCCACCAAATTTGCCCTATGTGGTGGCCCACATCCTGCCAACTACAAAGACTGCTCAGTGCACATAGAACTCAGCAAAAAAAGAAAACTCTTACCATCGAATCCCTGGCACAAAAACGCACCGAACCACCAAGCATCTTCCTCCTCACAAGAACGGGCGAGGCACGTTTGGGCCAGGGACGTTTAGGTCACTAATAAAAATGCAACCCGTTTGGACCAGGATTTTGTGAACCCACTTGGGCCAATTTTTTTTTTAGTAAATTTAAGATAAAGACTTCTAATTAATTACTAGAAAGCCCGATTATGCTCGTTTCACATGGACGCGTATCGTACGCTTGCGCTTTTATTTTACAATGGTTAAGTTCATACGCACCGTATCGGTGATTAAAACACGCCATCATCAGAGTAATAATATGTTCAGTTAAACTGTGTAAACTAATTTGTAATTTCTAGATTATGTACAGAACAAAATTATTTATAATTGATAACTGACCAAAAACCCACAGTTATATTATACATACGTATAATACAAATATACAATATATATACAAATATATAATAGATATCTATTACAAAACGGTCTTATCGGCCAGTGCGATAATACTAATTGGCAATATTGCGGTTATTCGGCTATACATTATTATCAAAAATTTAAAACACTATGTTCTACGTATGCACAATGGTGACATCGAGGCTCTGTTTCTATAGCTTATACCATACTAAGTTAGTATTAGTATTTTCAATTTTGGTTAGTGCACTCTTAATATTCGTGTAGTACTGTAGTTAAAATGGATATCCAAATCGAAAATGTTTTTCAAACAAAACGAGGTAATACGTGTATAACTGTTGATAATTTTAAACTCAGTAAATGTAATATTTTAATGAATAGTAATATTCGTTTTCGGTGTACAAATCGTTCGTGCAACGTGACTATTATCGTTAATGATAAGCTAAATGAAATAATTGAAACCAAAAATTTTCCTCACAATCATCCTCCTCTAAAAGATAATTCGATCAAATTGGACATCATTAGAACAGCTGTAAAAAGAAAGGGGACAGAAGACCTGCATACCAAACCAAACAAAATTATTTTAAAAGAAATACGTCAAAGTGGATTTGATACAGATATTGAATATTCTAATTTAAGGTTAGTGCGTAAATCATTATATTGTGCCCGTAAAAAATTATTTCCGACGTTACCACAAACATTAGAAGATACAATTGATATACTTTCGGCAGAAGGAGACAATATAACAAAATTTAACGATGAAAAATTTTGTCATATTTCTTCGGATAAAAATTTAATTTTATTCACCTGCAAAGCAAATCTAAATCTTTTGTGTGATAGCACACATGTTTTTGGAGATGGTACTTTTCGTTATGCACCTAAATTTTTTTTCCAGCTGTATACAATTCATGTGTATGTAAATAAATTTTACATTCCTGTAATTTATTGTTTACTCCCATTCAAAAACTTGGAAATGTACCAATATATGTGGAATGAAATAAAATTATTATGTAAACATTTAACTGGCAAAAAACTAGATATGAAAAATTTCCATGCAGATTTCGAAAAACCTGCACATTGTGCTGTTTTAAATACATTTCCTAATTGTAAAATTGTGTGCTGCTTTTTTCATTTAAGCCAAAGTTTTTATCGCAAAATTCAAAAACATTATTATTTACATAGTAAATACAAAGAAGAAAACTCAGAAGTTGGAAATTGGTTGAGATATTTTTATGGGTTAGCTTTTTTACCACCATCTGAAGTTGGAGATGGGTATGCTCAATTGATGTCTATTGCTCCCAATATCGAACACGTTACTCACTTTGCTGACTATGTTTTAAATTATTACGTATCAGAAGATGCAGATTTTAATCCTTCTATTTGGGCAGCAGAACCTTCCGATTCACCACGTACAACAAATGGTCCTGAATCGTTTCACTCTCATTATAATTCACAATTTTATACACCCCATCCAAACATTTTCCAAGTAATTGACGTTCTTAAAGATTTCCAAGTTCAAACTATGCTGAAAATATCATCAATTTCAAATAATAAAATGAATGTTCAAAGAAATGATACACTTAAAAAACACAACATACTACATGCACGATGGGCACAATATAAAAATGGTGAGATATCTCAATTGACGTATTTGAAGATTATTGGACAAATGTTTCAAGCAGCTCGAATTTAAAATTTAAATAGTTCATAAAAAATATATTTTCGTAATTTAGTCCACTCGTATTTAAAAAAATAATAATTTGACAAATTTTATATTGTACCTAATGTACCTATTTATTTTTTAATATTTTTATCTTTAAAACGAAGTAATCATACATATTTGATATTATTATAAAAAAAAAAAAACAATAATAAAAATAAAAATAAGAAACAGCATTTTTAACCATGCCAAAGACAGTCCTAAGCCTGTTAAAAATAAAATGGGAAGGAAAATGCTGGTCCAAACGAGTTGTATAAAAGTAATATTTTTTAGTCCAAACGGGTCTTTAAAATTGGTCCAAACGAGCTGTGTTTTAGAAAAATTGGTCCAAACGGGTCCTGCCCACAAGAACCTCACAAAAACTCCCATTTGGAATTCCCTCCCCTGCCACAAATTAAGCCCAACCATTCACAGAGAACACATCAAAAATCTCCTATCCCTAGTGTTTCGAATAATACAACGGATCAACTCACGTCTTTCATCATGGAATTCAGATCGCTAATCAATCCCCTGATATCCCTACTTACATCACTCATCGAAAACTTATCTCAAACAATGGCCGAAAATAAGTTATCCACCTTAACCATTCTTCTATGGAACGTAAACGGAATCACCAACAACATGGAAGAACTTAAATTTGTTCTCGCAGAAAAAAACATAGATATAGCTCTCATCTCACCTCCAGCTCAAAATTTAAATTTTTGGACATAACTGCCTCCAAGCCAATCACCCCGATGTATCAGCTCATGCCGGTGCCGCACTACTAATTCCTACCAAAATCCCACACTCACCTTTTCATCCTAAATCTAACCAACATATGCAGATAGTCCCTACATTTATAATTATTAACTCCATACCCATGTCTACTGCATCAGCCTACTTCCCTCCAGGTTCACCTTTTCCTGCAGAAGATCTGTCACTATTTCTTCAAACACTAAATCACACATACATCATAGGTGCTGATTTTAATGCAAAGCATGAAACATGGGGCTGTCACTCAAAAAAACACTAGAGGTCGCACTCTATACAACTTTATAACAAACAAGCGCTCTAAAATTATCTCTCCAGTCTCCCCTACCTACTGGCCAACCCACGCAAACCGCCACCCCGATTATCTTGACTTTTTTCTATCTAACCTTCCTAATCACATCCATACAAATATTTCTAACCTAAATGACCCTACATCCGACCACACACCACTCATCCTCAAAATTCAAGCAAATGTTTCCATCCATCCATTCGCAAAAAACCGCACAGATTGGAACAAATTTCGCAATGTTATGTCAACTTCTTCCTCTTTAAACATTAAGTTAAAAAATCCCAATGATATAGATACAGCCATAAACACCCTCACAAACAACATTCAAGATACACTTCGAATATCTTCCACTAAATTTGCAATTTAAGACAACTCCAGTAGAAATATCACTCCTGAAATAAGAGAGCTCATCTCTCAAAAACGTTGGGCTCGAAACACTTGGCAACGAACTCACTACCTGATTGACAAACAACGGTACAACTGCTTTTCCAACAAACTCAAGTCAACTCTCAAGAAACACAAAAATCAAACACCTCCCAGATCCAATCTCTCTCACCCTCAAATGAGTCTCTCAGGAGAAAAATCAAATCTCTTTTAAAGCATAAATCCACCATTCCCCCTCTTCGCTATCAAAACAACAATCTTGCTACCACTGACCAAGAAAAATCAGATCGTCTGGCTAACCATCTTGCAAATACATTTAAACCTCACAACGTTTACCCTGATGCTACTCACATGCTTCAAGTTGATCAATTCATCTCATCGCCTCTGTCCATGGCACTTCCAGCCTCTCCAACTACTCCGGGCGAAGTTCTATCAATTGTTAAAAAACTTAAGAATAATAAGTCACCCGACCATGATTTCATAAACAACAAAATAGTCAAAAACTTACCACCTGGAACCATCATTCTTCTCACCTACATCTTTAATGCTATATTTCGGAATTTTATTTCCCTGCCACTTGGAAATCAGCACTTATTATAACTATACTTAAACCAGGCAAACAACCTGATTTGCCTGAATCGTACAGATCCAATCAGCTTACTACCCACGTTTAGAAAATTTTTTGAAAAACTTCTTCTCAAGAGACTTGTGACTATCGCACTCAAACAAAATGCCCTTCCCAGTTTTCAATTCGGTTTTCGTGCCAAACATGCAACTTTTCACCAGCTCCACCGCATAGTAGACCATATTGCTCATCTTTAGAAAAAAAATATATTGCTCAGGACTTTTTCTCGACGTAGCTCAAGTCTTCGATACCGTTTGGCACGACGGATTACTATTCAAACTTAAAAAAATCTTCCCGGCACCTTATTATTTACTTCTAAAATCATACCTAAATAACAGAACATTCAGAGTCAAATTAAAAACCACAATTTCGACCACACAAAACATTCTAGCCGGTGTCCCTCAGAGAAGCGACATCGCTCCTTTCCTATACACATTGTTCACAGCTGACATTCCTACAACGGATAAAATCCTAATAAGTCCCCCACGAAGCAAGCAGCCTACTTCAAAACCACCTGAACACCTTATCTCACTGGTTCAAATCATGGAAAATCAAGATCAACGACTCTAAATCTTCTCACATCACTTTATTCCTCCGCCCCATGAACTGTTCTCATATAACATTTGAGAATGCAATCATTCATCACACAAATGAAGTCAAATATCTCGGCTTACTGTTTGACAGAAGGCTCACCTGGGGCCCCTACCACAAAACCAGACTTAAACAACTAAATAGTCGCCTACACATCTTTAGGTCTCTCATGAAATCTAATATGTACATCTCCAACCGTCTACTACTCTACAAATCCCTTCTGCAACCTATCTGGTCATACGGAATGTCGGAATCTCTCTCTGAGGTACCACTAAACCATTGAACACTAGAACCATACAAGCATTCCAAACTATTTGCCTCTGCATGATTCCTAAAACCCCTTGGTACGTCACAAATGCTGCTCTTCATAATTACCTCCAAATCCCCACCATTAAACAAACAGCTATCAAATATTATCTCTGCCTGCACTTCAACACGGAACATCACTCAAACCCCCTCATCGCTCAACTTCATACCAAAGCTCTTCCAGACAACCCAGCCAGACGCCTCAAACGTAAATGGCCCAGAAATCTTCTCAACACACATTAAACAACTCGTGTATATTACTATTCTCCCTAAATTACCTTCCACGTAGGAATTTCTAATGTGAAACTCCTACTCATTGTATTTCCCTCATTGCCACTTTTAAATTATTATTTCACATTTACTTATTGTACCATTTAATATATAGATTGTAAATTTTCATAAATAAACAACATTAAAAAAAAAAAATAAAGACTATCGTCAAACTCTTAAGATAAGTAGCCTGGCTGGATTCTCTGGATGTTGAAATTCAATCATGTGGATTTGATATTTGTTGTGTACTTTACTTTAACTTTTTAAATGTTTATAAGTCTTTCTATTATAACTGTTTACCTAATATTAAGGCTATACAATTTATTTTAGTGTTATCATTAATTACACACGAATAAATAAAAAGATAAAACAATGAAATAGGTAGTGGTAACCAAAATAATATCAATGTTCTAAATATCTCACCACACAACCAACACATTAAATATTTTAAAGATACATTATCCTAACAAATCCTTTTAGATTTTTTATAGAAATCATTGTAAATAAAATACCTGCTTAACCTCTTTTTCTTCATGAATACTGCCATTTCCCACACTATTTTCTTCTTTCTCTGCAATGTCACCTAGAACTTTTGATTCATCAATATCGGAGTAGCCCAAATCATCCTAAAACAATAGATTTAATAAAATGAATAAAAATGTTTAACAGTTAACAATTAAATTATCAATAGTTACTTCTAAGGCGTCATCTTCATCTAGAATGTCGTGCTCATCCAGCACTGTGTCCTCGATATCTAAAACTGAATTTTGGTTGGTTTTCTAAACCTTCTTGTATAAATTTTTTATGCCAAACAAACCTGAAGATTCTGAATGATTAACCATGCGATCAATGAGTTCTTGTTTATTTCCAACTGTACTTAAGCCTCTTGCTTTCAATTCTTTCTTCAAATCGTTGACCTATGAATAATACATTTATTTAGTTTAATAATTTTGATATAATAAAAAACAACACAATATTAAAAACAGCTTTTAAGGAAGTCACCTATTAGTAACACTTACAAACTTATAGTTGGATTTACAATCATTTAAGTAGATTGCGATTTCAATTACGTTTAAGTCTGCGTGGGGGGTTGCCTGGGATATACAGTGAAGCCATAACTTTAATGAGAGGATTAGTACTTAAGAGTTTAATAATTAAATATAAAATAATACTTCATAATTTATATACATGAGAACAAACATAATAATTTTAAATGATATTACCTACTTATTGAATTAACTACCTAAAATATGTATTATTTAAAAATGCTTAGTTTTATACATCACATTTTAAAGATTGGAGACTAATTATTAAATTGGTCAAATATTAATAAATTGGTGGTATCACACTTAAGTTTATTTTACAAAGAATAATCAGATTATAATAACAGTAAATTAAGTGCATTAAATCAAGTACTAATAATACATTATTACACCGATTAAATATAATTTTTTTGATCTAACTTCCATTGATGAAATGATTAATATCTACCTACCTACCTACAATAAATTGTCTTTGAATCACAATATAAAAATGAAATAAATAAATGCCGAAATAATAGCTTGCTATAATTGATAGAAAGTCAAGAATCATTATTCTCGACAGCCACAGATGGATAATACAAACAATAAAAGCTGAGAACAATTATACACTGTTTTTGCTAACTTGTTTCACTGATGGAAAAATTAATAAACTATACTCAAAAATCGTCCTCAAAAATTAATAACGGAAAGCACGTTTCCTCAACTATAGTTGTACTCACCTTCATTTTGCCGAGTTCTTCGAGTCTGTTGAGGTTGACGTTACTCGTATCTGACATAATCGATGAAAAACACTACAGCAACACTATTAGATCAAAAATAGGAAACTAATGGTACGAAAAAGAAAATATCGACTATGGTCAGACAACTGATAATATAATTTATTATTTAATACTACACACCCAGTCACCGGTGTCTGATCCAAAATTTGAGGAAACAAAATAATATTTTCGAAAAACGTCTAATTCCTATGGTACTTACGAAAAGGAATTTTATAAAATAAACAATTAATAATTAAGTAATAACTTAAAGAATGTGTGTGTAGTAAATAAATAACTAACGTAGTACGTTGTTATGTACAACAGTACTATAATTCTAATACTATGGCTACAGTAATGTCCGCGCATCAGCCGACGGTTGTTTATACTTTTTCTCTTTTTTTTCTTTTCGATACCTTATCATTTTATGTTAAACAGAACTCGACAGAGTGACCAACATCGATCACAAGTGATAATATCTGAATCCTAAACACAAATAATAATGTACATAATATCAGTGTTAAAGTTTTTACTTTTTATCATCTGTTAAAAAATAAAGTGATTTGGAGATCGGTATATCGGAGTATTTGGAGTACCTATTGGCTATTACTGGTTATTAGCTATTTAATTTTTTTATGATTCATTTGGTTACATTCAAATAATTTTTGTTATTACTATTTGGAAAATGTATATTGACTTATAGATTGAGTATTTTAAATTATTGTTTACTATGGCTGGTTTAGAATCGTTCAATATGGACTTTCAAAGACACCGACCCTCGAGAAGTATATCAGAACATCCCTCATCACCGAATTTTAATGACACTGAAATAATCAGACGACAACACCGTGAAACACTCATAGAAATGTCCAAGAAAAAAGGTTACCTATTTTAAATTTATGCCAAAATATATTTCATAATTAAAATTAATTAATAAGTACCTTAATAGGTAGATACATTAAATAATGAGTAATATTCCATTTCTGATGTTTTTTATTTAGATATTCTAGTCAATGATACCGTGAACAAATGCATAAAACCAACATGTCTAATATTACAACATGTTGTGAGCTATCCATTTATTGTATTACGAAGACAATGCCAGGTATGTCTCATTTAATTTTGATTTTCAACTTAAAATAATTTTGATTTAATTTCAGTTATTTTTTAACAGTGTAACCTACTAAGATTTATATACTGGAATTGTAAGACCAAAATATCCAACATACAAATAATTCAATTTAGTATCTTTAAAAATACTATATTTGCTACTTCACTAATATAAACTTAAAGTACTTTTTACTTAATAAAAAAACCATTTTATTCAATGTATTTTGATAAAATTATCAGCCAATATACTTATATTATAAATAAGAATAATAAAAAATTAATGTGATTAGTACGTTAATGAAGTGGATCATTTTTTATATGCAACCTCAAAGTTATTAATGAGTTTATATTTTAATTTTTTTTCTCAATCAATTCCTACAAATAAGAATGTTATAAATTATGTACCTACATTATCTTTTACACATATATATATCTAATAAATAAGTATAATTTTAAAAGATGTCTTAGTCTGGTAGTCTGATATTTTAATAAGCCTTTAAATTTTTTTGACCGAATCCCATACGCATGGTTTTTAAATCTCAAGCAACTATACAACAAAAGTTATTTTAAACTATTATATTCATACTGGTATACAATCCTCATAACCTAAATCTATTCATGCATATATAAAGTTAAGAATAAAACAGTATCTCACAAGAGTGCACATAAGCAAATGCATTGTTTTTAAAAAAGTATTTTTTCATTTGTGTAGATGAAGTATCTATGTATAATTTATAATTAATTGGTAATTAATTATAAAACTATTATTTGTTTCAGTTACATTATGCATCAACTCGTTATCATATTGTTCCATTTACATTAATTCCAGTAGTTTATAGACTGGTCAAGAGTCAAGGAATTAGTGTTTTGTGGAAAGGATTTGGAACAGTTTTACTAATTAAAGGGATAACAATGGCGATTGAAGCATTATTGTCAGAACTTTTTGATTTACCAAAGTAAATTATTTTAGTTTACTTTTGATACCTATAATTGTATAATCTTTAATACTTGAATTTAATTTTACAATATTTTTCAGAGACACTAATTCTGTAAATAGTTCAAAAAGTTTTGGAAAACATATTTTATTAAAATGGTAATAATGGCTTTATTATAATTAACTTTTACAAAGGAAAAGAGTTTAATGCACTCAAAATTGATAGTTTTATTTTTCCTGTAAAATATTAAAATATTTATTACCAAAAAAATTATAATTATCAAGATATAGAAATGTATTTAATTATTTTATATTTTTTTTGTGTGTTTTTAGTAAGTATGCATATGAAATGATTTTGAATGCATATCTTTTTAATTTTTAGAGTATAAATGCAAAAATATTTAAATTATTTGAAGTACATAAACATCCAATCCTTACTTATTGCTAAAATGGAAAAATTTAATAAATTATTTGTTTTTTCAGTGCGAGTTTGAGTATTATCACTCCATTTTATTCAGCATGTTTAGTGGAAACTGTTCAAAGTAATATTGCTAGTGAAAAAACTGCATTTTATGATGTCTTTAAAGAAGGTTTTATCAGACTTCTACAATGGAACTGTCCTCAAAAAGGTATGCTACATGAATAATCTATTAACTTAAAATACTTATAATAATAAGTCAATATCTTTTACAAAATATTAACAGTTTCCCAAAATGTAAAAATCTTAAATATTCTGTTTTTAAATGTTCACTTTTATAAAATATGTGACCGAAGTACTAAATGAAAAGTTTGGACCTTTTTGTCACTAAAAAAAATAAAATATTAAACTAATACATTTCTTGAATTAATTGGACTCTAAAATGAAACTTTCGGAGTACATTTCATTGAATTAATATTAGAGTTTATTTTTGATTTTCAATTAAGTTAATAATAAAATGCTGTTATAAAGTACTAAAATATGTTGTTTTTTCTAACAATCTCTTTTATTTGTTCTCATTATTAAATATTCATATTTACAGTCTTAATAAACTACTTGTATATTACTCTAAAAATTTTAACATTAGCTATATTATTTTAATATATTTATAATTTGAATTTTTAAAATTAAAATAAATCATAAGTTTATTTATCGTTTTTTTATATTATAATTATAATTATTAATTTTTGATCCATGTTTATTGATTTAGGTCGGATGTTGCCAGTCTGGATTATAGTTGTACCCACAGTAACATATGGAGTTTTAAGATACATAACTAATATATTAGTCAGTAAAAGTGTAAAACACACATTAATCTTGTATGAGCAACGTATCTGCCAGACTGAAGGTGTATCAAAAGATTCTAATTGTTCATCTTCTATTAATGAACGACTGGAAGCAGTTTCTGATTTAACAGCTTCTGCATTAAGTGATGCTGTTCTTTTTCCTCTGGAGTTAATTATGCATCGCCTTTATTTGCAAGGCACAAGAACTATTATTGATAATTTAGATACCGGAACTTCTGTAATGCCAATTTTGACTGGTTATGAAGGACCACTAGACTGTTTGACAACAACTGTAGCCCAAGAAGGTCGATTAGGTTTATTTAAGGGATTCGGAGCATTGTTGCTTCAAACATCATTAATAGTTATGTTGTATAAAGTAGTGAAAATTAGTCTTGTAAAAGTAATTGATGCTTATGCCTCAACATCATCTAATCAATCTTCACAGACTTTAATTAATAAACCAAATAATCCAATTAATACACAAGACCAATCCAGCTTACCAGATTTCAGACCTTTAATGCGATCAACCTCATTTATGATGTAAATTTTGTTTTTGATTATTTTTAATTTGTTATGCTTACATTATAGCACTTATTTTAGTCATTTAAATTTTAAACAATTGTTCTATATAATTTATAATAACAGCTATAACTGGAATGAAGTTAAGCCTATTGTAATTAGATTATATGCATTAACTATTATAGATTGACTTAAACAATTCTTGATTAAGAATAAACAATAAAGAGGTAAATTTATAGATAAATTTGAATACCATCCTTGAGACAACGGGAGTAGGGGGAGATGGACACAGAAATTAGACATTGAATTGTCTTAGTGTACTACTAGTTTGAGGAGATACAAGTTGATTAATGTGTTAAGAAAAATAAAGAATAATTCCAATAAGTTAAAAAATGATATACTTTATTGTACACTACTTCTTCATGTTGAAGAAGTTTAAAAATAAAAATGTTGTCATCTAAAGAATACTGAACAAATTAATATGTTTTGGAATTGGAATTTCTTCGCACTCTTCAAATTACCTTATGAGTAATACTAAATAGTAAATAGTATAAAGTATAACGTATAAGATTTATGGAAATTACAAGTAGTCATATTATAAAGCGCCATCGAAATACTTAAAAAGGATACAATAATTTTTATATCGAAAAAACATGTTGGCAACACCTTCATTTGTTTTATCTTTTGATATTATAAATTTATGATTAAAAATTTAAACTAAGATTATAATATAAATATATTAAATTTTAATTTTTAAGTTATATTTTCATATAATCTATAAACACTAAGATCTTCAAAGTTTAAATAAATAATTTAAATTGGGGTTGTAAATTACCGCTGTGTTTTATTTATCAATATTCATTCTTCACCATGGCGCAACATATGAACACTGCTGTAGACGAAGACGCCGCACTTTTGCAATTTCCTAAAGAATTTGAAAACGCTGAAACCTTACTTATTTCCGAAGTAAGCCCATTTAACTTATAAATAGTACATTTTATCTCCAAGTTTAACAATCTAATTTTGATTCTAGGTTAATATGTTGTTGAAATTTCGCAAGAACCAAAATGAGAGTGCAGAAGAAGAACAAGAATTTTCAGAAGTATTTAACAAAACACTGACGTATACAGAACAATGTTCCAAATTCAAAAACAAAGAAACCATTGTTGCTGTAAGGAATTTACTTGCCGGCAAGAAATTGCACAAGTTTGAACTAGCGTCAATTGGTAACTTATGTCCTCAACTCGCTGACGAAGCTAAATCACTTATACCCAGTTTAGAAGGCAGATTTGACGATGATGAATTACAACAAATTCTAGATGATATACAAGCTAAATTAAGTATTCAGTACTAATTAAATTTTACCAATCATTTAAAAGAATAATGTTAATGTATTTATGCCAAACCATTACTTTAATTGTGTGAAATTTTTAAATAATTTCTCTAATAATTAAAAATATTTATATAATATAATATATATATTAATAAATGTATTATAACTATAGTTCATTCTGTAACTCAGAAAAATGTCTGAAATAGTATTTTTAACTTTATTTATATGTGTTTTAACTTATAATTGTATAATTATAAGTTTTAAGTAAATATCACTACATAATGTATTTCATCTTGAAAATAGTAAAAATGTTTAATGGTAACGCATAATGTAAAATAAACTATCTTTCAATAATTGTTAAAATTAGCCAGCTTTATGCTACTTTTGTGTAATGTATATTGTATATATTATAAACTATCACTTAGAAAAATTTGGTAACTGCTAACAAACTATTGATGAAATTTAGATTTAGAAATCCTTTTTATTCAATTATATATTTTAATATTTTTTTATGTTTTGGTAATTAAAGATGATGAATAAGAAAACACTTTTATCCTAAATTTTAAAATACTCTCATAATGTTAACAAAAAGTTCTTTTACTTGTATTATATTTTGTAATATGTACCTTCTATGTGGTGAAGTTTAACATGCATGACAACCACATTTAAGTTTAATTTTATTTTTGATATCAAAAAAATATTGTAAATATAAAAAACTTAAATATCAACTTTAGTTAGATACCACTCTGTTGTACAATAGGAGTTTGAAATACCATGACAATGAGCAGATTTCTATGATAGACATGTTAAATTTTAATTCAATAGTACAAAAAATAATTTACTATTTAATAATTATATTATTAAATATAATTAATTAATTATGATTAGTTGCCATACATTACCTAGAACATTTGAATATAAATAAATTTCATCAAAATCTTGTCAGTAATATCCACTTTATATATGTTACAAATAATGTTAACAATTAGACAATTTCAATACATTGATAGCATATGGGAGAGAAAAGTTCAATTAGCCTGAAATTAAAAATTTTACTTGATATTTCAACTTGTAAATTTGTTAGTTTTTTGATGTTAAGATATAGTCTTCTGTAAATCGTTACTATTTGAAGTAGTATTCAGTTTATTTTCGATTTAAAAAGCTTGTCTTTCTGAGAGATATGATTACTTATGAATTTTCTTTTATTCTATGGTTTTAAAATATCACATTTAGCTCATGGGAAATGTAGTTCAGAGTAGCGCTAAAAAGGGCTAAATTTATCAATCAGGTCAAGAGGTTCAGAAACTTCTAGTGATGGTTTTATGCTGGTTAGTTTAGTGATGCGAGGAATTAGAATACTTCTTAAATATGACATTACTCACAAGAAGGATTGCGGGAAAGTATATTTTTCCCATTATTTCACTAGTTAATAGCTATGATTTCGATTTACAACCATTTCGTTAGGTTAGGTTATAAAAATACATTGTTTCATTATTTGTCACGTAAGTAGATAAATTAAAAATTTGAAATTAATGATAAATGTAACTATATCATATTATGTAGATTGCAGATACAAGCTTTAAGGGAAAAAAACCATCATACATTTAAATTTTACCGCCAAATACGGCAGTATTTATTATTGCTTTGCTGCATAGCTGATAAGTAAAGGAAGTAGTTGATACAAAAAAGTTTTTATTATCATAAGAAGTAATAACCATAGACCTTATACCGTAAAGGTCTATGATGATAAGTTGTTTTGTATCGTATTCTATCTACCTACATAGTATCTACTATCAATCTATCTATTCTATGTACGTTCAGCTATTAATTTAATAGTTTGTTACATTCTTTACTTATGCGTTCCTTGATTTCACATTCATATTAGTGTGGAGGACACGATTAATATTACTTACCATATTTTATTGCCTTGACAACGTATAAATTCAATTGATTCACACCTATTTTTTTAGTCAAACCATTTGTCCTTTTTTTATAACATTGAAAAAATATTTATTTAATTCAAGCCGAAAACGATGGTGGAAGCAAACGAAGGGGTAAAGTTCATGTATTATATTGTTATTATTATTGTTTTGTATATTAACGGATATTTTTTAAATCTAATTCATGGTAAATATATATAAATGCGCTACGCGTAATTAGCAATTATAATGTAACAACATACATTTTACTAAAATTGAATTAAAATGATTATTAATCATTTATTGTAGACAAAAAAAAATAAGTGGTTTCTTAAATATCTGTCTTCATAAGTAATCAAATTTAGAATATTGTTTTGTATAATTCATTTTTATTATATATTATAAATCATAACATTTTTATTTTAGACTCTTTTTGTAGTGGATGAAGTTAGTGATATTATTAAGGACTCAATTGAACATTCAATTGGCAGTCAATTATATCAACAAGTTATGGTAAATAAATGGACAGATTCTGTAGTTGAAAATTGCCTAACAAGACTTTGTAAATTGGCCAAACCTTTTAAATATATAGGTAATGAAGAATTATTATTTCAAATGTATTGAATTATTTGTTTTTTAACTTTTGTAACATAATTATTAAATTTAATTATACATGTTTTTTTTTCTTTTTGGCAGTAACATGTGCCATCATGCAAAAGAACGGCGCTGGTTTTCATGCAGCAAGTTCATGTTATTGGGATAATTTGACAGATGGTAGTTGTACAGTAAGATGGGAAAACAAAACTATGTATGTTATTGTATCTGTTTTTGGCCTAGCTATCTAAATAACCATATTCAATTTCTATATAAAAATAATTAAATGTTAACACCATTAAATAAAAAATTAATTTTACATTTTTAGTTTTGTCACTTTACAATAGATTATTTTTGATTTTTACTACTTTTATCAGAGTACTGATTTAGATTTAATTATGTGATATAAAAATATTTATTGGTTGATAAAACATTATTAACTAATAACTAGTGAAATAACAATGTATTAATAAAAATTGTCATTTCTAATTATTGCTATTATTTTATAAATTAATTTTGATATTTATTTTATGTTAAAAGTATAAGGATTATGTACAATTATTATTTATTATTAGCCATATTTTAACAAAAAGCTTAAATGTAAAATGTATTATACTATTTTTTTTTTTTTTTTTTGATAAACTAATTGTAATTTATTTTAGAATATTGTATGTAATAATAAATAGCTTTTTAACTCGTTTCCAAAGTCTTATTAACATAAAAAATAATTTAAAGCCAAAAAATATATTGTTAATTCTACTGTACTCTTTTTTTTTTTTTTTTTCATTACTATTTACATTAAATTTGTACTATGTAGTACATACTAGTATAGGCTTACTCTTAAAAGCATCTTATCTGATTATAAATAATTTACAATTTACTTTGAAATAATATTTAAATAAGTAAAGGATTCACAGTTTAACCAAAAACACAAAATTATTTTTATTTATTTTTGAATACAATTTTTTTTCCATGTTATTTAAGTTGCACTTATAAATTAACTTTTCTTAATAATAATTTGAGTATTTATTCTTTTAAAACAACTAATTACTTTTGTTTATTATAGTGTATAAACTATTATTTGCAGTATTCTAATTTCATTACACTCATTGATAATAAATTCTATAATTAATTTTAAATTATAACCAACAATTAATATGTGTTTTATCAACAATTCTGACATTCCTCCCATAAATTTGTCGACTTGGTCTATACAGATGTATAATTTACTTGAATATTGAGGCTATGCTTTTACTTTTATGCATTGTTATTCAGTGATTTTTTTTTTTTTTTAATGTAATACAGGGTTAATATTCTATGGCATTCGCCATGTTATTAAATGAATACAATTTTTTTAAACGCCATAGTAAAGTTAAATTATTTTTATTATACATAAATACTGTTAAATATATATTTATATCAATATTAAAAACATAATTATAAATCAAATCAATGAAATATTATTATTGCTCTTGTTGTCCATCTTCATCTTTAACTAAACCAGGAACTCTATATAAAAAGTCTCCATTATCATCATAAAAACAATCATTAACTCTATATACATATCCTTCTTTCCAAACTCTTTTGGGTATTCGAATAGCAAGTGGATAATCATTTATTGTATCAATATAATTAGAAACTTCTTTGCGTGAAATAATTCTTGTATTCTCTTGTAAACTAGCTTCAACTTTTTCTACATCTACACTTTTGTTATTTGTCGACAATATTTGTGGTGTAGTATAAAATGAAAAAGAGTCTTCTTCTCGTGAATCATTTTTAAATTCATCTAATGTAAAATGTCTATTCCTACTTTTAGTTTTTGTGTCGTTTTCATAAATCATCTCAATGTTTGGTTTATCTTTAGCTTCAATTTGAATTGGTTCATTAATTGGATTTTTAGGTTCACCAAGGTAACTAGTTATTATTTGTCCAAATTCCCGGGGTTTTAAATAATCTGCAGCTAGTTTAGGAATATGAGCTTCAGCTTCTGTAAAATAGGATAATCCATAATCATTAAAATATATTTAAATTTAAACTTCAAAAAGCAGATAAAAATATATGTTTATTTTTTCAACATATTATTTCATCATATATTTATGCTATTTTAGTTAAATTTAAAAAATAAGGACTATAACTAACATTTTTGTCTATAAACTTTGTTAACCAAATGTTTTATTGAGGTAATGAGTATTCTTGTCGTATGCGGTCACCGCACATTTGCCGTCTACCACACATGTTTTTATAGGTCATATCAGTGGCATAGCAAAAAAATTTGGGCTCCCCTGCAAAAATAAAAAATGGACCCCAAAAATATTGTTATACCAAATATAACCCTATAACCAAAGGTCCTACATTACTATGTTTTCCACCTCAGCGCGAGGTCTGTGGGCCCTCAGTTATGCCATTGCGTCATATGCAGTCTATAACATACTATTTATACCTACATAATGTATGGCTAACCTAATGTTAAAAAGTGCAGTAAATAAACTGAAGAATAATGGATCACGTAGGTATTACAGCACAAACCGAACTGATATCTTATACATTTACAACTACAGTCACGATTTTGGCAGGACCCAAGTTTTATTATAGCAGGTATTTTATTATTGATATAGAAATCACATCGTTAAGATAAAACTTAATCGTTATTGCCATCGAATCATTGAAAATTATCATTAGTAGATAAAAAGTGTTTGAACGTGTGGTAGACCACATATGACATAGGAAAATGTGTGGTAGATGACAAGTGTGCGATAGACCGCATACAACAAGAATACCAGGTAATGTATATTAAGTAAGCACATATAATTTAAAAAACTGATATTTAACTAAAAATATAGAAACGCCATTCCTCATAGATTGCCTTATATCAAGTTATTACAATGTTGCCTAAATTATCTTTTCTAATCAACAAAATTTTATTATATTTTTTAAATAAATGTTTATTATATAAAATGTTAATTAAATGTACCTACTGGTAAGGGTAAACAGACACTTAGTACTGTATATTGTTTAAATAGCATACTGCAGACACTAATATGTTAAAAATAAATTGTTGAAATTTAGTGGCAGACACTTTGAATGATGAAAATAAACATTTTTGAACAAATTGTAAAAGAGTGTAAAATAACATCATTAGTGTTTTTACCAATTAAAGAAATACCTAATGAAACAGTTAATATGTATGCAACATTTTCTCAAGATCTACTTCCATTTATTTCATATTTTGATTGTACATACTCATATGTAAACATTCATATTTCTTTCATATATAAAGAATGGTATATCTAAATTTCATCTTCAAATATGGAATATCAGAAACCAAACAATTAATAAATCACATAGGACAAATAATTTTAGCGAGAGATGAAATAATTCATTCAATAAATTGGTTGGATCAGCTAATCCAAGTTTTTGGATGGTTTTATAGTCTTTGCAACTAGACAAATGTGGCAGTCACTTGGAAAAAAATTAGCAAAAAACAAACGGAAACGTGCAAAAAAATAAATGCATGAAGCCTATACTCAACATGAAAATAAAACTATAAATAATAAACAATTACTTAGATAATTTGCCACACATTTACTTTTTAAGTTTATACTTTAAAATTAATAATCATAATTTTTATTTTTTTATTTCCTGTAACAATAATTATAATATTAAAGACGATTTATAGATTACATAATAAAATAATAGTAATAATGTGAAATATAATTTTTTAACTGTCCAGCATTTACATTTTATTACCTATTACCTGAAATAGTACAAACTGCCACCATTTACATTTTATTATTTGAAATAGTACAAACTGTCTGCGTTTTTCATTTTTTCAATATGATCATAGGTGTCCTACAACTATTGGTAAGTGATACTTAATTACTTACGTTCTAGGGTAATTAATGTAGGTCGTCGATCTGAAAATTTTGCCAAGTGATTTTTTAATTCATCAGATAAAATATCTTTAAAAAGTCCGTTACGAAAACTTTCCCAATTTTGCTGTACTAATTTATCATGCCTTAATATTTTTTGGCCTTCATCTGATACCCATTTAGATTTCAATATTTTCTATAAATTAAAATACAAATTTGACTCATTCATTAATAAAAATATGTTTAGATAAAATATATTCAAAATTGCTTACAATAATAACTTCTGGTGATGCTGGAAAGCATGTTGATAACGTTTGAGGATTCCATTCTTTAGGCGATTTATCATGTAAAGTTTTTATTTGTTGTTTTTCAAAGTATGTTAAAAAATTAGGTTGCACTATATTATTTTTGAAATATTTTCGTTTAATATTCTGAAATGATTTAAATTGTTTTTGCTTTTTAATTTCCCTAAAATTGAAAAAATATTATTAAATAAATACATTTTTTTTTTACCAAAAATACATAAATACAATTGTACTTTTTAAAACTAAAAGTACCTACACATAATTATATTATTTGAGAATAGCTATCATAAACTGAATATATTAATTTATTAGTCAATAAACATTGAAGTTAGAAGATATTATTATTAATTTTATAAGTAAGACTATGTAGTTAAAACTTAAATTATATTTTTGATTAATCATATAGTTTAGAAATTAATTGAAACATTTAGGTAATTAATTTTTCATTTAATTCAATTTTATAAAGTAAAAAAAAAAATTAAACAGTTCAATAAGAGTAAACATCAAACAATCAGATAATTTGTAAATTATGTAACTAAATAAAATTTACTTCATGTGCTGATCATAAAACAAATGTGAATTGAGCATATCATTGTCACCATCTTCAATGTCTTCTAATGTCACATTAGATATGTCAGGAGTTTCACCATCCAGAACCATGGCCAACATACGATTTCCTCCAGGGTTACCTTTGACATCATTGTTCTTGAATTTTCTGTCGGGTTTTGCCTTTACGTTTCTATAAGTTCTGATTACTGACGGCTGTATAACGTTTTTAAAAAACAGTATTTTTCTAGAAAACATGTTTTTGGTGGTCTTGTCGTTATTTAAAATTTTGTATGATACACCATCGATGTTGATAAGACACAGAAAACACGAACAAGCATTAAAGGAATGAAACAAGACTTACTAAAAGAACCTGGTTATAACTTAAGGACTTATTCAATAATCACTAGATCACGTTATTCTCGAGTCTCGTCACTTGACCTGAGAAGTGAAGAAGTGTTAAACGAAGCACAAAAAAGATCAATTAATTATTATATCTAGTAATAACTAATAAGTGTTAAGTAAGGACCATAGTCTGCATCCTGTGAGGCTCCACCTAAGTAATAACTAATAAGTACCTTGGGCTTAGAGACTGACGTTAGACTATTAAGTACAATAGGTTAAAAATTAAAATATATATCATAACAATTATTATTAATTATTATCACATATTATTATTTTATACGTCTTATCACAGAGTATACTCAATGTTGAATGTTATGAATTATGAATTATGATCAGCATGATGAACTCAACATCGTGAATCACAATTATAAGACATAAAGAATAATAATTGTTTAAAATATTTATTTAAATAATTATTTAGGTACCCCCTTTTTTTTTTTTTAATGCGTATTTTAAATATTTTTGAAGCAATGCATTAGAATGAAGAGGAATTATTTTTTCAATGCATGCCAGTTACCACTATGCATTCAGACCCTGATTTGTACTATATAGTAATATTTTATACTATTCTATGATTAGTACACAAGTCTCAGATCTCTGTGACATAAGCACAAGGTTCCCAAATATATTTGGTTCCCTTACTAATTAATTGTCCTACTACTCTAACTCTATGTCTCCAAGGGCCAGGGCCATATTTATGCAAGGACATTTTGGGTATTTGTCCTGGGTCGATGCAGACGTACTAAATTTAATTATTTTAATTTTAATTGATCCTTTATTTTAAAGAACGCCAAAATACTCAGTCAACAATGCTTGTTAAATATAATTTATATTTTACAAAATGTAAGAATAAAATAAAAAATATTCATTTTAAAATTATGTATTATTTTACAAAATTACATAAGTGATACTCATTATGTAATTTTTGATATTTTATTGGTGAGTTATAAAAGTGAAGAGAAAAGCTTAAAATAAAGTAGAAATAAGATTTGAATTCTTGTTTAAAGAAAATCTTTTCAGAAATGAAATCATGGTGGAAATTAAAATTTAATATCAATGTATGAAAACAAATAAGATTTTGACGCCGAGTACTTTTTAGAAAAATTTATTCAATTTCGAAGTCTAATTTTATTCACTAATGAAAAAACGACAACTCCATCTGACCTAATTAAATTTATTAAAATTGTGCAAACTTCTCATGCTTTTCAAAATGTAGAAACATGTTTGGATATATGTTTGATGATGCCAGTAGGCAGTAACTAATTGTTCAAATGAAAGGTTATTTTCGTTTCTCAAACGAATTAAAAATAGATTAAAATCATCCCTGGGCCAAGAAAAATTGGATGCGTTAGGAATCTTATTTATTGAAAATTACATCATTACAAACAATTTTGAAAAATTTGTAGGTAGATGTATTTGCAGAACAAAAGGCTAAAAAAAATAAAATTATAAAAATTGTGACGATTTTATAATACCTACATTAAAATATTGTTTAATTTACAATTTATAATAATTGGTCCCAGACTAATAAGTCTGTCTGGGGTGTCTAAAATTCTAAATCAGGCACTGCCTAATTTTATAGGCACAGAATAGATTAAATTTCTTCATTTCTGAGTAATAGGTACATCAAAAATACTTAATTATAGCATGCATGAACTGAAGTAGTATAAGTTTGTATTCTGCACTTGTTTTGCGCTCAATCGATAAAATATTATGTAAAAAAACAAATCTTATACCTAATATAGGTAATAATATAAATATAATGTCATTAAAATTATTGAGTTATGAGACGATGAGTGTACCTTCTATGTATAGTATATACTTTATAGCATTTACCAAATAGTAGTAATAGGTACTTCAAATATTTATTTAATTCTATCATGATTCAAGAGTCGAACGATGCTACAATTCAATAGTCAGGGACTCGTAAAAAATAAAATTGGAAAGTATATTATTTTACTTCGTATTCTTCGTATCTTTCTTGAAAAATATTTTACGTCAATAGTCCCCTATGAGTACTTGATCTATGTTATCGAATATTCAGCGTGTGGGTACCTTAGCTCTCGGGTAAATTATATGCGTATATTTTTTTATGTCTCTGAAATTATTTAAAGAAATTTCCTGTTTAATCAGTAAAAATAACATAATTAATGATTTTTACCTAACGTCTAGTGTCTACACGAGTCACAATCTTTGAGTACTCTATGCCTGCCTTATGGTCACAATCGACGACTCAATGGTCACACTGTCGATTTTCCCGCTCTTTCTTAGAGTTTTACAAATGATATTATTGTGTAAATATTTTAATTTCGTTATCACGTGAACCGTTTTACTACTAAACTTGTAAAGTCGTATTCTTATTTTTTATCGTTGTTTTTATAATTATTAATAATATTTGAAGTTTAAACGTTACAATTTATGATGCTCTTGGCTGGCACTAACTGGTCATCGCCACATAAATTTACGTTTTTCTGAAGACGATCTGAATGTCACAATCTTTTTCTGTTGCACTTCTATTAAAAAATTACAATTTGGTACTCATCATACGCCCATACAATTAATAAAACATGGAACCATTGATGCCATCCGAAGTCGCTCGTTTAGTGTACGGTAAGTATTTAGGTTTTTGGACCTATAGTCTACCTAGGTTTTTATAAAATTTTCATGCCTATCAATATTCGTGGATAGGTGTCTGGAAGTTATATGTGTTGACAGTATTTATTTTCAATTTAATGACACTGCATCATAGTAAGAACTTTTATTTTGAATCTGTCATCAGTTAAACTCAGAGCATTGATTTATGTGTTTGTATATTTTAGCTACTCACTATATGATCATTTATCCATTCAACGTTACATATTTTGTGGTCGTAGTATGACATACTAATGATTTCGATTACTTTAAATTTTTATAGTTTTTATGTACCTAAAAAATAAAAACCCTAATATTAGTATACATAAATAGTTAACATTTTTATCATATTTTTTATATTAATGAATTATTTGTCAATCAGGTTATCTAAAGAAAGAGAAAAATGAAGATGCTGCAGAATGCTTTTTAAAAACATCTCCTCATTTGACTGAATGTTTTCAAATGTTTAAAGCTAAAAGAAACTTTAATATTAAAGTGAATGGGTTTAATTTACATGACATATTTGACAATTTTGGAACCATGTGTACTATGAGTAAGTTATACATATTTATTTGTAACCAATAAAAATTATAAATTCAAAAAATATTTGTATGTATTAATTTTAGTTGAAGAACGAATACCTGAAACATGTGAATCTAAAACGTTACTTGAGAAACTACAATATTTGTTGGATGCAAACCATATTTCAATGAAAGAAAATAAATATGTTGAGACAAAACTAAATATGGTTGACAAATGTGTTGGTAATACAGTTAATACTAAAGATCAAAGTACAGATACAACAATAAATATAGAAGCAAATAAAAGCATATCAGAAGAGTTGTTAGAAATTCCATCATTCACTGAGATAATTACTAATAATGTTTCTAAAACAAAAGAAATTGACCCGATTAATAATGAAACCACAATAACTGATGAGAAAAACTCGGTTACATTTTCTTCGCCCTGCTTATCTTCAATGACACAACCAATAGAAAATGATACAAGTACAATGGCATTTTCTAAATTTGATGAAGACAAAGAATCAAAAATATTTCAAATAAATAAACAAACTTGTAGTACACCTGCAAAAAAAAATGAAGAAACCAAATTAAGTATTGAATCAGTACCACAATTTAGTCCAAAAAATATTCATAATCTAATTTCTGGGTATGTATAAAATTTTGTATTATTTTAAGATAATTATCCGTTTTAGTTTTATTTTGAAATCCATACCAATTTTGAACAAATGGTTTCCTCTAGTTGTATATTAGTCTTATATTAAAAAAAATATTTAAACAAAAGATATGTAGAAGAATAATATATCTTAACATAACTTTTTTAACTTAAATTTGTTTAGATAATAAATTATTTGTTGTATGCATAGTTTTAAAAATGCAAATGTAAAATGTCTAAAACCATATTTTTACAGTGATCAGACTGAATACCAACAAATACCAGAAGCAACCTCACTTGACTCTATGCCAGGATTGTCAAAAGAAGATAGGATAAAGGATAATTCAGTTATTATTGATACTAGTGAATTAGCAGATACACTTTTAAATGACCAAATTTTGTTGGAAAAAATTGCAGATACTATAAATAAATCTTTCGAGGCTCAAAAAGAAACTGACAATGTTCTTGAAAGTAAAGTCTTGGATCCTTCTACGCTTGAAAAAGCATTAGACTCTACTCAGTCTGATCCACATATTAAAAACATACTGAATGAGTTTTTAGGTAAGTTAATTTTCATTTAATCTGTAAAGAAATGAATAACTAATGTATATAATCCAACACTGAAAAATAAATTTAAAAAAATAAAATAAAATTCAATTTTTGTGATTTAAGTAACATTCTAACAATAAATAAAATATAACTTAATTAATCAAAGATATAAAAATTAATTATTTTAATTTATATGTATTTTGTAAAATATTTATTAGCTAGAAATTATAAGTCAATAATGCATTTGTAGTTAACTGTAATTTATACTACTTTATAGCTACAGTTGTAAAAAGGAACAATGTACACAATTAAATATTAAACTAAAATAGAATAAACTAGCTTATAACTATACAATTGTAAGTAATTAATCCAACTATAACAGTTATGAAAAATATTTTAATTTTAGTTATAATAATATAAGATATTATCGAGTTATATTTTAAAAAATGTACTTTTTAAAATGCATTAAATACTTTTGGTTGGTGGTATAACTAATAAATATGTAAGTAGACAATATAAGTTTTAGTTTATTTAAATAATTAATTTTTAATTTTAAATTATTTAGAATTTTTCATTCATATTTAATATAAATTTTCAGTTTTTAATGTTGATAATGCTGATATTGATAAAAAAGCATGTAATGATGATCAACAAGACTCAATCAAATCTCGTTTACGTAGTGCCAGAAAAAAAGGTAATCAAACTGAACTTCAAGAATTGTATACAGTTAACAATTTTTTTGGTTTTTTTATTTGTTTAGATGATGTACCAAGCAAACTAAAAAAGAATAATTCTAATATTCCAAAACATATTGTTTATGGTAATGAAGAGTGTATGAAAGTTGATAATAATATTGTACTAATACATGAAGGTAATATCAGATCAACCGTTTTTGATAATTATGATTTATTATCAAATCAATTAGTTTTACAATCAAGCGATTCATATAACTTTGACTCATCTAAAATAGAACCAGGTATGATTTATAATATTTAATATAAATAATTAACTTAAAGTTTCTAAATAATGAATCTTTTGCATCTAAAATATGTTTTTTATTTAATTTCTTTTTTTGTGGTTTAAATTGCCTTTTTGAGCATCAAAAATGTTTCTACGTATCTTTAACTTAGTGAGTAATTATTGATAGAAAACTGAATGAAGTCATGATCTTTCAAATCATAATTAAAAAATAATCAGTAAAACCTAAAAAAAATAATATATGAATAATCTAGAATATTATAGCAGTCTTCAAATTTTTATTTTTATTTTAATTAATAGTCTAAAGATATTTTTTTAAATGTATAGCTTTTTAGTTTTATTTCTTTTCATATAATTTGAAAATTGTTTATAAGGTTCATCACAAGTTCTTACCATAAAAAAATATCTAAAATACATGAATGATTAAGTGTTGGAAAAATTCCTCTAAAATATCATATTTATTATTTTATATTAAATTGATTAATATGTTTGTTGATAATTTGCTTTTTTTATTTAGGAGAAGATTATTTAGCTAAAGCTGACTATGTAAAAATTGCTCCAAAAATAACTCCCATGTTAAAAACTCACCAAGGTATGAACAGTTTTTTTATTAACATATTGATAAACATTTAATAATTCATTTTATATGTATAAATAATAAGTGTTGAATTAAATATATGTACTGTAGAACTTTCATATAATGATCACCAAAGGAACCATAAATAATGACTAGTGTTTAAAGGTACCTGGTAACAGAAATTCAGTACCTTCCAGGTCTTTGACATGTAGAAGTCATGCAAATTTTAAAAATAAAATACCAAATAATTAACACATATAAATATGGGTACTAAAAAATGTATTTATGATTTAAGAAATAATGTAGATACAGTTAAAAATTAAAAAAAAAATCATTTAAGCTTTTATAAATATTAAAATTTAAAAAATTGAGTTAATACTAGTTTGTTTTAGATTCATTTTATTATTTGAACAATTTTTTTCAAAATACATTTTTGTGGTTTTTAATAGATTTTAACCATCTACATTATCTTGAAAAAATGAAAACTCATAATTGTTTTATTTGATTGAAAACCTAGAATAGTTTGATATATTGTACTTGGGTTCTAAAAAAACTTTTCACTTTGTATATTAATTAATTGTTCTCCAATAATTATTTTATTTTCAATATCTATGTTATCTTAATCTATGGGCAAATTTTCCAAAATAAAACCTGATTTTTTAAAAAAGTTAGTGACACAACTACCTATTATCTTCATTACAGACTGTTTAATCCACATCAAAGCATCTAATTCAGTAACACTTTTTGTAAGTTCATCAGCATTTTTTATTGCATCAATCTGTGATAATATTACCTTAGTATCAGTTGTCGGTAAATAACTTTAAAAGGCTGACCTTATTAGCCGTATTTGGTGGTAAAAATACTAAATTTTTGTTTTGTAATTTTAAATCAGGATGTTGCATTATTTCAAAACAAAATAATTTTATGCTTTTGTTTTTTTCATTGTTTCATTAAATTTCATAAACCATTCAGTCATTATATATCGTATCATTCATGCTTATTTATTTGCCTCTCAGTATAAGTCTTAATGTTTTATGTCCATATTTTTAAATCAACGAGGTTTTTCAGATTTTCCTATGATTAGTGATTTTCAAATTAATGCATAACATGACCGTCAATCTTTCTTTAGACTTTTTCGTAGAAGCATAAAATTCATTTTTAAAACTTAATATTTTTTTAAGAAAAATTTTATGGAATAATCTTGTTTCATTTATATTAAAAATATTCAGGTCTATAGGAAGACATTATTTGTTTGACTTTAGTCTCACCGCAAACCACTTCAAAAAAAATATTGTAGTGTGGTGATTTAAATTTATGATGCTTTAAAATGTACACATTCAAATTCTTTACTTAGCTTTCTTTAGCTTTTTCTTTAAGTATTAGTTCACTGATAGAAATATTTTTAGTACAAATTACACAAAATCATTTGTTTACAACTTCATTGATATTGACTGATTTGGTTTTATAACATTTATAATGTTCACTTGATTTTTACTGTGTGATTTCCATAATTTCAAAATTGTTTCTTTATTTTTTAAGTCAGTAACTTGAGTTCTTATTCCAATTTTATTTGCAAGGGTATATGCATTCACATTTTCTTTTTAGTAAAAATCTAACAATTTAATTTTTTTTGCTAAGTTAAGATGTTTTCATCTGAACGCCATGTAGGTACATACTTCAAAATGTTTTCGACGTGCACTAAACATTAATGATAAAATATACAGTCACAAACAAGTATTTATAGTGTTATTATAAATGTTCTTTAAGAGAAACTGTCCTTTACATAGAGGTGACCGTTAACAGAAGTTTTATTTTATACATTATATCAATATTTTTGATTAAATAATAGCTAAAAATAGTTTTTGTAAAACAAACTTTGGATAACCTGTATTATTTTTTTATTTTATTGAAGCTTAAGCAAATCATTATGATTATTGCTGAATACCAGATATTGATAATAAATGTGAATAATTAAATTTGATTTTAAATTTTTACAAAGCATTACTGTATTAAAAACATAAACTGCTAAAACTTGAATACATTTAAAATAAAGTACAAAACCTTAAAATAATAATTTAGATAAAATTGTATTGATAGAGACGTATTGTATTAACATTTTTTACTTTCAGCTCCTGAAAAAATTATATTTCCAAAACGAAGAAGACAGTCATTAGAAGTTCCTGGTATAAGAAGCAAATTTAGGAGAACAAATATTACTAGACAATCACCTGTTCAGAATCCTAAATCTATTATTATTGAAGTTCCTAATCAAAATTCATTCGAAACTCAAGAAAAAAATCATAACAATATTAATGATATTATCAGATTACCTGAAGCTTCATCTAAAATTGATGATGTAATTGTTCATGATACACCAGATGATAGATTAAAACCTCCAAAAAATAAAAGTATGAGTACACCTCGTAGAAGAAGCACTCATATAAGATGTTTAGATTTTAGTACTCCGCAGCCTAAAAGTATGACTCAAACTGAAGCTCGTTCAAAACTTTTCTGTGATACCCCAAAAAGACTTGAAAAATGTTTGGAAGAACCTTCATCTAGTCCTTTACCAAAACTTCAAGCTGATTGGGGTTCAGTTAATGGATTTGAATCAATGATTAAAAAAGATAGTATTAAACATTGGGATTCAGATATTAGAGAAATGGTGGGGGCTGGAATTTTAACATCAGATGCTGATGGAAGAAAAACAAGAAAAAAGAAAACGCCAAGAAAAAAAATTAAACCAGCCAACACGCAAAATAATTCAGTTATACTTGAAGAAGAAAATAAATCAAGTAATAATTTAACTACAGAAAAAAATGAATTACATGCCAATATATCAAATATTTCTGAAAGCTTATATGATGGTTTAAATGTGCAAGATTCTAAAAAGCCATTGTCAGATAATCAAAAGCCATTAAAGGAGCAGATAGAATTTCCTATTTCAAAAAATGTTGCTGAAGAATTTAAACAAACTTTAATTAAATCTGATTCTTTGGATAATACAAATGATCAAAACTTATTGAGAAATCAGAATGAATTTCCTATTTCATTAGAAACGCCAGATAAAATAACAGAATTATTTAATCAGCAACCGCAAACTATATCTGAATCTTTGAGAAGCATCAATGATAAAAAATCAATTGAAAAACCAAGTGAATTTTCTATCTCTTTAGAAACTCCAGATAAAACTACAGAATTTTATACTGAACAACCATCATTTAAATCTAATCTTTCAAAAAATGATAATAATGAAAAATCATTGAACAAAGAAAATGAATTTATGATTTCCTTAGAAACTCCAGATAAAATAACCGAATTTAACAATAAGCAACTGTCTGTTAAATCTGATTCTTCAAAAAGCCAAAATGCAACTCAAATTAACCTGGAACAGTCTCAAACTAATGAACAGAAAAATAATCAAAATCAATTAATTAACTCTTCTATTTTAAATACCACACCAGAAATGACACATCAGGAAAAGGATTCTAACTTTTTAAAAACAGTTAATAATCATAGTTATTTATTATCAAACAATAAGTCAAATGAACCAATTAAACATTTAAATGTACAAGGTTTATTTAATCAAACTGATACAAATAATTCAAGTGAATTAAATAGTCCAGTAAAATGTATTAACATTGAACCAGTTAAACCCAAACTAGTTGAAACCCCATATAAGTGTGATGATGCTGCTGTTGATGTGCCTGAAACTCCTGTTTCGAAAATGATACGTGAATTGGATCCAAGTAAAATGGTCACACCATTGCCGTGTACACCAGAACATTATGAAGATTCATTGACAGAAACACCTTTGACCAAGGTATTCAGAGAAACGTCATATTTAAATAGACCTCCAATTTCACCATTTCCCCCTACTCCAGGAAATTCAATGTCCATTGATACTTTAATAGTACCACCAGAACAAGATAATATTAAAATTTTAAATAATACAAATTTTAAAACAAACAGTTTGAAAGAATTTTCAACACAACCTATTCAAACTACTTCTAGTTGTGAATCATCAACCAATATAAAGAAAGATAAAGTTGGATGTACACCCTTAAAGTCTAAATTAAAAATCCCAAATAAATCTAAAATAAAAAAAGGATCAAAAATAAAAGATATTGAAGCAAAAAAGAAACAAGTATATGAGTCTGTTAAAATTGAACTATTTGGGAGTGAATTATCAACAAGTCCAGAAACAAACGATTTATCAAAAACTAATGAACAGCGCAAGACTATAGTTATTAACAAAAAACCTCAAACAGAGGAGAAAAAATCTGGTTTTAAACCAATACCTAAACGAAAATCAATTGAATCTACATCTATTGTAAATGTTAATGGCAATGAAAATCATTTGTCAAATGAATTAAACAAGCAACCTATTAAGACTTCATTTATTAAGCCAATAATAGCACAATGCAAGAATAATAATGATAACATACCAGAAAAAATAAAGAAAACAATTTCAAAAAAAAATAAAAAGTCTATGGTACATTTTGATGACCCAGTTGAAAAATTCTTTAAATTATCTAAAAGTCCAACACTGGATAAATCCAACAACAAAAATACTGATAAAATACAAACCAAAACCATGATTAATGACAACTCTGAATCGTTGATTGGGTTAAGTAAGCATTTGAATAAAACTTCTCCTGCAATTTATGACTCTAGTCCAAAAGAAAAAAAAATCAAAATAGAATCCATGGTAAAGACTTCTAAACTAAATAATAGTGATTCTAATATTAATTATTCAGAAATGTATAATTCAGATAAATCCAGTAAGAATATATCAACAAGTTATGGTAGTAATGAAACAAAAACTAATGAAATGAACAATCAAAATATTAAATTATCTAAGAACTGCATAACAGACGTAAATAAAGAGTCTAATAAAAAACAAAAAAATACAGCTCATAATAAATCCATTGAACAGTTAGATTTAGTTCAAACTATGCCTATGGATAATAACACATCTAATCCAAGTTGTGTTTCTGAAAATAAAATTAATACTAGTCTTGACAAATCTGAATCTTCTATTGTTAACTACAATAGTAGTGTTAATAATACTTCCTGTGTTACTTTTACACATGATGATAAATTAGAAGTTCAGATAAACAAGGCCTGTGATCCACTAAGCAATATGGAATATTTAAAAAAGCCAAAAGTATATGAAGTTATTACCGAAGATGGTGAACACGAGGTATGTTAGTTAACAGTAATAAGACTCATCTATAATTTTGTTTTCCTCTTCAGATTAATCTCTATATATTTTAAATATAAGTTATAATAGATATATGTATGTAATAAAAAGTATGCATATTTTTAGTTTAATTAAAATTTATAATTCTATTATACTATATAGACTGTTAAATGTAAAAAACTAAAATAATTTTGTAGGGGCTTCAATTAATTAGGTATTATAACTCTGTTTCATAATAAATGATGCTTAATTATTATCATAATCTTATTTTATATTTTTCAGTTGGTGTATTTAAATGCATCAGAAACATTCACTTTTCTTGATATACCCTCAGAATTAAACAATACACAATTATCTGATCCAATTGCATCACCATCATTAACAACAAACAAAATGTTGGACATTACTCCAAAAATGGAATGCGGTGAATTGGAAAATGATGTACTCATACCAGTGACTAGTACTCCTAAAGATGATATTGAGATAAAAAATGAAAAAAATGATAGAACTAGAAGAAGCCCCTCTTTTTGGGATGATTCTGTTTACAATTACCCAATAAAACACAGAGATGACAGACATAGAGATATAAACCGTCGGCAAAATAAGACCCATCATAAATATGATAAAAAATATAGGTAAATATTAACTTTCCTACATTTATATAATTCATACTAGTTTATCTTAATTTAATACAAGTTAATAATTTGTTGTACAAATCAAACAATTATCTAAACCAGTAGTTCTCAAGCTTTTTTGTTAACGGAGTCCTTCAATTACTAATAAAATCTTTTGAATCCCATAAACTAAGAATATTAGTTTTAATAAAAAAGAAATTATAAATTATGGTCATTAAAATACATCTAATAATATTTAATTTAAATGTGTCCACTGAGAACTAGATCACTCACTAAACCCTGAGACTCCTCTGAGGACAGTTCTTGAGAACTACTGATGCTACTGATACTTTTATGTATATAATTTATAATTAAATGTTAATTATGTTAATAGGTCAACCAAATCTAGATACTATGATGAACGTTTACAATTTGATAGTCGAAACCATATTCAAAGAAGTCATCATCAAAGTGTGAAAAGAGAGTTTTGGGAAGATTCAGTAAAAGATAAACATAGATTTAAGCATAAAGATGAAAAGAGACGGAGTTATCATGATAATAGTAAAGGAAGAAATTGGCTTGAAGAAAATGAACGATTTTCAATTCCACAAAGAATGTAATTTATCATGTTTTAAATTATAAGTTTTTTCTGATCACAAAAAAATTTATTTGTACCATTTGTTTACAATTTATTTTACATTCAGAAAATATGTTAAAATTAAAGTATAATTTTCAAATTTCATTTAAAATACTTGTTATATTTTTTATTTAATATTATCCAAATGCTTCATAATCTGAAAACTGTATACTATATCAAACATCATAATATATTATTTCTTATTTCAAATGAGCTTTTGTTTTGGGTAATTAATTGAAACTTAAATGTGCTAATATTGATTTTGTTGTTAATAATGTTTCAGGTCACAAAATGATTTACAAAAGTTAAATAGATCAGAAGATATTGTTAAAAAAGCTACTAAAAGGACTGCAGATCGAACAGTATATAATAAGGTATGTATGTGTGTATTAATTTCTAAAGAATTTTTTTCACAATGATGTTATGTTGGTTGTTGACTCAGAAATATTTTTAAAAAAAGTAGATGAGTGGATACTGCTCTACTGTATATTTGATGTCGAATAGGTAACTAATACATTTGTGTTACATTTGAATTCAAAAATATATTATTGTACATGAAAAACGATTCTGAATGGAGACAATTTGTCAGCTTATATCACATTACAGTAAAAATAGGTTCATTGTATAAATAGATAATAACTTAAAATAAATCAAAAATTTCGCTGTGTATGATAAAATTCTTAATATTATAGTATACGTAAAAGTTTTAAATTGCAACAAAATTAATTAATATTGTTATTTCTAATTTAAATAATTAAACTATCAAATTTTAATTTTTAAATGGTTATAAAAAATAATTGCCTTCACATATTTTTTAGATTATATTATGGTTTCAGTATGAACTACTTTTGAGAAATCTTGCAATAAATTTTCAAAACTTAGATATAAAAAAAAAATTAAAATTCTTGCTATAAATTCATATATATATAAAGAGGGTGTCTATTGAGTCTTAATATATTTTAATTGAGATATAAATAATTTTTTATGAGGTATTTATTAAAATTTTAAGCATTTCTATCCATCAAATTATTTTTAATCGATATTTATAGAAGAAAAAATTATTTCTCATGCCTTTAATAGTTAAAAAATTAAAATATTTTGATAATTTCAAGTATTTATAGCAAAATTGATTTTGTTTTGTTTTTCCCAATTATTTTTAAAAATACTTGGAATTTATACCTTGAGCCTCATTTTAACTTTTCTAAAGTACAAACTATATCCAATTAACTATACAAAACTTCCTTCAAAGTTTAGTATAAATAAATTTATCAACTACTTATCTTGTTTACAGACAAAAAAAATATACCATTGTAAAATAAATACATTCTTTACTCTACTTAGAATCTAAAATTTGAAATGTATTTTTGTTATACATATATGAACAAAGATTATAATATTGAAACATTTATTTCTACTCACATCTTACATGCGCAACTAAGCAAAAATCTACAGTTTTGATAATTAATTAATTATTGTTTATTGTATTACATGGTTCATTTTAATCTAATTTTGTCTAAAATATAAATACAATCCTAGTGTTAACTGTTAAAACCTCTAATAAATTTAATAGTATTTATATAATAAAAAATAACAGATTAAAAAAATTTCCAGTTATCATAATATATATTATAGTAATAAATGATTATAGTTTAATATAAATTTGTGATCAAAACATATTTCTATGATAGATTTTTCAAGGAATGCACATGCATTCCTCCTTTTAAATCAACCAAATTTTTTTAAATTAAAAATAATTTTTATTAAACAAATTTTCTTGGTTTTTTTATTTTTCTGGTCTTTATTATTCATTTTTTGTAGGTATCTAAATTATCAAGTATTTTAGAATTCATTATTTAAATTCTAAAAAATGAGTTTTTCATTAATTATTATGTGTCAAAAATTATTAATTTTATTTTCCCAATAAATAAAATTATATAAAGACAAGTTATTTTTTTAAACAAAAATGTTAAACATCATCCATAATTTTTGAGTAAATTCTAGGAGTTAAATTGCATTGTTTTTTGACAATTAGGATATACATGTATATAATCTTTGAAATAATTACAACAACAAAATAATAAATAGTATTAATTAATATTTAAAAATATATTTTTAATATTATATGTATTATCATATTGGTTATTCATGATTTATATTGGAGAGAGAGAAATAATTATAAAGACTAATATTGTCACTTAGTCTTTTACCTCCTACTAAACTAATTTTTTGTAAGAGAACAGACATTGTTATATGATATACATTAATGATTTTATAATTTTCATTCCATTAATGTTAAAAAATTGTATTATATATCTTATTTAACAATTAATAATCATAATTCTTCATACTATTTTACAACCAGTGAAAAAATAAAAATTTTGTAAATTTTTTAAATTACCTATGCCCTTTGCTAATAATTAGTTATTTGTCATAGTTTATTTTATCAGAATGTTTTAAAAATGTATAATGTTTAATTAATTGTACTTATTTACTTTTATAGACTCCAGCTAAGGTTTCCAAAGTTGAACATCAACGATTGCTGAAAAACGTAGATGTTGATGATTTTTTGTCTGTTGTACACGGTCAAAAATAAATTACATAAACTGATACTGTTTAATACAGTAGATACTAATTATTGTATACATATTAAATTAATGTTATATTTTTATATTTGCCCTATAAAGTAAAAAATTCTGTAAATAAAATTTTTTAACAATTTTTATTTAAAAGATTCTTTTTGTATTATTTTAATAAGCAATAACAGTATATGTGTAATCTTTGTTATTCTTATTTATTTATTACAGAAATTTTAAACCTTATTTTATTGTTAATTTGTCATCATGAAATCATACTTAGTATAGTTATTTATTGTTTATATCTTAATCATCTTGTTATTTATTTAAGAACCATTGTTAACATCTCACTGTATTAAAATTTGCATTTTCATTTACATATTCTATGTCATATCTCATAACTCATGTGCAACATCTTTTTAGCGTTTCTTGGATATACTTGATTGTCATTTCTTGTTTATTTTATTTTATTAACTAATACTAATTCTATTATTAATTGATTAGTTTTCCAAACGTATTTTAACCGTTTTAGACATTATACAGCTTCTATAAGTTAATTTTTCTTTGGTTAGTGAGTAGTGGCTGTATGTCACGTGTTTAAGCAACTAATAGTTGCATTTTATCATCATTTTCAGATTTATTTGATCTTAAAAGTGATATATTTGTGGGCTGTGGCTCATTCTTATCTATTCATTACTTTAATATTAGAAACGACATCAATATTGCCCATTCACTATAATTTCCATTTTGTACAAAACCTAGCATGGCTAGCATGATCGACTAGTTCTTTTCTAAAAAGTATTTTATTCCTTAGCCATATGGTGTGTTAGTGTGTTACCATGATTCTAGGAGCAGATTGCAGACTGATCTATGCTCTGTACTGTGTAGGCTGTAACCTGTATCATGAAATTATTATAATTTCAAATTTGGCTCAATATTATTTTTAAGAATAAATGAAAACAAACAAAAATACACATTTTAATAATAATATACCTACTAATAATTAATCAACATAAAATGAAACTGTAGTATGCTTATATCAATATTATTCCTTGACCGTAGTGTAATAATATTATAAAACAATATGATAATGAATAATCATAATTCCAATATTAACATAATTAATATTCCTGAAGATGAAATGCTAAAATAATAAATTTACTCAAGATCTTAATATCAATATCCAGTTTTCCATTCCATCATCAACTGATTTTGAGAAGGAAATATAGTTGATTTGGTATATGATTTTGCTTCGAATAATCCTTCATTCAATTCAGACTTTTGTGATAACTTTACGATACACATTTTCTAAGAATTTTTTAGCATTTGTATGAAATTACTTCATTCTTATAATTATTTAAGAATAATCATCATTCCAACAGATAATATTTATATTTTTGGTATGATGTAATTTTAATTTTTATTACAAATCTTGTTTTTCTGACTGCATACTAGATAGCAAAATTGCCTAATTTATAGTCTGTGTTTATACGACCATGGTATAGTAAAATCATTAAAATTTATATGGTCTTTTAGTATTATCAGATTTATGTACGGAAATAAATATTCAACAATCGTCAATTATTATTGAAAGAAAACATAATAGTGTTTTGATAAAAAAATCAATTTAATAATATAATTTTGGTAAAAGATTGCCCAAAGTTATAAAATTGTCGACTGCTCTATCGCCTATACCCTGTTGCCACTGCATGATTCCATATAAGAGGTTTTCCTATTCAATTCATCAAAACTAAAAATTGTTAGCCGCAAGCTTTTAAATTGTCAGTTAAGTATTTACTACAGTTGTACTATAAATATTTCCTCAAAAAACCCTTTTCAATATTTTTTATTATCATTAAAAATGCATACACTTAAATTAAAATAAAACGAGACATTAACTAGACAGCTGACAGATGGAATACAGTCATACATGTAACATGTGATATGTCATCAATTCATATAGAAAATTACATCAACTACTGACTACAAATAAAAAACAGACTGTGAGGCAAAATAATATTCAATACATTTTAGACCATAAAACATACAATATTATACTTTAGAATCAATGTTTCTCAACCTTTAGCACTGGCGATCTCCCAAATGAATATTTTATGTTTATTGTGATCCTCAGGTTGAGAAAAGCTGCTTTAAATTAGATTCACATATAATACTGTAAATTAAAACATTTATTTTGATAAATAAAAACGACAAAATTAGGTTATAAAATATATCAGTAAACATTTATTTTTTAACAATTATTTATATAAAACTCATTAATATTTATAAAGCTCATTATTACAGAAGTAAGAAATTATTAGATTAAAATGAATTTAACAAGATGTAATTAAAAGTTTAGCAGATGAAACATAACTTATAAATTATAATAGTTAAAGTTGTTCATTAATCATTTACAATAAATCAAAATGAACTACTTTAAATTAAAAAATAAATCATTCAGTTTTTAAAGTAACTAATAAAGGTGTTATTTGATACCAATCAGATTATTTATGTAAATATAATATCTATTTCATTAATATGTTTAACAATAAAAAAAATTTAAAAAAAAAGAATGTTACAAATTGTATAAGATCAACAATAGAATAAAACAATAAACTTAATTTAAGAATATAATACAATGAATATCACTATTTCAATATTTTTTAGTTGTGTTATTAAAAAAAATTGAAACATAAAAGTACAAAAAAAAAAATGTGTGTAATTCAGTGGTATGATTAAAATTTAAAATGGATTTTTCAATAAGGAGTGATGGGTTACAGTAATAACTTATAAAGGTATAAAAAATGTTCATTTTGTTAATAATAATATTCAGATTTATTTTTAACTCAGCCCCTAGGGAAATAAATCCTTATGCTTCCTACCTCTAATTACTAATAGTATATATCAGGGGCAGCCAAACAGTTCATCATGTTAGAATTTATTTTTAGGCTACACACACAAAAATTAATCATAGTGGTAGTAACTTAATAATAATAAAAAACTTTTTTTATTGAAGTTGATCCTCAAAGGTAAAGGCCAAAAAGTTTGACCGTCCCTAATATATATTACTGTTCTAACAAAAATAATTAATATATTTAACCATAAAAATACTTAAGCTGTTGTTCAGTAGGCAACATTCAACTAATATGTAAGAAATTATTGAAATTATTATTTTTTAGTAAATATACTATTTTTATCACAATTAAAAAATAATAAAAACATTTTTTTTTTATATATATATATATATATACTAAAAATTATTAAAATGAAAGTTGGCTAGTATAAAAATCAGACATCTTAATTATTTAAAATTGTAATTGTTTAAAATTTAATATATCTGAATAAAATTGAGTATTCTTGGGTAAAAGGTGTTGCATTAAGTGATTAAAAAAAAAAAAAAAATACAATTTATTAAATCAATTTACAAACCAATATCAATTAATAATAGTTATATTAAAATCAATTTTTAAAAATTATATATTAAAAAAATGTATACCATGTCACCTATGTTTGACATTGATTTATCAAAAGCTGGGTCCACAATAATAAAAATGTATGTTATGTATCATATTTAGCAAAAATTGTATCATGCAATAGAAAACATGTGCTTGTGTGAACGTGTTTGCCACATAATAGAATACATTAACAATTTTTGATGCGTTTTAGCATATAAAACATAAAAAATTAAGTTGATGTATATTTTACAATTTAGATTTTAAAAATAAACCTAAATGCATAAATACTCAATAAAGAATTATTGATAAATGATATAATATTTATTATATATATAATAAATAATAATAATAATAATAATTTTATTTATATTTATTTTTATTATTATTGGAAGTATACAGAACAAAAGCTATTTTATCCTAAAGAAAAAATAACGAGTCTCTTCACAATAATCCTAACTTTAAGGGGTAAGTGCAAGTAAAAAATGTTTACTTTTCAACTATTATAATAGCGTATACAGTTTTTATATTTTTAGTAAATTGCTATAAAAAAAAAAAGCACATAATAGAAACAAGACAAATAGAAAATTTGTAAAAATATTCTATGATATTAATATTCCATTTGAATACAATTTATACTAAGCTACTGAGAAAAGTTTTCAAAATAATGAGGTATGTAATTGATAATTTTTTTCCTAACTGTCAAACTTTTATAATCATTTAAATACAAGACAATCAAGTTTCAAACAGAATAAATAATGGTTTACATTTTATCCACAAATCTATGTCATCATTTAAAGATCCGCATAATGTAATAAATTGAATAACATTCATAAAAATTTAAAAATAAAAGTTTTAAGTAACAATAGGTTAGTCAATTGAAGTTAAAAAATAACATTAGCTGCATTATACAAAATATATATTTTTATGATTCAAACATCATCAAGTTTTCACTAAAAACTTAGTCATTTTAAAAAATTACTGTTATGAATGTTTTTCTTGTCATTAATTTAATATTCAGTATCTATAACTTCAATAATCTACTAACCCTGTAAACACAAGAAAAATTGCAAATTGGATATTTAATTTATGCCATATTTTAAAAAAAAATATACCTTTTTATTATAAATTATTTGGATGATGTCATTAGTAGTTGCATTTTACATATGAATAGTAGCAGCAGTATAGCGAGCTTCTCCTTTTCTCCAACCCCACTGATTTGGTCGATACTAAATAAAATAACAATATTTAATTATAATATGATAAATTAATGAAATAATGATTAAACAATGTACAAAATTAACTAAAATAATATTAAAAAGAATAAAAATATATTTTTAAAAATAAATGGTATTTTTTATTTCTTAAATAATTAAGTAGGCAAGAAAATATTTCCATTAAATTTAATAAAATGAAAACAATTATCACTAATTTAATACATTTTGATTAAATTACATAAATTTGTATAATACTATTGTTGTTCAGTTATAACTACTACTTTATATAGCTAAATCATCATCCCAGTCACCCTTTGCCTTATCATCAATCTTAGAAAAAATATCAGAAGCACTAACTTATCTTAATGAAATTAGATAAATGATAATTGTTTATTAAATTATATACTTAAACTTTAAGCAATAATAATTACATACATATTATATTTCAATATGTTAATGTATAATTAAAAATAGTATACTTACTCTTATTAGTATTTGTCCAGATCGTGTATGTGGATTTAAATATGCGTAAAATATCCAGACTAAAGACATTAAAATTAATGAAATACACAATGCAATGAAGATTAAACTTGTACTAGAAGATGAAGAATTTGTGTCTAAAAATTAAATAATATAAAGTTAAGTACTATAAACAATATGTTTTGTTAATATACTATAATTAATAATCAATTACGAGATTCAGATTTTATAGAAGATTCAACACTAGAATTATCAACAGTGGGAGGGGTAACAGTTGTCACTCCAGATGTGCACATCTGTTCATCAGAAAGCTTTAATTTCTCACAATCTTTCTGGTGCCAGTCTTGACGATTGCGATCAACTCCCGAAGAACATCGGTTGTCACACCAAAAACACTAGTGCACAAAAAAAATTCTAATTATCTTATCTATTTTTAAAATATATGTATTTAATTATCAAAAAAAAATAAAGATGTTTTGTAAAAATTACTTGGAAATTTGTATCTTTTTTAATACAACTAGAACAATTTTTCTTATCTAAACATGTTGGCAATGCAGTTAAAATTATAACAGTTCCATTTGTTACTTCATCCTCATGAAACGTTACTCTATGATATTCATAAATAGTTTTTCTTCTCACAACTATCCATAAAAAATAAAATATAAACATTAAAAACTATATTTTAAAAAAATTAAATGTTAGATACTTGGATTCACTATATTAAAATTATTAAGCAATGGGAAATTTTATTGTTGATTATCAAAAACATTATTGGTTGTAAAGTAAAAAGTAACTTAAATTATACTAACAAAATATTGTTTTGTCTAATACATATGCATCAGATAATCCTATTTTCACTGGGTGATTTGTAGAATCAATTTCTTTGATTTTAGTTGGTATATTTTTGTAAGCAAACACAATGTTCCCATTTGAATGTAAAGTTGTTTGAAAAGTAAATCCTCCAACTTTAGGTTTATCTTGTAAAGTTGCATTATGCCAAGTAACTGTCAATGCAGTATCATTTTCCAAGTAATAAATGTTTGAATAATTTGATGAACTTAAATCAAAGTTGGCCATTAATGGTGCTATGTATTGAGTAGCTGCTAACCACGAATGAATATATTCTCCTAAATACAAAAATCCACCAGTTGCAATTGTAGTTGAATTTAATAAATGTCCATAGAAAGGAAACTGAAACTTCAAGTTGATTGTCTGAAAACAAATTTTATTTAATAAAATAACAAATTTATTTTAAATCATATATTGTTATCTTACTGCAGCCCTGCGATGAGAATCTGATAACATTTCATGTACATTTGCATCAGGATGATTCACCAAATCAACCCAATAATCATTAAATACCTTTAAATCGTTAATTGTTGTGCTATTGTAGTATATGTGAGAATCCTAAAAATCATATAAAAATATTAATTTTGAGAGGTGTTAACTACAACAAGTAAGAAATTCTTAATCAATAATAAAATAAATGTAATTACTATTGAATTTATAGAAAATAAAAATATTACTAGGAAAATTTTTCAGAGTATAAATAATTAAATAAATTTTTTTTTTTTATTTCATACAACTGTTTTAAAATTATAAAATAAGAACAAAAACTCGTTTTTGCAAACACTGTTTATTATTTTAAAAAAATCAATAATAGGTAGAATTCAGAAGTTGTATCATTGGCATGTTTTATTTTGAACCATTAGGTTTAATCGCTAAGTGAACTAGAAATTCATTGCAAGATACTACGAAAAACATATCAAAAATGTGTAGTGCAAATATTAGCATATTTAGTGATTTTTGGATTTTAGAGCATATTTCTTAATTTTACAATTTTTTAGAGCATATTTTATAATTTAATAAGATTCAGTATGAAAATTTGTAAATAAAAAAGTAAATACATTCATACTGAGAGAACTTATTAGATATTTTTATACCATATTTTTTTTAATCTCCATTTGACATTAAAAAAAAAAAAATGTTTTACCCCTATTGATTAATATGATGTATATATATTTATAAATTATAACTACAACTAGCTTTATCTAAAATAGAATATTATACAAATATAAAATAGAAACAGCTGCTATCAAAATACAATGATTTTCTGTGGGTGCCCCTATCTGATACATAGATTTACAGTATCAGTAAGACACATATAGATATGAGTCATATCAAAAATAGTCACCACACAAATTTATGTTTTTAGTGGTTAAAAATTATTTAAATCCAATAAAATTTCTATGTAAAAAGTATCAATGGGTATCAAAATAAATGTATGAATAAATTTGGTCTTAATTTGGGTATGGTTCTCAGAAATATTTCATTATACAGAAATTGTTATTAAAATAAGAAATTTACTGTAATGATAAAATAAAATATGACAATAATACCTATATTTTTAAGCAATAATATAATTTTAGTTGCCGAACTTGAACATTCAATATAAAACATAATAGAAAAAAAATGTAAATAAATAAAAATAAATGTTTTATATTGTGGACTTTCTAGAGCACTCAATTCTTTTGTTCATTAATATTTTTTATATAAATATATCATTATAAAACCAATAATGTGTATACATTATTTGAAGCCAGAATTAAGAATTTTAACTTGAAAGTAATTTTTAAAAGTTTAATCAATTTAATTAACAGAAAATTGAGATTAATGTTATTATAATATAAGTTGTTTAAAGTTATAATATTCTTTAACTCAAAAAATATTGCTTAAAAAAATTAAGTCATAATAATTTTAAGGAATAATAATAATCTTTCAAGACTAAAAGCATCATATGATCATTTATAATATTGTTCATCTAGTATATAGAATATATTCACATTTAAATAAATTTCAAAAAAGGTAATCAATTGTATTTAATATTTATATAGCTATTTATTTTGTCATAAATAATGTATAACATATGGTTCTAAAGATTATAGATATATTCAATACATAACATATTTTGCTAGCTTTATACATCTTATTTTATTTTAAATGTATTGATAAGTGGCTTTTTTTCAAATGTTTATTGAATATTTTTAATATAAAAGAAAGTATTCTTTGTAATTACTAATTCAAATTGTAAGTATTAAATTTAAATATTTAATATTATAAAAACTGAAGTTGTTAAAATTTTAAAATAAAAGAACTAATTAATTGGTTTTTTAACATGCTTATTCTTTAAATAATTTTTAATTTATCAATCACACTTATGATAAAAATGTACATTGTTAAATAATATTAATTGAAAAAAAATAACATGAGCTATTAATTTATCTTCAGATAACACCACATTTTAATTTTATCATACTTTGTGAACCTAAACAAAAATAAATAATTTATAAACTGTAATTATATTAATATATTAGTATATTAATGATTATGAACATTAAAAATGAAATACATATTGTAATTTGTAATTCAATCTGGCAACTAAATTAAAATTACTTGTTAAAATTTAATTCTCATAAGTTATAAAGGAAATTCAAAACAAATATTTAAATAAAGCAATTACAGATATGGTGATAAATTAAAAATTGTAAGCTAAGTTTAGAATTATTTTTGAAATATAATAGTTTAGCCCCGCTTTATCTAATGACATTCCTAATATTGTAATTATAAAATTAATAAAAAATTACACTGAAAATCCAACTTACATTTCTTGAATTTGTTATACTATGATTTTTAAGTGTTTCATTGGTAATTGCTGAAGGAAAATCTAAATCTCCTGGCAGAGCTAAAGGTGTGGGTGTTCCTAAAAAAAATAAAAATATTATTCTAAAGCAAAATTAGTTTTATAAATTATAATATACTACTTTACCTATATAACTTATATTGACAGTACTTCCCTGAACTGGAGGTTCATGAGTCACTGAAGTTAAATTCTTTCCAAGTACTTTATCAGAATCATTTGTAAAAAGTGAAGTGTTTGATGGATTTATTTCTAAATAAATTAAGATCTTAAATTAGTTTAAAATTAAAAACAAGTAAACAGAATAAACATTTTTATATCCAATATCCAATTATTGGTACTTTGTGGTTATCATACTCCAACAGTCAGGAAATGCCGATTCCATTACTGTACTTTATTATACTTAATACTCACAAATATAATTTTGTAGACTCAAATAGCAGGACACATATTCAAAATATTGAGTATATAATTGAGATATAATTAAATTATAAACGACATCATTAAATTTATGCCTCCTTCATAGAAAGATTTTTATTTTATTTTCATAAACATATTTTATGATATTTTGTATTTATATTTAATAAAAATAAATTATATTTTTAGTACAAAATGTTTTTATCATACAGCACAGAGTACGATAAATGAAATCGGTATTTCTCGGCCGGGAAAATATATGTTTATGAACACAAAATAAAAATCTTTTTATGAAGGAAGCATAAATTTAATGACGTCAGCTAGAATTTAATTATAACTCAATTATATACTCAATATTTTGAGTATGTGACCGGCTATCTGGGTCTACAAAATTATATTTATGAGTATTAAGTATTAAGTATAATAGAGTACGAAAATGGAATCGGCATTTCCCAACTATACCTGTCAGCTGTTAGAGTATAATAACCAAAAAGTACCAAAAAGTACCCAATTATTTATTAGCTATTAACAATAAAATTATAGATTTAAAATATTATTCAATGCACTAAGCCAAATACATAAGAATATAAATATACTCTTTATTTATATTTAAAGAAGGTGGTAAAATTTAAATTTTGTACTGTAAAAAATCTGAGTTACAATTTAAAATGGTAAAGTGATATAATATACAATATATATTAAACATAGTATAATCTCTAATAAGAATACTTAGGAAAGCTGAAAGATATTTTTTTTAAAACTAACTATTTAAGGTTTTAATAATTAAAATAAACTTCTAACTTAAAGGTGATAATAAATAGCCAAGATGCGAAAAAAAAATAAAACCATATATTATATATACATTTTTTAATCGAATACCTGATCTTAAAGGTATGGATTTAGAGGTACTTACCTTGTTTTGTTTGTTTAGTAGTTCCATTGATTCTGTCATTGACTGCTTGAAAAGAACTATGTTTTTGTTGAACAGTAGTATTAGTATTAATAAGAGATTCAGCTGATCTTTTTATTCGAACATTTGGAAGTGTAATTATATCAGTATCTAAAAAAGTCTCATCGTTTGTGGAGGTTTTATAAAAATATTCTGCAAAAATAATAAAATTAAATGCTTGTTATTTATTTTTTTTATAATATATTAAAAAATAAAAATATAAAAATCATATTGGTATAAATATTTTCATAGATAATTTTATATTATCACTAACATCTAACTGTACTATCAACTTGTATAGTAGTGTTAGATGTTTTAAGTATTAGTTTAAACTGATGAGTAAAAATAATAAAATTGAATTATTTTTAATTATGAACTTTGTGAGAGTTTTTAATAGATATTTAATAGGTACATTTATTTTTTCGGAATTAAATGCTAATAGTAAAAAGTATAATGGTCAGATGAAAGAAACTTAAAAAATTAATTGTAAACTTGATTTAACCAGTCAAATATTGAAAATAAAAAAAGATAGTAACATAGACCAGCCAAACATGGAAATCAATTATTCATAGCTTAAATCTATTTTTTAATTGTACAGACAGAAACTGAAAAAAAACAATTACAGAAGATTAACAGTAATAAATTAATCCAACCTATATATTCAAAAGTTGTTTTTAAGAGACATTAAAAATTATTTCTATTAGACAATTTTTCAGTGGAATACTTTAATAAAATAATGGTGGTTAAACTTGAAATTTCAATTAAATAAAAGTAAGGTTATACTTATATTACATATATATTATGTATAAATAGTAGACATAATTAGTCACTTTTTGTGATTTGTAATGAGTAGGTATCTTAAATTTTAAAGTTTGACTGGAAATCAAAAATTTCATATGTGAAAACAACAAACTTTTATATAATTTTTTGTTTGAATTAAAATATAATAAATATATACATTAACACGTTTACTGCAGATAACGTCAAACGACATTAACTAACATTATTTACACACGCCAAATGGTGATAATAAATTGAAGTTGTCTATGTTGTTACTAAATTTACTAATATAAACAAAAGAAAACTAATCAATAGCTAGTAATAAAAATATTTTATAATTATAGGTGTATAATTTGACTTAATTTTCAAAGAAATTATTTCGAGGGGGTTTGAACCCCCAAAACCACCCCTGTATATGTGCCTGAATGTGATAAACCTGTATACTTATTTTTATAATAATAGCACAATGTATATGCTAAGGTACTTAGCTTATTGTAGCATTAAAATATTTATTTGACTGTAATTTATGTTATCAAACGAGATAGTAAGCATCAACAACGATACCTATATAGGTATAAATGTGTATACTAAACCCAATACATTAATGCTATAAATGATATTCTAGATTTTAAATTAAACATAAAAATAAAAATTATGAAAGACATTTATATAGTTTGGTGCACAATTAATTAAAAAATGGAGAAATCATTATTTTTAAGTACTGATAACTATAATTAATTTATATAAATTAGGTAATAAATGCTAAAGAAAATATTTATTTATCAATTTATTATTTAATGAATTATCTATTCTCCACTTTATATATAAATTTGTACCTCTAATTAATTATTAATAGCAAAATAATTGTAATTTTATAGTTTTTATTCATGTATCAATATTCAATAAATAACTATTGTACATGTCAACAAACATTGGTAAATTTCTGCATTAGGAAGCATTTGTAAAAATTGACAACATTCACCAGTGACTAACACTCACTTCTAGATAGTCTATACCTTAACATATCCATAATCTAGATACATACAGTAAGTAGCCAAAAGTAACAAAATACATTCCATCTTAAATATCTATGATATTATAATAATTTTAACAGAAGGAAAATATCCTACTCTTATTTGGTTTGTTCACTAATGTTAAAATAAAATAATATTAAGATGTTTTAAGAACATCATACAAATGTTTAATAAGAAAGTATCTGTGCCTTATAATTACCATGACCTCTAAATTAAATAGTGTCAAATAACTACAATTATACATAGAAATATTACTTAAATATAAAGTATTAATAAAATATAGAACAAAAACTGTTCAACGCCGAAACACGAAAATTGTTAATTTAAAAGATGTACGTGTAAACATTAAATACTGAGTAGATCATTAATCAAATCTAACTTAAGTGCGTCATTGATAATAGATATTAATATAATAGTCAATTACCTTGATGAGGAGACACTGTGGAGATTGTGAGAAAAACGAAAGATAAACCCCAGAAAAAACTTTTAGCCATCATAATTATTTATATAGTTATTAAACGCTTTTGAGAATGCGAGATTAATGTTACAAATTAAAGAGCCTAATGATGCATTGTAAATAGTTATCACTATGAACAAGATCAAACGTACAGAATAAAATTTAGGAGTTAATTATTCGCGAACAAAAACGACCAACGACTAGACATTAAACAAGGTAACTGTAACTAGTGACAACTGCTGTCTACTGGAAACAAATAATTGTAAGTAATAATATAGCCAATAGACCTTAAAATATTATATATGTACTTTTTATACATTGCTGATGATAGTAGATAAGGAATAATCACTATTACTGTTAGAGTGCGTTGCAGTCTACATGAATAATTATTGTGATTTGTAGGGTCCATAAAGAATAAAGATATTTATAATATTTATATCTATGTAGATGTATTAGATGTATGGTGGGGTCGAAGCTCTAGGGCACTGGATAGTTATTACTTATTAGTTGGCACTTTGCAGTTGTTGCTTGTTTGCTTGTTACAGTTGTTGCACAAAAACAATAATTTTTTAAACAGTCTGTGAACAATAGGTATAATCAACATTCAACACAGTATGCAGGTGCATAGATTTATCTACTAACTGAGGGTGTAACGTCTTCTTTTTCTACGTTCCGACACGGTTTTAGATAAAACATTATATTATGTCTTTTATCGTGATTCAGAAAAAATAATGCATTTTACTGTTATCAGTTAACAGTTTTAATATTAGAGTAAATCAGTAATCACAGTAGATGTACTTGTACCAGTTGTACCCACAGATATATACTAATATTAGTATTAGTACCTCGATAGAATGGTTACGCGATTATCTATTCAATTCCACGTAATCCAAGGCGGAAGAGGTTATTATCAATTAGTTGTTACTTGTTTTTGCTCAATGCTTTAATAACGTTTATTTATGGTAATGACTAATGACGTGATTCGTCGTTTGGCACTAAAGTGAGAGTACATGACAATGACAGTATTTCACTATTTAGTCATAGACCTCAAATTAAGATATCTCGATTTACGCCAATGCGATATGGGACATAATAATATATGATAATATATAATATTTATGTAATTATGAATCTGTGATGTATATAGCACAAAATAGAGTTACATTAATAATAATATATTCATTCAATTTAACCGATCCATTTCAGTTATCTGATTCAAATGCAGGATCAATACCTATAACATTTACTAGTTTCTTATTAATTTAATAAAAAATACCTAACAATAGCACAAAAAGAACCGAAATAAAAAATGATGATTTCGTGTTCAGTAATTTCCAACATAATATTCAGTGAAAATTTAAAGTCTTTACTATTATAGATATTCATTTTTAAGTAAGGTACAAAAGTTATCAAAAATATTCGACTTTGTCTCTCAGTATACCTACCACTTAAAGATTTAATTTTCTACAAGTTAGGTACCCCCTCGAAATAGAAATTCAAACAAAGTACAGTTAAAAATTACCAAAAATTTAACAAACAAATTAGAAATATGCATGTGACTTGAATTAAACATTGTAATAATGTATTTTGTGGTATCGGGTGGATAATATGGAGATAATTTTTATTTAGTTTTGTATATTTTAAACTAAACACAGACATTCTTTGCAAGTAGATTGTCAAAAACATTCTTAGTAATACGTTAATAATCTTATTATGATCAGTTTATTCAAATAATTTAGATAATGTATGACTGTATGAATATGAATGTATGATGTAATGCACAATTTTACTGATGAGTTACCTAGGAAACCTATGATTAATACATTTGGAACTGTTTTCAATTTTGAGAGAAGCAATGAATATATTGATATTTTATATATATTAATTTTTCCTCAAAAATTTTAATAATGTATTTTAGCTACATTTTAATTGGTATATTAACTTACAAAAAATCTTGCTTTAAGCGTTTTGACCAAACAATAATTGTTTTTCAAAGTGTATATAAAAAAATTAAAACTGAAAGTAGTTATAAAAGTAGCTTAAAATATTTTGAAAATGTTATCATATATATATAACTGTCTAATACATAGATTTGGTTAAAATTTTAAGTGTTCAAGATTATAAGTAATTGTTTTTAAGTCAAACAAAAAATAAAACAGTTGCCTAAAAATTATCGTTTTTCCGTAAGTTATTCTGGGTTATGTCGAATCAATGATTTTGTTTTATTGTTGTATTTTTAAAACACTTGAAAATTAGTTATCAGAATAAAATTAATACATTTTGTAGATTGGATATTAACGCATAAAATTATATTTTTCTTTTTTTATTGTAATTTAAAAATATATCATTATAAATAAAGTTTATTTTAAATTTTTACAAAAATTTTAGTTTAGAATTTTTTTATTGGTAATGGTATGATATTCAAAATATTTTGAATCTTTTTGAGTTTTGAATGAATATATGAAATTTTTAGTTTTTTTTTTTCAATAGGAGTTAAAAAAATATTGAAAAATTAATATTAATTTAAAAAATACAACGTTTTTTAAAAGTTTTAATTATAGCTATTTAAAAATGTTGCTAAAATTTGTTAAAATCAGGAATATTTGTAAGTAATTATAGTAATTATGTAGTTTATCAAGTATAAAATGTTCAATATTAATAGCTAATACTTGAAAATTTAATATTAAGTTCCATGTAAGAAGTTATTTTATTGAATCCAAAACATTTTTAATCACAATTATTTTAATAGATATTTGAAATTTAAGTTAGTATGAAATCATATATAAAAACTTAAGATAGAAAGCGTTATTTTTGACAAAAAATAATTTGATTTACTGCAATATAGTTATATTTTACTATTAATTTATAGTAAGTTAAATTACAATAATAGAAATACAAATATTGAAATATATCATAAAATATAGCCAATGCAACTTACAATAATTTAATACTGTATTGGCTGACAGTTATCGCTCAAAGTCGTTTACCACATAATTGTTTGCAATAGTTTATCATTGAATTCAAATTATTACTTTAAGCTATACAAAGAATTTGTAATTATTGATATATCATAAAATAGAAAATATAATAGAAAATGTATTATTATTTTAACATAAATTACAATCAATTTACTAGAATAATAATAGAATAATACATTTTACATTTATCAGTGCTTATTATTAAAATACAGCTTATTATAATGACGATAATTTTTACATGATAGTTGACATAAAATAAATATTAAAATTAAAATACAAAATATTATATAAATACTATAAATATCAATTTTTATAGATACATTGTTATTTTACTAGTTATCAATGTTAAAACAACCAATATTCTTTTTTATTTCACATAAATAAAATCTAAATTAGTTCTCTAATAAAGATAAATTGTAAAAAATCAAAAATAATTCTACTGTTGCTTGTTAGTAATAGCAAAACCAAAAATATGAAGAATATTTACTTGTTTTATACATTTTGTATCTAAAAAAAGGATATTTTTTTACTTATTGTGTAAACATGTTATTAGATGTATACAAAACTTTATTTTAAAATTTATATAGCTAGGCCAAAAACTGTTACAATAACATATATAGTCTTGTTTTCCCATCTAACAGTACAACTACCATCAGTTGAATTATCCCAAAAACATGAACTTGCTGAATGAAGACCAGCACCAATTTTTTGCATGATGGCACATGTAACTACAAAAAAAATGAATATATTTTGTTGAATAGTTGTTAAATATAAGTAGATAAAAATTAAACATTTCATACATAAATAATGATAATATTTCTATTTTACCTATGTATTTAAAGGGTTTGGCTAATTTAGAAAGTTTTGTAAGACAGTTTTCAACTACAGAATCCGTCCATTTATTTACCATATTTTGTTGGTATAATTGACTGCCAATTGAATGTTCAATTGAATCCTTAATAATGTCACTCACTTCATCCACCACAAAAAGTGTCTAAAATAAATAATAATTATTAACAATATACTACAATATTTATTAAAATTATGTATAGAATATTGAAAGTAAAACTAAAGTAACTAGTTCTATAAATCATTTTTATGGCTATGTGCCTATGTCTCTCTATATATATAAATAATATAATTTTATATTATGTTATCTGTTCAAAATAAAGTCTAATATAAATAAAACATATCTCGTTGCATTATGTTTCCTATTAATGTGCAATACATTTTATTCATTATAAATTATGTTTTGAAAATTTACAAATAAATAAAATATCAATAAAAATATATGACTCTTACTCCTTCGTTTACATCAGCCATCGTTTTTATTAGAATTTGATAAATAAATGTTTTTTAAATTTTTATTTCATAATATAGATAGATTAAAAAATATAATTATTTATTTTAAAGGCATTCACAAAAATTATAAAAGTTTACGTTTAGAAACAAATTTGAAATTATATCAGATTTATATTATTATCAATAACATTATTGTTATCTCTACGGTTATTATTTACAATCTAGAGGAGATATCAGCTATTCTGCATCGTGTGATCGCCCATTTGTGTGGAATATATGTATATGATTTGGTTTATAAATTGTCATTTACCTTTTTAATAATATACTATCTAGTATTTAATATCTATCTATTTATTAGTTATTACTTTATATCACGAAAACTAAGGTAATAATTTTCTCATACTTTGATTAACTTATTAGTTCATGCTACTTTATTGTTTCTAATTTTCTAGCTTTGATAGTTTGATAATTTTCACTCTTCAGTGAACTAACTACAACTATGTACACTGTCTAATGGATATAAATTGTATTTAATTACACGATTACAGCAATACAATCGTAATATATTATACAATTTGCAGTACTTATTAAAAAAGTTTTTAAATATATAACCATGGCTTTTCGAATTTTATCGAAATGTCGTTTATTCAAAAATATTTCAACCACATTAAATACTAATATAAGGTACCTATATTAATTATTATAATTCTTATATTAAATTAACTTATAATATATTATATCAAATATTTTAAACATGTGTAATTATTTTAATAAAGCTAACCATGATTTAGGTTAGAAATTTATTAGCTATTATTTTAAATTTTTTATGAACATTTTAGATCAAACGGTATTCATGTTTCAACTGTTCATCGTGATTTAATGGAATTTTTTGATGATAAAAAAAATTGGGGTGCTGAACAGATAAAAGTTGGAAGATCGTGGACAAAAGATGAGTTGCGAATTAAAAGCAATCAAGATTTACATAAACTTTGGTAATAAAACTATTTTATATATATATATACATTAATGTATAATGTATATAGAATACAGGATTTTTATTTGATACCTACACTAAGAAAATGTATTGTTATGTGTGTTCAACTATGAAGTATATGTTTCCATTAATTAACTTTGTGTTAAACAATGCATTTTTAACTACTTTACATAGGTAGTTGTATTAATTACTCAACATTTATAATAATTTAATTTCAACTTAAGATTTTAAATAGTAAGAGAAATAAGAAATATACCATTTATGTATTAATTATAACGTTTAACTATTTTTCTTTATTCCTATTGTAATACAAATATTATTGACATTTTCAATTAAATCAATATAATCTATCATATTATAACTTGAATTAATACTTTGTAAAAATATATTAGATTTTATCTAAATGTAGACTGTAGAGAAAAACTATTGTCGACTAATATAAAATATTGAAAAACTCTCAACAAACTCTTTTGATTATTGTTTTTCAAATAATGCGATTTATCATTTTTATCAAATTAAAATACATGGATTACACCATTGTCATTACTTAAAGTTGGGTTAAACAATTTGGTTTAGTTTCCTTGAATTGCAATTAATCTAAATATATTACTGTTTTATCCTTTTCTGGTTTTATTATTTCTCTTATATATTATGCAGGTATGTGTTACTGAAAGAACGCAATATGTTGTTAACAATGGAACAAGAATGCAAAGCTCAAATTGAATTATTCCCTAATCCAGAACGTATTGATAAGGTATTATTTACATATTCAGTGCTTATGATGCTAATAGGCATCATTAGCACAATATTTTACAATAAACTGTAATTCAATTAGCTTTATATATACATATTAGTTAATACGTATGTACAAATCTCATATTGATGTTTCTATTTTTATTCCATTATATTTTTAATCTATTTTGGGAAGTTTAATATTTATATAAAAATCTTGAATTACTTCTGCACATATGAATGTGTATTGTAATATAATCTGCAGTGAACATATTAACTTTATTAATATGATTATTTATTTGTTATCCATAATATAATTAACATTTTTATTATTATTATTATAAGGTTGAAGAAAGTATGAACAATTTAGAAACAGTTGTGCGTGAACGTAATGAAGCTTATTACAAATTAGAAGTTGGAGAATCTGCAGAAAGACCTGGACAATTAGTTACTAATTTATTAGGTAAATTATTACTTTTCAAAAAATGAATTGTATTTTGAAGAAATAACAAGTTAAAAAAAAATTCTCAGTTGATTTATGTGTTTTTATATAATAATTCATTTTTAATACCATTTTAGTTACTTAGTTTAAAACTAAAAAATAATTTAAGCTATACTTATCAATGACTATATAAAATAAAATTTGAGCACGTATATAATGTTTGCAAAATTGATACATATTTTTTTATTATAATTTTAGGATTGAATTTTTTTTATCGTAAATTTGAACACTTAATTCCAAAATTTTTGAATAAGAAATGGAGAAATAGACATACATTTAATATTGTTAATGGAAACATTGAGAAATTCCAAAGGTTGTACAGAGAAAAATTACATAATGCTAATAGAAAAAGTAGAAAGTAAGTACTTCATATATTTATTCAATAATTAATATAAATGATGATTAAAATAAATATGCTAATTTAAATATTTATTAACCAAGTCATATGCTTAAGATTCTTGACAAATTTTTATTTCTAGTGTTTTCTACTCTTTAATTGATTCAAAAATAAGTTATAATAATAATATTTAATAAACTCAATATTTTTAAAAAGTTTCGATTATAATTTATAATATAGTTATAGTTATATCATTATATTTGTAATAAATAAACTTATTGGAGTTTTACATTTTTATAGAATACTAACAAAAGTGTAGTATTTTGAATAAGATTCATAATTACATCAATATATCTGAATATTAAAATAATTATATAAAATAGAAATTTTAAAATTTGATATTTTACAGTAGAGCGGTAATTATCTAGCCTTTATTCCAGTTTATTATTTGTATTATAAACTTAAAGATAAATAATATTATGTACCAATACTATTATTACTTATTTATCACTACAAGTTACTTAAATTTTAAAAATCATTAAAATAATTCAAAAAATATTTACTTTATTTAATAATTTTTGATCATTGTTTGAATCTTGACAAAAATTGATTATCTACATCTTTCTCAGTCCCAATTGGTGTAGTGTAGATAATTAACAATTTGCTGTCATTTTATTTATTTAATATAAATAATGTACATATTAAATATGTGATAATTTTAAATTTTTAACAAATTGGATTGTAATTTATTAAAAATATTAAGAAAAATCTTAAATAAATAATTTTATGTTGATTGTATATAATATTTATGTATTTATATTTTTTTAAGCCGTGATCGTAATCATGTGATGCATCTGATGAAACGATATCCAAATTTGGACATGGATGCTGTCAAACAACAATATCCATCAGTAGACATTGAAAAAATAAAAAACTATCATAAAGTTCGAGGTCATTACGTGCCTTAAAATGTATAATAAATATAATGTATTTTGTAATTTGAATATATTAACTAAGTTAATAAAGTAATCCAATTTTGTGTGTTCACTTGAAGAATATATTGTTAATTGTTATTATTTTTAATAACTTCTTCTTTTGATAAAGAATAGATATTAAATAAATTGTAGCTATGTATATAACAAATTAACAAAACACTATTGTTGTTCATATTTGATTACAAACTTTCAAATGCTCTTTTCTGTGTTTAATCACATTTGTACTTAAATTACATAATCTTATAGACTATAATATATTTCTAAGTAATATTTGATTTAAATATTTTTACTTTACCATACTCCATTGATGTTTAAAAGTAATCCGGATGGAAGACAGGCCATACATATAACTATTTCCTCTAATTAATCAACCACTAGTATCATAAACATAGAACGATACATATGTGTTGAAGTTGGCCACTTAAATTGTTTCTAAACATAAATTGAGTATAGTATAGCTGTAAGGTATAGTTCTACAAAATATCCTGCAGGTACGAAATGCAATTGTATTTTGAAGATTTTATATTAGCATACCTATTTCCTGCCATGAGTGTGCAGTACTGTAAGAGAGCCGGGGGATAATAGCTTACCATTAATATTAGAATAGATAATTGTTTTTAAAATTATTGATGATTGCAACACATCTAGCATAGTATAATAGCAATATGAATAAATTACAAAATATATGATGTACTTCGTTCCAGTTCACGTAGCATTGCTATGAATTTAATCATTCATAAAATTTCTGTATAATTCAATTTTGAGAGGTTCAATTTTAAGCAAATATTATTAATATAGGTATATTATTATTTACATTACATTTACAGTTTTTGAAAGAATCAAGACATGTAATTATGGTAATTTATTATCAATCAAAAATATATTTTTATCTAAACTAATAGTAGTAAAATAATAATATAAACAATAACTGGATAAATATTATAAAAAGGTTTGGTCAAAGTTAAAATATTTATATTATTGTTTTTATATCTTATAAAAATTAAAAATTAATATAACATTTTTAC